CCGCTGGACCAATCAAAAAGTGCGCCATACATTTTTTGTTCGCTACTTTTTGCTAAAGACTTTAGCGGTATTCCCGAACGATTATCTCGAAAATTTAATTTTTCGAAAATTTTTCATAAATGCATTTGAGTGTAGCTCAGCATCCGCTGGACCAATCAAAAAGTGTGCCATACATTTTATGTTCGAAACTTTTTCCCTATTTTATTGTCAGTATTCCCGAGCGATTATCTCGCAAATTTAATTTTTCGAAAATTTTTCCAAATTTGTTTTCTAGTGTAGCTCAGCATCCGCTGGACCAATCAAAAAGTGTGCCATACATATTTTGTTCAGAACTTTATTCTAAATACTTTAGCGGTATTCCCGAACGATTATCTCGCAAATTTAATTTTTCGAAAATTTTTCCAAAATGAATTTGAGTGTAGCTCAGCATCCGCTGTACCAATCAAAAAGTGTGCCATACATATTTTGTTCAGAACTTTCTTCTAAATACTTTAGCGGTATTCCCGAACGATTATCTCGCAAATTTAATTTTTCGAAAATTTTTCCAAATTTGTTTTCTAGTGTAGCTCAGCATCCGCTGTACCAATCAAAAAGTGTGCCATACATTTTTTGTTCGCTACTTTTTGCTAAAGACTTTGGCGGTATTCCCGAACGATTATCTCGCAAATTTAATTTTTCGAAAATTTTTCATAAATGCATTTGAGTGTAGCTCAGCATCCGTTGGACCAATCTAAAAGTGCGCCATACATATTTTGTTTGAAACTTTTTCCCTATTTTATTGGCGGTATTCCCGAACCATTATCTCGCAAATTTAATTTTTCGAAAATTTTTCCAAAATGAATTTGAGTGTAGCTCAGCATCCGCTGGACCAATCAAAAAGTGTGCCATACATTTTTTGTTCGAAACTTTTTCCCTATTTTATTGGCAGTATTCCCGAGCGATTATCTCGCAAATTTAATTTTTCGAAAATTTTTCCAAATTTGTTTTCTAGTGTAGCTCAGCATCCGCTGGACCAATCAAAAAGTGTGCCATACATATTTTGTTCAGAACTTTATTCTAAATACTTTAGCGGTATTCCCGAACGATTATCTCGCAAATTTAATTTTTCGAAAATTTTTCCAAAATGAATTTGAGTGTAGCTCAGCATCCGCTGTACCAATCAAAAAGTGTGCCATACATTTTTTGTTCGAAACTTTTTCCCTATTTTATTGGCGGTATTCCCGAGCGATTATCTCGCAAATTTAATTTTTCGAAAATTTATCCAAATTTGTTTTCTAGTGTAGCTCAGCATCCGCTGGACCAATCAAAAAGTGCGCCATACATTTTTTGTTCGCTACTTTTTGCTAAAGACTTTGGCGGTATTCCCGAACGATTATCTCGAAAATTTAATTTTTCGAAAATTTTTCCAAAATGAATTTGAGTGTAGCTCAGCATCCGCTGGACCAATCAAAAAGTGTGCCATACATTTTATGTTCGAAACTTTTTCCCTATTTTATTGGCAGTATTCCCGAGCGATTATCTCGCAAATTTAATTTTTCGAAAATTTTTCCAAATTTGTTTTCTAGTGTAGCTCAGCATCCGCTGGACCAATCAAAAAGTGTGCAAAACATATTTTGTTCAGAACTTTATTCTAAATACTTTAGCGGTATTCCCGAACGATTATCTCGCAAATTTAATTTTTCGAAAATTTTTCCAAAATGAATTTGAGTGTAGCTCAGCATCCGCTGTACCAATCAAAAAGTGTGCCATACATATTTTGTTCAGAACTTTCTTCTAAATACTTTAGCGGTATTCCCGAGCGATTATCTCGCAAATTTAATTTTTCGAAAATTTATCCAAATTTGTTTTCTAGTGTAGCTCAGCATCCGCTGGACCAATCAAAAAGTGCGCCATACATTTTTTGTTCGCTACTTTTTGCTAAAGACTTTGGCGGTATTCCCGAACGATTATCTCGAAAATTTAATTTTTCGAAAATTTTTCCAAAATGAATTTGAGTGTAGCTCAGCATCCGCTGGACCAATCAAAAAGTGTGCCATACATTTTATGTTCGAAACTTTTTCCCTATTTTATTGGCAGTATTCCCGAGCGATTATCTCGCAAATTTAATTTTTCGAAAATTTTTCCAAATTTGTTTTCTAGTGTAGCTCAGCATCCGCTGGACCAATCAAAAAGTGTGCAAAACATATTTTGTTCAGAACTTTATTCTAAATACTTTAGCGGTATTCCCGAACGATTATCTCGCAAATTTAATTTTTCGAAAATTTTTCCAAAATGAATTTGAGTGTAGCTCAGCATCCGCTGTACCAATCAAAAAGTGTGCCATACATATTTTGTTCAGAACTTTCTTCTAAATACTTTAGCGGTATTCCCGAGCGATTATCTCGCAAATTTAATTTTTCGAAAATTTATCCAAATTTGTTTTCTAGTGTAGCTCAGCATCCGCTGGACCAATCAAAAAGTGCGCCATACATTTTTTGTTCGCTACTTTTTGCTAAAGACTTTGGCGGTATTCCCGAACGATTATCTCGAAAATTTAATTTTTCGAAAATTTTTCCAAAATGAATTTGAGTGTAGCTCAGCATCCGCTGGACCAATCAAAAAGTGTGCCATACATTTTTTGTTCGAAACTTTTTCCCTATTTTATTGGCGGTATTCCCGAACGATTATCTCGCATATTTAATTTTTCGAAAATTTTTCCAAAATGAATTTGAGTGTAGCTCAGCATCCGCTGGACCAATCAAATAGTGTGCCATACATTTTTTGTTCGCTACTTTTTGCTAAAGACTTTGGCGTTATTCCCGAACGATTATCTCGAAAATTTAATTTTTCGAAAATTTTTCATAAATTCATTTGAGTGTAGCTCAGCATCCGCTGGACCAATCTAAAAGTGCGCCATACATATTTTGTTCGAAACTTTTTCCCTATTTTATTGGCGGTATTCCTGAACGATTATCTCGAAAATTTAATTTTTCGAAAATTTTTCCAAAATGAATTTGAGTGTAGCTCAGCATCCGCTGGACCAATCAAAAAGTGTGCCATACATTTTTTGTTCGAAACTTTTTCCCTATTTTATTGGCGGTATTCCCGAGCGATTATCTCGCAAATTTAATTTTTCGAAAATTTTTCCAAATTTGTTTTCTAGTGTAGCTCAGCATCCGCTGGACCAATCAAAAAGTGCGCCATACATTTTTTGTTCGCTACTTTTTGCTAAAGACTTTGGCGGTATTCCCGAGCGATTATCTCGAAAATTTAATTTTTCGAAAATTTTTCATAAATTCATTTGAGTGTAGCTCAGCATCCGCTGGACCAATCTAAAAGTGCGCCATACATATTTTGTTCGAAACTTTTTTTCTATTTTATTGTCGGTATTCCCGAACAATTATCTCGCAAATTTAATTTTTCGAAAATTTTTCCAAAATTAATTTGAGTGTAGCTCAGCATCCGCTGGACTAATCTAAAAGTGCGCAATACATTTTTTGTTCGTAACGCCCGCAATACACCTGGCACCTGGATGCTTTGCTCTAGGTGAACTCATGGATTGCCTGCAGATATTTAAGTTCCACATGTGCATGTATCTGTATAATATATGTGTTCCCTATTGGCACTCCTGAGTGTACATTCAGTTACTATATATTTACATATTTACATGCACGTGCAAAGCTTACACAGTGATGATGTAATATTGTATATAGGATATATTCAGAGTGGCAAGAGGAAGAGGATGAATGCACGTATATGTGATATGCTCGCTCGGTATTAGAGGATTCCTTATCGATGGCTGAATGCTGGCTGATGTGGTGAGACTCGCTGTGGGTGAGGGGTGTCTGATTGGCAAAGTGGAGGCGTAAGGAAAAGGAGCAAGAGTGAGATGGAGTCCAGCAACCCCATCCGTCCAGGACCAAGACAGACACAAAAGGGGAACGGGGCCAATCAGAGTGTGCGGACTTTGAGGGTGTCGTTGCCTGGCAACCCTCAACCCACCCAACACCCAAGGGGAGAGTTTTCTCCCTCAGGGGGTCTCATCCGTGAATACAGTCCGCATCGAAAGTTATCGCACCCTTGAGATCTCATGGTTCACTTTTATCATTCCTAGATTTTTTATTTCTCTATATATATAAATTAGAGGAACAAGCACTTATAGAGATCATTACGGATTTATTTCACATACTATATTTTCCAAAAATTCAATCTTTTTCCCTCAAAATCTGTGTTTAAAAAATTAAATTTCAAAATTTAAATGCAAATTTTTTTACCTGAAGTGTAAAAACAATTAATGTTACTCAAATAATGATTTATTTAATTAAGTTGGCAAACTTTATTAAATAAATATTTCTATGAAAGAAAAATTTGATCTCTGATCTGGATTTATATATATTTGAAGGTCCTGAGGAATGTGATGCTTGCACATTTTTCTGTTCTTTTTTTTAAATTGCATTCCAACAATGGCTTGTAACTCTTGGCTAAAAGCGGATTACAGAGGAATGGCTTTAAAAAGTTCAGTTCCTATTAGGTATATATATACGAATAGTGTAGGATCATTTCGGGTTTTCTGACTCTAAAATTCGTACAAACGGCTTAAAGCAGGTTGTCCTTCGGCTTCTTCTCCTTTCAACCAAGCGATTAGCCTCGTCCTGCTTCCTACGTGGATTAAAACCATTCTATTGATGTCATTCAATGTGTACTTACTTTCCTTTTATATTCCGGCAAAATGTTTTGACATACCTACCACTTTACCCCATCAAAATATATGTTTTCATTCTTTATTTTTCTATATCCTATATATAATTATTATCAAATTTCATCCATTCATTCATTGTCATTTATTAATTTTTTTTTTTACATAAAAAAGAAAAAATTCATTTTGAGATACGTTTATTATAAAAAATTAATTATTATTATTATTTATTTAGTATGATAAACAAGAAAATAGATATTTTTTTAAATTTAATTTTTACTTTCAAAACTAATTATTATTCTAAAAAACGAAATTATTGTTTCAGCTTCACCAAATATTGATTCACCATCAAAAATAAAAAGTGAGTAAAAATGTTTTTAAAAAATATAAGTATTTTCTTTATTCTAATTTTTTTTGTGAAATTTATGAACCTTTTCCAAATTCAATATAGGTGAACCTGGTTGTTCCAACGATATTACAAAAGAAAGTGATTTGGATTTTGAAGATGGCTTCATTAATCTTAATAAAGCACTTGACGATATGGCGTAAGTATAATATATAAATTGATTTTTAGGAAGTTATACTAAAAAAATTAATTTTATAATTATAATAATCCGTTACTACAACGATTAACGAGAATAAATAAATACTCGATTAAATAAATATTTATTTGTAACAAGTAAAATTTATTTAGTTCAATTAAATATTTATTTAATAATAAAGTTCAAATTAAACTAATTTTTTTAGTATACCAAAAAGTAACCGTTCAATCTTTTTATTCTTTTGATTCAACAGATGAAGTTTGTAAATCAGTTTTGCTTTTTTTCAGGCCAAGGACAAAAATTCCAAAAATTTATTACGGCTCCAGAACTCATAAACAAATCGAACAAATTATCAAAGAACTTAAGAGAACGGCATATCGTGATAAGGCGTAAGAATTCAATTAATTTATTATTAAAGAAGACTAAAGTTAAAAATCTATTTAAAAATTAGTTCAGAATATTTTTTTCAAATCAGAAATAATTATTTTTCAATGAATAATTTGTAATTTTTTTTTTTAGTATGACTATTTTAAGTAGCAGAGAACACTCCTGTATTCAAAATCCAGTAAAAAAAAGTAAAACTCAACTCTGCAATGAGTTGCTGGACCCAGTGAAGGTAATTTTTTTTCTAAATATTGCGAATATATATTTTTTTAATTATTCATTAATTTATCTAATACGAGTTATATTAATATTTACAGAAACTTGGCTGTCCTTATTACACTGATAAAAACAGAATCGATATGGGATCTAATGTGAGATTACGAAATTTAGGAATTAATGGACCATGGGATGTGGAAGATCTAGTAGAATTGGGAAAAGAAATTAATTGCTGTCCGTATTTTTCAGCAAGACATTTAATGTTAGAAGCTGAAATAATATTCTGTCCTTATAATTATATAATCGATCCTCAAATAAGAGAAACGGTATGATAATATAATTTTTTTTTTTGATAAATTACAAATATTTTTTTAATTAAAAAATAATTTTTTAAATTGTATTTTATTGCATTTTGTTAATTTATTAATTTAATTACAGATGCAATTGGATTTAAAAGATCAGATTATAATTCTCGATGAAGCTCACAATATTGAAGATATATGTCGTGATGTGGCAAGTAAAACAATTCGTGCTGATGAAATAGAAGAAGTCATTAAAGAATGTATGAATCTTGAAAAAATAGTGCATGACGATATCTTAAAATCGACTTACAATACAATTTATGACTACTGCCAAACAGTACTCCAATTTCTTGCCAAGCAACTTGTTGCCCCGATTGTAAGTAATTTTTTAAATTCTTATTATGCAAAAATTATTTCAAAGTCATTTAAAAAAATTATTCTGTATTTTTTTTTTAATTATAGAATGGTGGTGACGAATCGTGCAGTGCGTATTGGAAAGGTGACGAGTTAATGCAATTATTGGAGATCAATAGTTTGGGAAGACCAATGTTGAATCTATTTATTAATGCTGCCAAGAAAGTTATTATTGAATATAACAATGCAAAAGAAAATATTCGTGAGCAACAGAAAAAAGCACCACCAATAATTATATCTCTTTTTACAAAAAGACTATTGGAAGATCTTCTTTTTGTAATTGAAAAAATATCTTCTATACGATTCTCTAAAGATTTCAAAGCTTGTATTATGGAATGTGAAGTACGCGATTATAAAACTACGGTAAGTTATACATTTTTTTTCACAATTTTTAATTTTATTTTGTGCAACTTGAGAAAAAATGTTTATGAGATGATATAAATTTTAACAGGTTGAAGACGATGTTTGGGTTCGAGGTTCAAATCGACCAATAAAAAAACGAATAAGAATGTTAAAATTATTATGTATGTATCCAGGAGTAATTTTTAAACCACTCTCTGATTTGGCAAGATCTATTATTTTGGCTTCGGGCACACTCGCCCCTATCAATTCTTTTCAAAGTGAACTTGGAACTACATTTCCAAATATGCTTCAAGCTAATCATGTAATACCTAGTGATCAGGTTTATGTTCGAGGAATTGCTCATGGACCAACCGGAATTGGTCTCAAAGCAAATTATCAAAACACTAATTTATTCAATTTTAAGGTAATTTCTCGTCCATTTTTTTTTTTTTAGTAAAGGAAAATTAATATTTTTCCAGATATTTTTAATTACAATTTATACTAATTTATTGTATTAATATTAAATAATTTTTTAGGATGAACTAGGAAGATTATTAGTTCAAGTATGTCAATCAGTCCCACATGGTGTATTGTGTTTTTTCTCATCGTATAAAATGATGAATTCTCAAATTGAAAGATGGAAGGATACTTTAATTTGGCAACAATTGGAAAACAGTAAACACATTCTTGTTGAGCCACGATATGGAAATGAATTAGACGAAGTAATGACAGAGTTTCGAACAGTTATAAAAGATACTTCAAATCCAAATAAATTTGGAGTCACGGGCGCTCTTCTATTTGCCGTTTTCCGAGGAAAAGTTGCTGAAGGAATTGATTTTAGTGATAATGAAGCACGATGCGTTTTAACAGTTAGTAAAACTTTTTCATTATTTATTTCTCTTAAAAAAAGTCTTTATATAATAATTTACTGTATTTTTTATTTTACCAATTAGTTCAATATGCAATCTTTCAATTTTTTATTATTTAAATTATTAATTTCAAGGTTGGAATTCCATTTGCTGTTCGAAAAGATCCTGCGATTGATATGAAAATGATGTACAATGATCTAAATAAAACGAAAGGACTTCTCAGTGGAGGTGATTGGTATTCAATTCAAGCGTTTCGAGCCTTAAATCAAGCACTCGGACGATGTATCAGACACAAAAACGATTGGGGAGCAGTTCTAGTCGTCGATGAAAGGTAAGTTATTTTTTTTTTTTAATTGTTTTAATTTTCTTTAATTTACGAGGGCAATTTGCAAATTGCAGATTTGTAAGCACCGCGACAGTTAGTAATCTTCCAAAATGGGTGAAAAGCATGGTAAAAAAACATTTTTTTGAATTTATCCTTTTTTTTAAATTTAATCACAGTCTCTCTTTTCACAAATAATTTTATTTCAAGTGGCGAAAACCAGCGCGAGTAAATCTTCCCGGGGAATTAAAGGAATTTGTTCAAGTGCAAAAAATACAAGAAGAAGAGCGTCTTCATTTGTGAATATTGTTCTTAAAGTTTTTGTCTCGTTCTGTTTTCGTTATATTCGTAAATTAATTGTAGAATCTTTTTTTTTGTCCCGTTTAGTGTTCAATAGATGTTTTGTTTTTTTCTAAACTCATCGTGACAGGATCCGATGAGTTGATTAATTCAATGATTTGCATATATGTTTTTTTAAATTAAGAACTAAAGTTTAAAAACTATAAGTATTAATATTAGAGTATTAAATTTTTATTTTTATATTATACACAGATGTAGATAAAATATTTACTATGTTAAAGTAAAGTGCTATTATGCACATGTTTAATAAGTGAAGAAAGTTTTCGTATTTTATAAATAAATTTTCTATTACAATTATTTTTACGTATAAAATTTTAGATCTCGAAATTAACAGACAGCTCTCGTTATTTTATTACAAATCTTCTTCTTACAAAAAAATACTTACTCTATTTACAAAAAAATATTCTATTAATATTTTATTTCATTTTGAGAGTATCCCTCTTTTCGATCATTCTCAATTGCTTCTTCTTCATTCTCTTTATTTTCGCTGTATTTGTTATCTGAAAGGAAAACAATATTATTAATGACCGTTTTTTAGTTTTCAATAATTACATATAAATGTTTAATTGGAATTTTTCTATTTAAAATTTAAATTATATAACTTACAACTTGGACCACTTCACTCTTCTTTCTGTTTTCTTCGGCTCGTTTCAAATTTTCTACTCTCCTTTGTTTCTTTAATTCTTTTGCTTCCTTCATTTTCGCTACCTTTTCTCTTGATAATTCTTTTATGTGTTTCAAATCTTCTCTTAATTTCTGTTTCTTTTCAAATGATTGACGAATGCCTTTTGTTTTGACAATAGAGGAAAACCTTTACAAAATCAAAACAAACAATAGAGGTAATTTGAAAGTCACAAAACTATTGATTAATTATCGCTTTAATATCTAATTTTTATATTTAAATGATTTATTAATTTAAAATTTATTTTTATACCTTTTTCTTGGTTCTTTCCAAACTCGTCCTGATTTTGGTTTTCCTCGTGGAATAACAATTTTGATGTCATTATTTTCTTCTTTCGCTGCTTCTGTCATTTTTAGAGATTGATAAGAATTTATTTTATAGTATTTTTTTATATTTAAATTATCAAGTTTGCTAATTTAATTTCGAAAATTGTTTGTGAAATCAAAAAGAGAACGTATTACTTTTGAGGTTAACCTCGTGTTCGTTTTATTGACATATTCACCTCGCGGAGAACCAGAGAACTTTGAAGACAAATTTTTTAAAAGGTAATGTAGAATTTTTTCTTTCCATTAATTAATAATTGTTTTTAATTTGTAAGAAACTAGGTTGTTTTTCTTTTAATTTTGAAGTTTATAAATAAAAAAACAAATTGTTTTTAATTACTATCAATAATAATGGATGAGGAACAATTAAAATCTCTTGAGGAAATATCAGAATTTCTTAATCCGGAAACCAGAACCGATATAAAAGATGCAACAATTCAACATGTGCTTGGTGAGTGTAAAACATAACCTTTATTATTTAATATAAATAAATATTTTCAAACTATTCCTTTTTTTAGTATTAATTTATTATTTTTGTTATAATATTAATTTAATTTTGTTATAATCAATTATTATTTTTTATATAATTTTGTCTTTTAAAAAATATAAATTTATAAATTTTATTATTTTTTATTTATAAATGTTTTATAATTAATCAACTAATTTTATAGTGTATTTTAATTACAGAAGTTTTGAAAAATTAATTAAAGTTTCAAAATTTATGTATAATTAAATTTATATTTTTAAATCTAAAAATTGTCAATATTTTTAAAGAAAATTTATAATTATTTACAGGCGTCACAGGATCTGCAGAAGGAAGAGAATTGCTTTTAAAATTACCTGAAATTTTGAAAAAACTAATTATACTTTTGCAAGATAAATCGATTATAATTGCAAAAGCAGTAACACTGTCATTGATAAACATTAGTGCTGATGAAAATGGAGCAAGTGCTCTTTTATTAATTTCAGAATCTTCGAAACCAGATGATAAATTAAATTCAAATTTACTACAAATTTGTCTAAAGTGAGTTAAATTAATTTTTATTCTTTTGATTTGGAAAATTTTATTTATTTCTATTTATTACATATTTTTTGTTTTATGAAATATAAATTGTGAAAATTGTTTATAATTTATATGTAAATTTAATTTTCAAATATTTATTTTTTATTTCAGATACATCGTGGAGAGAAATATTAATTTGGCAGATCCTTGTTGTATGATTTTGTCAAATATGACAAGACCATCAACATTTGTTGAGAGAATTGTAAATCTTATTGATAAAAGTGGATACACGTGGGAGTCAATTGTTTCCGTATTTTGTAAACAGGGAGATAAAAATTGTGCTGTCTTAAATTATTTGGGTCCAGTTTTTAGTAATTTAAGTCATTCTCCAGTGGTGCGAAGGTTTGTTTAGTAGCAAAAATTTTATTTTTTAATTTTGTTATTTTTTGTACCTCATTTACAATTATCTCTTTTCACTTTAGATATTTAACGGACAGAAATGAATGTTTGATTCAAAAGCTACTTCCATTCACAGAATATGCAGATAGTGAATTAAGAAGAGGTGGTATTGTTGGAACATTGAGAAATTGTTGTTTTGATTTGGAAAATCACGATTGGTTTGTGAGTTCAGATATCGATATTTTGCCAAATCTACTTTTACCACTTGCTGGACCTGAGGAATTTGACGATGAGGATAATAATAAATTGCCAATTGATTTGCAATATTTACCAGAAACCAAACAACGTGAATCTGATCCTGATATTCGGTATAAATTGATATTTATTTTTTTTTAAAATGATTTTTTGTAATATTTTTTTTTTTTTGTAATCAAATAATTTTTTTACTTTTTAGCTTAATGTTGCTCGAAACTTTGACACAATTGTGTGCAACAAAAAAAGTACGCGAGCATTTTAGAGACAAGAATGTTTATGTAATTCTTCGGGAATATCACAAATGGGAACAGGAAAAAACAATTTTACTTGCTTGTGAAAATCTCGTAGATATTTTAATCAGGTTTCTCTATTATTTTTATATAATTTTTAATTTACTGAAAGTGAAATATAATAAACAAATTACTTAATGATAATATTAAATTTCAGGACGGAGGAAGAAATAGGAGTAGACAATTTAAAAGACGTTGAGGTACCAGAAGAATATAAAGAAAAATTCCATAAAATGGATCAAGATTTTATAAATAGTTGAATATAAAAGAATGTGTACCTACAATTTAATAATCTAATGTAAATATCAATTTTTTAATAATCATTCAAATTTTTTCAATTCTTATGAAAAATATTTCGTACTTTACATTATATTGCACTATCCCTTGTCTTTACATTTACGCTATATCAGGTTCAATGTAGCAAATTAAATATGAATATAATTAATTAATTTTCTAAATTTTTCAGAATTATAGGAAACTTTTTAGTATTTTCTAAAAGAAGAGAACTATTCTAAACATACACGGATTTATTTCCAAGATCCTTTGGAATGTGTTTTTGATTTTTTTAATCATTTAAAATTAAATTGAGCATCAAATACCCGTATTCGATTAAAAGTATATTTTTTTAAGGTAAGTAACCTAATCCAGCTTCCAAACTTACGGAACTTCTCACGCTAGATGCATTACTTGTCTTTCTTCCCAGACGTCCGTTATTACCGCCAAAAATTGCGGCAATTTCTGCACTTTTTTTAATTGACAGTGCCTCATGATGTAAACTTGCTTTACCCTGACAAGTTTTTGTTGATTTTTTATGTCTTTCAGTGCCACCAACGTAAACTAAACGACCCTGTGGATCTCTTGCACTGACGACCAATACTTTTTCACTGTCTGACGAGTGTTGTGATTTTCTTCCTGGACTAAAGAGATCATAATCAAGTGCCAAATTATCCGAACTTCCTCGATTTGGCGATGGTCTAACCTGTAATTATATTTATTTTATATTATTATTTTTTAAATATTATTATTAAAATTTCTTTTCTTTTTTACCTTGAGAAATTCAAGACTCTGAGATGAAGCGATACTTCTATTGGTTCTGGCTGTTTTTGCTCGATCGGAACTTCCTCCACGGCTGATGGTACTCTCTGAGGGAACGATTCCTCGTTGACGGAGCTGTTCCAAAATTGTTGGTTGATCAGGACGACTGGGACAATAACATTTGTTACTCTCTGAACAACTGTCCGTATCACAAGAACAAATAACTGCCTGCTCAGCGGGAACTTTTCGCGATAAAGAACAATAGCATTTATCTGCCGAGATACAGGTACACGTTTCTGAATCATAACTACATTCACTGCAACTCACATAACCGCTGCTACTTCTATTTGCTCCAATATTACGATTCCATCGCTTGCCTGGAATATTGATATTTATTTGGATTAAAGAAAATTTTTAAATTCTTTTGTTAAAAAAAAATATAAATATTTACATACAAGTATCGCTATCCTCGGAGGTAGTTTGTCCAATTGCTCCTTTATTTTTTCGCCAGGACGATCTTCTTTTGCCGAGCCTGCTGGCAAGAACACGATTTCTATGATTATTTCTGACATCACAAGACGAACTACTACCAAAGCTATCATTTAATTTTCGTGCGGGAAAAATAACAGATGTAAATTCCATTGGACCGCCTTTGAGTCGTGAAACTGACCTTCTGATCGCACGACCCAAGAGAGAAGGTCGACTTGTTGATCGACGCCTCTGGGGACGACGACGTCTTCTCATTATACTCGCTGACCTTTGATACAATTCATCCTGTGTCAAGGTTGATGCCAATTTTAACAAGAACTCTTTATATAATGGCTTCAAATCGTTAAAAGACATTCCCTCCGGATCTGTGGAGAAAAAAAACTAAATTTAACAAGGTAAATACAAATTTTTCTAAAATTTATAGTTATTCGATAATTTATCACAATTATTTCTTGTCATTCATGTTTTTAAAAATATTTTTCAGAACTATTTATCATAGATTTGTCAAAAAGAAAAAAATAATTCTTTTAATGTCAATTAAAAACGGGATTCTGAAGTTTGTTTTGGATAAACAAAAGTGATTTATTTTTCAGGCACTTGTAACTTCAATGAACCGGTTTTCAACGAACCAGGAAAATATACAAATGTCAATGTTTGGAAAACAATCAAAAATAGCGGTATTCGAATTGGAGAATCAGAAGAAAGTCATAATTGGAAGAAAGAGAACCGGATTTCAGACACAAATTATCTGCATATGAGGAAATGATTATAAGGTAATTGCAGAGACAATTTAAAATTTTGATTTAAATTGAATTATTTAAAGATTCGAATTTCTATTTTAGTAAATTAAATTTTTTTCCTAAATCGACAAATAGGATATTACAGGATAAAAATTTGAATTTAAAAAATGTTAATTTGCATTCGAGAATTGGATTCATTTGCATTTAGTGAATTAGAATAATTTGATATAGCTATTAATTTGCATTTCCAAGGACCTCTTGATTTGATATTAAATCCTTTACCGATAATAGTTGCAAGAATGTCATCGACACTTGTTAATCCTTCCTGATTTCGAAATTCATCGAATAATTCCGTAAATCCTAACGGTGTTCCACCCGTTATTGTATTTGGTCTTCTTGTACTTCCCGTTTTCAGGAAACTCCCTCTCCTTGGCAATTCAACACGAGTCATTAAATCTCCTTTATCCACGTCAATATCGCTTTGTGATCTTTTTAATTTTGTCTCTTGTAGACATTTTAAAGCCTCCTCGGATCTACTCGACGGTGGTTCACTACCGGCTCGACTTCTACGTCTAGTTCGCTATTAAAAAAAAAAAAATTAACAAAATATTATTGTTTTCTATAATTAATATATTACCTGACAACATTGTGGAATGTTGGTGCTAAGATCCTGAAGAAGTTGTTTCTTCATGGGTTTATCGAGAGTGGAAATTCTATTGGCCTGACGACAAGAGTAGATATCTTCCTCGGATGCATTATCCTTTTGATTTCGATGTTCTTGCTGTGGAATGCATTTTGTTTGCATTTGATTTATATCAGTTCTTGCTGGCTTCCTGGGTGTGTAGATTTCTTCCTGACCTAGGCTGTAGATCTTATCGGCGTTCTTCAAGTGTTCCTCGTTTAATTTCTCTCTACTTGATCTTTTATTCGACATTTTTTCGTAAATAGAGTTCTCTCGACTTTTGCATTCTGAATCTTTCTTCTCCGGGGCTTTATTCATCTCGGAAGAAATTTTATATTTACCTGAAAAAAAAATGATAACATTTATAATTCAATTCTTTTTTTTGATTTTTTGTTTTTTTTCTCTTACCCCTGTCACAATTCTCCTCGCGATTCTTAGCAGCTGATCGATTAAGATCATAAAATCCCTGATTCTTTTCGTATATATTTTCTTCATTTTTTTCGTTCTCATTAATTTTCTTTTGATTATTTGTCTCGTGACAGCAATTCTTTTTTTTATTTTTCAAATTAAATCTCTCGTATTCATTACATTTTCGATTATCGTCATACGTAATGTCAGCTTGACCTCGTGGAATTTCAATAATTTTACCGGTGTGCGTCTGCTTTGTACCGTAAATTTTATTCTTATTATTCATACGCTCTTCATTTAATTGTATTTCAACTTTTGTGGTATCGCGTCTTTTTTCATTTTTTATATTGGAATTTTTTGATAATGAATACTTTCGATTTCTTGCTTCTAAAATATCGTCGGGATTAATTTCAGTGAGTCTCTTCTTTCGTCGTGGGACTTTTTCAACAACTACGGGGGATTTTTTCGTTGTCTCTTCTTCAGTGGCACTCGATACGGAACTCTTCTTTGCCCTTGGTGGCCTAACCGGATGTGGAGCCATTGGTCGCGATGGTGGTGGTGAACGACGAATGTTTTTAATTCTACTCGCTGGACTCAGATCCCGTGCGCTCGAAATAACCGAGGCAAGAGAAACACAACCAACGCCATTTGTCTGCCGTGGCCTTCTTCTGTGGTAAAATTTTTTTCTATTTTTATTTAACACTTGAAATATGTAAATTTGTAAATTTTTTTTTTCTTACCTGTTGGCTTCTAAATCAGCAACGAGAGCCCGATAGAGTGTGGCAGCGGCTGCGATAGCATCCTCTTCGGCTTGACAAGCAAAAGCGTGACACTCGAGAAGACGAGCAACGCCTGGTCGTCTCATGACAACAGCAAAAATTGGCGGATAACCTTCTACCTGACTATTTAGGCCACGCATCGTTCGATAAAGATCCGAGTGTCTCTCGTCTCCGGATGATGTTAAATCATCGCCGACCAGCGGCATAAATGCATGATGAACACCACCGTTTGTTGTTTTTTTCGCACGAAGCCTCAGAGCACTCCAAACGGCAATTCTTCGAAATGGATTATTTTTTTCATAATGCTCCACTGTTCGATATGTTAATCCTCGACGTGAGACTTCCAATTCAGCATTTGTGGATTCTTTCTTTTGCTCCAATAGTTGACGAAGTGGTTCCTGAAGACCACGAACACTCGCCACACGTCCACCCACTGGAGCTGCTCCCAAATATTTAACCTTGATGAAAAATTAGAAAAAACATCAATTTTATTGCCAAGAAAAAAGAAAATTCAACAAAAAAAATAATAATAAAGGTAACAAAAATATATTACATATAAGTTAATTTTTTTATATTTTATTCTATTAATTATTTTAATAATTATTCCAACTAAAATAATTTATTTCAAGTTTAAACTCGAAATTTCATTATTGAAAATTGAGTTATAATTAATTGTTTGGAACGTATATTTAGCTCACGACCTCCTTTTTCGTGACTAGATTTATTATGTTGCGTTTGAGAAAAAAAATATTTCGCGATTAGAGAATTTAAAAAAAAAATGTGAATTTTGCTCAAAAATAATTGGGAAGTTCACCGTTGCTTGAAATTAAAATATTTACGCGTATCTTGTTTTTTTTTTTATGACATCGAAAAAGCATCAGCATAAATAAAACTCCTCTGGCAGCCCGTTAACAGCTCTCGGCTTACTTAGAGTTTTTAAGTGAGAAAAACAAATTTCTCACTTTATAGTCTCAGGATGTTGTAACTCATGAAGAACGTGTCTTGGACTTGGTGGAAATTACGTAAAATTCCGTTCTAATAAGTACCTAAAGGCTTCAGTGCAATGAACTTAAAGATTATTCACCTGAGAGAAATCAAAACTTGATATCATTTTGCAAAATGTTTTTTAAATTATTTTTTTTTAACTTCACTTTTATAAATATTGCTTGATGGAAACCTTTTTTCTCCGACAACTACTATTTTCTTTGTAAAATATTTTTCCAATTTTTTGGAAAAATTAATTTTAATTAAAATCTAATTAATCTGTGACGTGATATCAAATTTTTAATGGAAGTTTAATTGATTATTTAATTTATCAAAAGAATCGATATAGGAATTACAAAATTCTGATAATTTAATTAAAATGATTAATTACGATTGATTAAACATTAAGTAATCGAAAAAAAAGTATGAAAAGCAATTTCGACCTATTTTACGAACAATGTACCTATACTATATAGAAGTTAGTGAAAATCAGATCGCGTGATTTGTCTGTGCACCCAACTCGTTGAATCAAGTTCAACGTTGCAAATTACGAAACGAACCAGTCTCGAGAGATCAGTAATGCGTGATATTCTCTCGATTCTAAATTCAAACATCCTATATACTGAAATTAACGTGGCGTTACAAACGAAACGAAATGATATTTCATCTTTCATATTTTATAAACAAAAAAAAACATTCCATTGCAACTTCAAGTGTAGGAATTTTCATTTCGCGATTGAAACGATCAAGATCAAAACTCTGAAGAAAGTGATTAATAATTATGCCTCGTGGAGAGAAAACGAATTCCGTATATTTAATAAAAATTGATTTCAATAAATTTTAATTAAAAACCTTTTTTAAATACATTTGATATTTAAATCAAAAATGTTTTTTAGCTCAATTTTCTTTTATTTACGATAATCTTATAAAAATTAATTTGTCAATACAAAATTAAAATATGAAAATAATATTGAAATAATTTTCTTTTGTGAAATAGGAAATAGGTAAAGAGAAACATGATTTTTGAAATTGTAAAATAATTGTTGAGCAAAAATATAAATATGGTGAAGACTTTAATGGATTTTAATAATTGATAATGGAAATCGTTATTATTAGATCGTTTAAGGAATAATAATTTCCGAGGAAGTGAAATGTTTCAGTGTAATTAGCATAAGTGAAATTTCATCGCTATTTGCTGATGACAATGAGATTCTCGAGTTATCCGGAAATGGCAATTTACATAGTTAATCATTCATAACCCATTGTTATTAAAAAACTTGAAATCAATTTCAAATTTTTAATTTTTATATCTTAATCTACAAAAAAAATTTTTTTATTTATTTATCAATGACCAGTGAAGTCATTTTCTTGATTGATTTTAGTGCAATTACTTTCTGTTTTTCTTATCTTTATTCGTTCAAGGGTAAATATTTGAAAGCAAAACGATATTTCTCACTCAAACGAAAAGAATGATCTGCTTTTTATGAGCCACTTTTCGACCGGTTCCCATGTCCTCTTAACCCCTTATTACTTTTTTGGAACGTTTTGTTTTTTTTTTTTTTTTGTTTCTGAATAACCGGTTACAAGATTGCATTGGTCCACCATCTAATTAAGTCAAAAATTTTAATATTTTCCTTTTGAACGAAACGTGTATCTTTCGCTTATATATGCAATCAAAATGACCCACAAGTTTTCTTTCTGATCCAATTTTAATTATCAGTGAAAGTATTTATCAAGGTCTTTGGGGTTTTTTTTTTTTGTTTATTAAAATTGTTACCTGACTTTCATTTCTCAATCAGTAATTTAATAACGAAACATTTTTTCTATAATTTTCCACATCTTTGTGTAATGTTATCTAATGTTTGAAAATAATTTTTTCTAAATTACAATTGAATTGAAAGAAAACTCTTCCTGAATAAGGAAGAAATTCTTTTGCTTTTGCAAACAGCTTTTCTTGTTTGTAATGATCTCTCGACCAAAAACAGAAGTTGATCAAGCTTTATAACGAGATTGTCGTCACGATTGAAAACGAGATTCTGAGACGAAAGAGAGAGGAATTAACAAATATGTCTGATTTCAGAGAAACTTGTGTGTGTGATGCGCGAGAGGAATCTGAGGCTACTATAATGATGGATAGCGGTATCATCATCATCATCATTTTATATACAACTATTAGGACCCTTGTTGCTCATCATCATTTCCTACTCTGGTCGTGATATGTAGCGAAAAAATAATCTTTTAAAGAAGAAAACATCTGGCGTTTAGTTTACCGGTAAAATTGCAGCAGCACATTCTCCAGGTGTTCCGCTTTCAGCCTCAACAGAAGCGAACATTGACTCAATACGAGCCTGAACAGCATTGTTGATCTTCCTCTGTTCCTCGGAGCTGATATCTTCTGAATCGTGATCAACAACTCCTGTTGAAATTATTGGATACCATCCTCCATTAGTGGAACTGCATATGGATCTTAACTCATCGAAAAGAGCATCAATTTGAGCTTTGCTCTTCATTGAGCACACGGAAGGTGCTTCAGCCAATCGGAAACCATCGTCACAACACGACATCCTGATGATGTTTTATTTTTTTTTTTTTTTCAAGAAAAAAAAATGAGGATCTTTTGTGGCTTCTGAGATCAGGCTATCGAACTCTTGGTAAATAAGACACTTCCGCTAATATCGATTTCTCCGGCTTCTCACCTCCTGTAAAAATGGAGATGATGAAAAATTGAATGGAAATTTCATTAAATGGACTGAAAGTCATTTTTGTCAAAAATTTAATTAATTAATTAAAATATTCATTTTTTTGTTACAATATTTATTGAATGACTTCAGTCCTTTTAACTCATTGTTATATTATATATTTATATTATTATTTAATATTAAGTATTTTAATTAAATTTTTATATTGAGAGAAAAAACTTTTTTTTATGTCAGATCTAAAAAAAAAAAAATTTTTTCTTTTATATTTCAGTTTAAACTCTTTCTTTGGTCAATGAACAAAGTTCGTTTATGTATTGAAATAACTGTTAGAGACACACATAAAAATACGCATTTTTAAAGGTTTTGATTTACGTATACATAAAAAGACAAACTTAGTTACTTTCGTAAAGAAAATACCGTTGTTAATTAGATAACTGTTGTTAATTTGATTTTTTTTAAAAGACCATATTCAAAACCTTGTGATCAATTTATTTTATTTAATTTGACGTTGTCCTATTTCTTTTCAAATTGATTAATCAATGAAAGTTTACATTTTTTAAATATAGCTTACTAATTTAGAAATTATTAAAATAAACGTACTAATTAATTTAATGCTAATGATACAATATAATAATATATAAAAATATAATATAATAATTAATTATTTTCAAACATGTTTATTTATATTTATCTTAATCATCTTATTTTTTCAGTTTTTAAATTCGTTTTTTTTTCTTTTTATTAATTGTCAAATTTATTTTTAAAAAAATTTTCCAATTTTTTTCTTGATGAAAAAAAGAAATTGAATTTTCACTTGAAATAGAATAATCTTTATAATTACTCTGACAATTATGAACGTAATTTTTTTTTTTCCTCTAGAAAAGAAGACGTAATAATGCGGATTAAATTAAATTGATCGAATATCAGAAACTTGAATAACGTCATAAATGCATCTTTTGTATAATCTCACAAGCAATATACAGTTTCAAATTACTATCCGTCAAATTAAGACCATGCGAAGCATGAAAATCGTAACGCGTTTCTCTTTTCCTTTTTATATCGTTAATGAGTAAAATCGTTTTTAAAAGTTCATTCTAAAAGGCGCGCATGTTCACACTTTAATCTATATAATACCTTGTAAGCGTTTTTTGATCATATATGTACGGTTTACTGATTGTATTAAACAAATTATCATTTTAATTAGTAATTATTTAGCAAAACGTCTTATTCAAAGGGGATTCTTAATTAATTTCACTATTTAAATTCAATTTCATTATTTAAATTTTTCCTTTAGTCGTTTAATTACTCTAAATTGGATACCAATTGAATTTATTTTTTGGTAAATATACATTGAATTAATTAATATATTTATTTTTATTGTTAATAATTAAAATTAATTAATTTTAGGCTATTTTTGAATTTTTATATATATACTTAATTAAACAAAAAACATAACAACATTTGTAGAAATTTATTTTAAATAGGTTTATTATTTACTTGTAACAATACTTGATAATTTTTAGATTTATTTCAATCAAGTGTGAACAGAATTTATTTTTTATTTATGAGTTATCGGTTGAATATATTTGCACTTTGTTTCTTATTTTATTTTGGGAATTTTTACATAAAAAAAATAGCCGCTATAAAATATAAAATGAGTTGATTCTATTTATTTTACATTTTCATATCTTTATTCTTTGCAAATTTAAAACGATTTTTCCAGGTTATTGAACCTTTTTACAAATATTTTTTTAGATTGAAAATTAATCGAATTATCGAAATTTAATTGATCACTTAAATGATATTAAATGATAAATTAATTATTTAGCAGTGAAGAATAATATTTCAAGTTTTTTTTATTTAAAAAAAATTATTAGGTCTTCTTTTCTAATGCACATACGTCAGTTTTACCCATTGTTTGATATTTTCTTTTTTTTCCTGGAACATTTATTCACTCAGGTGTGCATCTTCGCATGTTTACTTGATTTATAATTTCTTTACAATGTTTTAGATTATAATAATTTATTTATCACCTGGCCTTTTCTATTTTTGATAAATATATTTTTTTTAATTTATTTAAATAACCATAAAGTTGTGTGTGTGTGTCAATTTAGTTATTTTGAAATTATTACCAATGTAAAAATAGTAATGAGAATTTAATTGTATTATAATGAAAAAAAAATGTGATTTTTGCAAATTAAAGTAAAATTACAATTTGTATTAGTATATAAATTATATACTGAAATAATAATAATTAATATATTATTTATTAACATACCGGATCTTTCTAGATTGTTCCTTTTGAAGAACATGATCCAAATTCCAGAAGAAAATTTGCACGACACGAGTTTGTGTAACACTAAATGACGATTTCACCTTGACATTCGAGTATATGTTTCACGGTTACGAGAAGTGTTTAGTCACAGTTGGAAAGGAAGTTTTTTTTAACGGAAGTGAACTGTGGACCATCCGCTTCATGACTGACCGATGTCCAGGAGTATTTCATGTAGAGCAGGAGTAAATGTTTCGGAAGTGGCAGGAACCACTGTGAACGCAAACACATTCACATTGAACACAGATACACACGAACGACAAAAATCAACGCTTTCCAGGAGTGGAATGAATCTTGGATGAAGAAGAATCGGTAGCAAAATGAACTTGTTGATACAGAGGTAAGAGAACTGTCTGCTAGTGATGCTAGTGCCTAGTGCTCTTACTCTGCTCGTGTATAAAACCGGTAACGGTACCACACGTTTTGATGGCGTTCACCAAGCGCGATGCGTCCAATGTGAGAGTACTGTTATTTAAACCATGCGAGGCATCTTTGGGACTTAAAAAGAAATTTCTTTTACTTGAGAGCAATTTAATTAAAGTGTGGCGGTAATTATTTACAAAGGGGGCGAGAGACCCTATCTATGGAATTGTTTTGTTTCGAGAAGGGGGGGGGGGGGGGGGCAAGAAATTGAAAGAAATTTTTATAGAAGGGGAACGCGAGTCTCATTGAGAAAGGATATTCCCGAAGACTTAATTATTTTTTGACAATTTTTCTTTTTTAATTTAAACATTCGAGAAACAAGTTTTTCTCTTAAAAATTGGCAAGTTTTTTAAAATTAATTTTTTTCCAAATTAAAAATCTAGTCAATTAAAAGAAAAATATTCACTTACAAATTTTTGCTTGTATTGATTAATTTATTGCAATTTTATATTTTTATTATGCGCTAATATTTACTTTTTTTTTATAATCTACAATTTTGTTGGGAAAAAAATTTATTTTTTATAGTTAGCTTATTTTTTTTACCTATTGAGAACTATTAGAAATAATTGAAAAATGAATTTTTCTAATGTTGTTTTTAACGTTAATATACTTTCAAACGTTTGTATTTCACGCTCTTTAACTTCTTACAATTGCGAATACGAGCTCTATCTAACGACATATTTATGAACTTCTAAGATAAAATTTATATTTAAATCGATTGCAAAAATAATTAAATTATAAATATTGTCAAAAAAAAGGAATTATTTTCAAATTGAAATTTTATTGGGTTAGAAAATGATATGCAAAAATATCAGAAATCGAAATTTTGATTTATTTATAGAGTAAGAGCACTAGTACTATATTTTTTTCATAGAAATTATTATAATTTAGAATTAATTATAATTTTCAAATTTTAAATAGTTAAAAGAAATTTTAACTTTTTAAAAATATTTTTATTGATATAAATTTCTTTTTACTATTATCGAATAACTTTGATAGGGAAAAAAAAATCGATTTTCATAATTTACGTAATTTTCTCCCCCACCGGTATTTAAATAATATTTATAGTGTCAACACACGGTTTAATGTAGATTTTATTTTTTAATATGTTATGGTTCGAACATGGGCTTAGAATGCAATTTATTGCTGATGTTTAGAAGGTAATAAGTATATGTATATGAATACCTAGAATTCTTGAGAGCAATGACTGCATTGCCTGGAGGACATGCTTCGAGATCAAGCAGGAAATCTGTAAGGAATAGTTAAGCTACACGTAGGATGTGTTCCAATGCACGCTCATTATTTCAAGAACTTCGATTCTGGAATGTCTCCTAGTTTGATTTTTTACTTTCTAATTTTTTTTTTCTTACCCCTCTTTATACTATATACACTTCTATAATTTTCTATGTTCTCACAACGCAGCAACAAGTTTATTTTATCAGAAATCTTGTATCAGCCATTTTTAGATTGAAAAAGCCGTTCCTGAAACTATATAATGTTCTTTTAGTTATCCGAAAGTATAATTATCTTAATTAATCGAAAAATCAAAATTAATCCAAATGATTCAATTTTGACCCTTTTTTTTTTGCTTCAATTTTATCAATTATTATTATTTAATTTAAGAAAAAGTAATAGATTATAAAAAATGATTCAAATTTGAAAAAAACGATAATTGAAATAATTTGATAATCCAATTTCATAATTTTATTATTTAACTAATTCTTTAGAGAATTATGAAAGAATTTAAAAACGGTAATATTAAAATAATATAATAAAAATTATTTTTTAATTTAAAAAATATTTTCCGTGGGAAAGTTATAAAATTATGAAAGATGTTCAAAATGGGAATATTTATTGATATTTTAAATTCTTTCATAATAGATAAACATTTTTTTACTTTTTAAAATCATGTTTTTTTTTTTATTTTAACATTGAATGGTCGCTATAAAAATGCAGTGAAGCAAAAAAGTTATTTTTTTTTTTAAACACGAGGAAAGATTTTGATTATATTATCTTAGACATAGCAAGATAATATGCTCATATTTTCCGTTTTAAGATATATATAGTCAAGTGAACAGGTGCAATGCGTTACCCACAGAAAACCGTCCTAGCAAAACGGAAACAAACAACAGAATGAGGAGACACACTCGATTTTTTTTTCTTGTCATAATTCCCAGGTTTTGCGCATCTGTTTTTGCATAACTGGGTATTTTTAATCAATTGTTCTTTTATCTAAATTCAGATTTTGAGACAGCAATTTAAAATTTTTTTCTACAAAAAAAAATTGATAATAATTGTTAAAAGAAAAATATTCTTTTATTTGGATATGATAAAATATTTGAATTAAAGGAAAGTTGTGAATAAATTTTGTTAAATATTACAAGAATTTCCTAAAAATGAAAAATGTCGCAATTATTACGAAGCATTTCTTTCTTTCTTTTTTTTTAAATCTAAACAAGAATTTCGTCAGAAACTGATGAATATCTATTTTATAAAATGATTCGTTACTTAATAATTTGATTCTTATTTTTATTTAAATAGTAAACGTTTCTTTTAAAGGAGTTTTTAGAGTATATAATATATTTTATATGAATACATTAAATGATAATGATTATTTATCAATGTATATCTTACAATCGTAAATTCATGACTTACAATTTATGCGTGGAATTTATTTGAATTTAAAATTTTGTTGGAAAGAATTCGAATATTTCATGCTTATATGACGCTGAAATATTTTGTAATAATTGTAACAAATCCTAAACAACTTTTATATTTAACACAATTCAAGTGTAATAAAATAAAAATAATAGAATTATTTTTTTTTAATTTTCAAATAAGTTGAAGTGACTTTCTAAAGAAATAAAGTTTAAAAATATTTTTGCATATTAATTAAATATTTCACTTTTTTTAATTTCGATAAATTTGTTATTAGCTTCATTTTTTAATTTACTTTTTCTTTCGATTCTTTGTAAATTATAATAAACTTACCGTCCTAGATTCTAAAACTGTAACTTGTTGAATGATAAAAAGTGGAATTGTGATAGTTACACAGTTCGTTTAACTTGAAATGGAATTTGGTTTCTTTGAAATGTCAATTTTAATAATAATACATAAAAAAAAGAAAATCACTTTTCAAGCAATAAAAATAAATTAACTCTCTTATTTTTTTAAATTAAAATGTCTCATAATTAAAATTCTGTTTTAACTCTTATTTAATTTATTTATTGCAACTTTTCTTTAATTAATTTAAAATTAAATCATTTTTATTTGGAATTATATTTCACTTGTGACATAGATAATTTTTGTTCTAACATCAACTCTAAAAAATTCATATATGTTCTTTTGTACTTTTATTAATAATAAAAACTATTATATTATTTCAGGAAAATATGACTCCCAGGAAATTGCTGAGAATTGCACACATGTACATAAAAGACGCATGTTTTTGAAAATGAATAGAGAAACATATACGGCTAATTATGGGTTTGAAATTGTCTCTTCTTTGTCGTTAAAATTGCCTCGTGTGAAATTAAGGTAAGTTGTGTTACATGGTGAAACTATTAAATATAAATTCTGCAACGACCTAATCTGCAATAGTATAACTGTAAAACGTCAGGCTAGCTTGCTAACTGTAATTCAAGCTTTGGCTTTCAATCGCCTTTGCCTTCTCTCTTTCTCTCATCATTCAAATCAAAGCTTGCAAAGGTCACGTACCTGAATAATCAGCATAACTAATTATAATAATAACCAACGCAAAACCACTCCTATATAGATATACCGTTCCTTAAGTTATTGTCACGGCTCTCATTCTCAAGGAATCATCACTTCACATTTTTCTTTTTCCCTGCCAATGAAAATAATCATTCTGAAAAAGTATTTTATTTTTTACATTACAAATATTTTTCTTTTAAAAATTCTTGATTTAATTAACGAAATTGAATTTAAAAAATTTCTCATGTTAATATTTAATTATAAGTAACAAATCAAATACTATAAGAAAATATTTTTTTAAAAGTAAAAGTTGTCATGCATTTCGAAAATAATTTAATTATTTTTTTTATTGTGTATAATTGTAAGAATTTAAATAGATTTTATTTTGTTCTTTTAATATTTCAATTTGCATTTAACATTGGATTTTTTTGTCCCTCACCTTCTCAGAATTATTTGTCTATAGTATTTTGCATAACAAAGGGAAAGTGTTTGTCATAACCACGTGCATATCTTCAACCTTGAAGGTTGTTAAAGTCTCGCCTTAAAAATGAAAGAAATAAAATTATATACAATGCCAATGACTCTCCAATAAAGAAGGAAAATAATGAACAATTAATTTTGGCAAACAATAAAAAATACGTACTATTCAATTTATGTTTCCAAAGTAAAAAATGATTTAAATTAACTTCTATTTTAGTTCAAAATTTAATATTCTAAAAATTAATATTTTTATTTTGTTTTCATTAAAATAATAATAAAAATAAAGATTATATTTATTTGGATATTTTTACAAAATTCGTATATTTATATTCTATTCTTTATGTAAAATTCCAGTTTATGATAATCATCTTTGTATATAAGATATATTTAAATTTATTATAGAAAAAAATTCAATTATTTAAATATTACACTGGAAATATTTTTGTTATATATATTTTTTATTGTTTGCACACACGTGTCTTTTGAGTTTAATTATATACATGGATTTATTACTTGCACAAAGACCTTTACAATATATTCACATACATATACGCGTCGTTTTTTTTTCTTATTACAAATTTTTTTTTTTTTTTTGTAAAATAGTTTTTCTAAAAATACGTGTGAGGGATGACAGTGGAGCAAATTCTATGAAGAATTTTTTATACAATTTACGAGAAACAGAGAGAGAGAAAATACAATTTACTTATAATATTAAAATTGAAAAACAATTTGAGAAAATTATTTCTTTATTTCTGAAATTATTCAAAATTTGACAAATTTAAAGAATTTTAATTTTTAAAAAATTAATTTTAAAAAAATTTACTTATTGTAAATTTAATTATTTTTTTTTTTTTACTAATTTGCCATTTTTTATAATTATTTCAGAGACAGCGTTTGAATTCTGTTTTATACAAACAACTTCTAATCGGAAATGTCTTTCCGGAAGAAAATTCCAAACGACAGGTTAAAATAGCTACTTCTCTATTGGTAAGTTTTCCCGATTGACTAATTTCTCCGCGACTTGAATATATGGTATTTACATGTTTAGATAATTTTTTTCGTCAACTATTCGAAGAATTAGAAAACAGCAAAACATCTCGCGAGATGCATTACGACACACGAAGAAAACCAGAATGTCGCCTTTCTCTCAGAAAAATAATTATAAAAGATTCTTCGAGGACTTATCATAACAGGCACCCATGGTGTCTCATGATATTGAAGAGAGAAAGTTTTTTTTTTTCTTTTTTTCGTCTATCATCATCGCTCCATTCTATTCCATTCCAGTCACACGCACATAATGCGCATATATATATACGTATATATATATATTAAAAATATATATTTGAGTCTTCTTCGCTTTATTCCATGGCACATTCCTATTGTTGCTCGACTTAAACACCGCACTACAATAGATAATTCACAATCTTCTCTCTCACTCTGTTCTTTTCTTCATTTTTTTTTTACTCCTTTATTATATTTAATCATTCTTTTTTTACGCTGAAAAAAAATCTTCTTAAGTATGTATATCTATATAATACGCTGCACTTGCAAAACATTATATTGTCGTACCTGGTAACGTAATTTGATGCACAAGATTACGCAACTGCGGAAGACATAATTTTATAAAGAGATTATGACAAGTTACAAACTGAAAAAGATTTTGATTCGATAATTACAGGATTTTGTGTAATTTTGTGAGAAAATTGTCAAAACTAAATATTTTGTCTTTCTAATTTTTTTGTTTTTAAATTAGAAACAAAATTTTTTGGTTTATTCAAATTGAAATGAAATCGATATAAAATTTACATAAAAATTTTTTTTTCCTCGCATTTTAATGAAATTTTGATTATGTGCTACACTTTCTGATTTATATGCCTTTCGTATATTGTGATTCAGGCCGAAGAAGAAAATTCATTTGAAACAGAGTTACGCGCACATATTACGTATACTTTGTATCTTGACACAGTTTTCATCTGGCACATAAGTAGAGTTTACACAAAAAAAAAGGAAAAATCAAAACATAAGACGTAAGTGAATTAGAGTTACAGCTTCTTCTTGTGAATTACATTTTCCGTGCCTCTCTTGTGAAAGGCAATTATCGACAATCATATTATCCAACTTGATTACTTTCCTCACTCTTCACATCTCTTCAAAAACAATTGAAAGAAAATTGATATTTGTTCTTTGGAAACTTTTATCGTAAATTAAAGAGACGATAAAGAAAAACTTTCTTCGATAACATTTTTTTTTGAAAAAATAAAGATTTACCTCGATTGTTAAAAAATATGTTTGATTTAATTCTTCTAATTTTAAATCACAAAAATTTTCTTTCAATTTAGGAGAGAAAAGTTTAGAAATGCCAAGTGAAAAATATTGTTTTAAATTAAATTTACGTCACTGGGTATTGTTATCGCAAGATTGAAAAAATAAGCGATTGGTGAAAGTGACCAAAGCTGTAAAACTATAGACCTTCCTCAAAGGAAGTAGTAGTAGCGTTAATTTCAGAGTTGCGTAAACTCCGCGTCCATTATAAGGGCTTCTCTATAAAGTAATATTATTTATATTTTATAATATCAATGAGAAAGGTCCTTGTTAAAATAGGAAGTTATTTAAATACACACGTAACGTTAGTGATTTATATAATTCATCGGCAACAAAAATAAGCCAATAGATTACAGTCTTTATGTCTCATTAAATTTTTCCTCCGCAGCAAAAAAAAAAAAAAAAAGGAAAAAAAAATAAAAATAAAATACATATAATATGCGAAAATAATAAAAAGTACATATAATATGAATATTATATAGCTTGGAGAGAAAAATATTTATAATGATACATATCTGTGCGTTTTATAGGCTGTGTTTTTCGTCTTTTTAACAAAGAACAATAAAACGCGCTCAATTTCACTGAGAAATATTTTGGACCATTTTTTTTTTTTTTTTGAGTATATTTTTCCATGGTACAGTCGATTTACGCTCATTTTGTTGTTTTTTTTTTTTCAAAGTAGGTTTCTAAAGAAGAAACCCTTTAATGGCGCATTCTTTCATTAATATCTGACTCGATTATTTTGGTAGTAAATTCTAATAATAATAAATTTGTCTTATTTTACGTAAAGACTTATTTTTTGTTTTTACATATTTACTCATATTATCAACTCATGCCAAGTTTTTGAGAAATTTGTTTCTGTCCACTTTTTATTTGTATTTTAAATTAATTTTGAAAATTTGATTAACAATCTCCTTAATTTTATTGGCAAATTTTGTCATAAAATTAATTTACTATTTTTGTTATATAGTTATTTAAAAGATTTGTTTTTCTTTTAAACTCCGAGGTAAAATTATATAATGATACGATTATATATTTATATTTTGTACGAGTAAATAATTTTTCATAGTCAATTACTTTTTTCTTTTTTTTTTTTTGGACTCTTGGACAATAAAATCCGCTATTACTGACTCAAGGATAATTACTAGAAAGGTATATAATAATAAAATTTAAAAACGACAATTCTTCATATTGCGATTTACAACGACCTGCGTTCCTATCATCGCGGCAATAATTATTCTAACGGTCGCATTTCTCATTTTCTAGCCAATGCATATATATATGAAATGTGGTAAAAATATTTTTCTACCAGGCACTTTATGTTTTAATGGCTATATCAATATGCAGGCATTTCACAGTAGAATGCGGGTGAATAAAAATGCGATATTGCAAAAAAAGTAACTTTTTCAAAATCGAAGGACACATATTTAGTTAATGATGTTAAATTGAATGGAATAAAAAATAGGAAAAAAAAGTTACAGTAATAATTGAATATAACTTCTTGGCTCATCCTGCGATCATCGAGGAATGATTATTGCTATCGATGATGGTGTAATGTCCCCCTTTATGGCCTTTCTATATTTATATGATTGTCAGCAAAAATATTTTTGTCGACTTGAAAATGTGTGTCAAGTATTTTAAAAACTGAAGAAATCGTCGATTTAAAGAAATAAATTCTTGTTGATTATGAAAGTAAAAATAAATATATTTATTCTTTTGTAACACGATGTTTAGAAATAATTATCATTTTATATTGAGAAATTGAAATTATTTTGCAAAAATATTATTTTCAAAGTAGAAAATAATAATAATTTTATATACTACAAAAATAATTTTTATTGTTCTCAAAAGTATGCCAAAAAAATATTTTTTTTATCAAAATAATATTTATTATTTTTAAAACAAAAAATCTGTTTGCAAAATTTATTATTTATATTTTTGACAATTAAAAGATGACTTTTTTTTTAAAAAAAATTATATCAGAACAATTAAAGATAACTTTTTACCTCTAAGCTTATTGAAGTTATAAATGATTCTAATTGAGATAATTTAAATGTGTAAATAAAGTTGTCCTTAAAAAGTTATTTAATATTTGTGTTCTATTTTACAAGTTTCTTTTTCATAATGTAAACGTACTCGAAAAATATAATTTATTTTTTTATCGCAAAAAGACACTAATTATTCCTGAGTCATGTGTTTTATATACCGACTACTTTAAACTATGTTTAAAAATATCGGGAATATAAAACAATTTAAAATAATAATTTTCATTGTATAATTTTATATTTTTTAAATTAAAATTTTCAGCAATGAAAATATTTTTTGAAGTAATTAATTTAAAAGTTAATTTAAAATAACTTTTTTGTCTTTTTTTTCAGGCGACTGATCTAAGAACCAAGGAGAGACGTCTCAAATTCTTAAAAGCAAGTTTTCAGTAGGAAAAAAAAGAAGGAAGTTGACGATATCTGATGACGTTTTAGCAGACTTGGTCTTTTATTATCCGACAATGATCTTTCCAGAAGAATTATTTCTGAGCAAAATAAGAACGAATTTCCAGAAAGAATCACATAAGAGCGTCAACCATCAGAGATTATTTTTCAAGTACATATATATTTATATACTTTTAAATCAAAAATATTTTTTTTGAAGAAATTTTAATTAAACTAATTTTTAGTTAAAACCAATTTATTTTAAATGAGAAAATGGCAAATTTTTCTAGTTAAAAATTTATTTCAAATTGGAATTTTCATTTTAAAAAATTAAATTACCATTTCAAATTTGTTTACTAGAATGATGTTTTCTCATTAAAACAAAAGTGTAATAAAAAAAAATTTCTCTACACTATAGGCATGAGTATACTTGGGATCAAGAGGTAAAAAAAGTTATCCACGCGAAAGCAACAGGACCTTTAGCGGGGTCGTGGCCTCGGGAGAGGTTGTGGTGGCTGATGTTGCTGATGATGATGATTATAGTGTGAATTAGCAGTCCTGATATGTGGTCCAGGTGGATAGTGTCCATTTTCCTGATGATGACCACCATCGTCAAGTGTAAGTCCCGCGACTAATTGTTCAATTTCTTTATCTTTTTTCCCCTTGGGTACGGGATTACCATTTGGAATGCTGAAGCCCAATGAAGCAAGACTACCATGACTTCGACTACGATGTTCAGCTCGAATGCTATATGAGAATGCTCTCTCATTTAAATGACCTTTGCGACGATAAATTCCAGTTCCAAATCGTGAATCATTTTCAGGACTCTCGGATGGACGGGGTTCAGGTGGTGCAGTGAGATCAGCGTGCGATGCTGCCAATCGGCGGGAATTATTTAATGTTGAATTATCGACTTCCGGGTATCGTCTACCACGATTTCCGGCTGTACCGTAAGTGCCGTACATGGCTGCGGGTGGTGGGGGTACGACAGGAAGTGGTGCAAAAACCGGTACAACAGGCGCCGCTGCTGGAATTGGTCTCAAGCCACGGGGATGATGATGAGCCTTTCTGGGTAGAGTGGCCGCTGGCACGAGAAGAACCGGTGCTGGTCTCGCCAGAGTTCCGGCAATTGATCGACTGCTGGGTGGAAGCTGATGGGGATGATAGTGTTGTTGACGAATTGGATGACCAAGTGTGTGATGTCCATGTCCATTCGTATAGAGAGGTTGATGATGCATTTGAGGATGATGCAAGTGAATGGGATCGTCTTGTAGAGTGCGATTTTTGAGTTTTTTCAGCTTTTTGCTTGATTTCTTTTTGGATTCCTCGAGCATTAGCGGTTGGGTGGGTGGTGGTGGCGGAGGCGGTGGAGGTGGAGGAGCGACAAGTTGACGAGGCCTTGAGCCTTTGGTGCTACGGAGTGTGCCCTGTTCCTGATAGACGCCGTCAACTTCGTCTCTGCCACGGGCCCAAACTTTGTGATTCTCGTCACCGTTGTAGAGGCTCATGTCATCGGATGGTGCAGCATCGAGCCTGGTTATTGGTGGACTGTCGAGAGTTGTGCTCGAGCCTCCGAGTGTGTGATAGAGGCTACCAGTTTGTTGGGGAACAATTGTTCCGTTTGTGTTGTTGGTGGTTGTTGGATCGAGACCCTTGGCATAGCTGCTGTCGGCATAGGCGTGAAAACAACATCTCACGAGGGCATTGGCAGCCATGTCGCGTTTGCAGATGAAGGCGTGGCACTCGAGAACTTTGATACCAGTTGTTCGTCGAAGAACGGCCGCAAATAAGGGCGGATGATTGGCACTTGGTGTTCGAGCAAAGGGTGAATCGAGTGGTAAAAATCGTGTTGCTGATGCATCACCATTATTTCCACCTTTCACGTGGCGTACAGCGGCGCAATAATGCAATGCCTCAATTGGAAAGAACCTTGTGACCTTCTTGCGATGTTCATCCACGTTCTCCAATAGAAGTCCATTGCTCCAAACGCTCAACCATGAATCAATGCCGCGTGCACCAAGCGCCCCTTGCTCGGGATAAAGTTCACGAAGTGGCTCCTGAACTCCCAATAAACCCTCTTTACTTGCATGTGGCACAGAACTTCCCAGGTAAAGCACCCTGCAGCGACAATACGGCGTCGCCGAGTCGTGATTTGCCCCTCTCATTTCTTTTTTTTTTTGCTTCAACGGTCACGATTCGCTATCTCTTCTTTTCTATATGTACTATCTATCCAACGGGATTTTCAACACTGTGAATAACATACGCGGCACTTTTTTTGAAAATTTCGAGAATTATGTTCCTATTGAATTGGAAATTTTTATTTCAGGTGGCGAGGAAACACACAATAATGACACTGAAATCATTGGATAATCACTTGAGGCGTTATATTCAATCACTAATTGTCTTGGTTGATGAAGCACTATGATGGGAGAACACTTGTCTTAAACACTGACAGGTAAGCACTATATTGATTGTATTTTTTTTTGCAGTAAATCACTGATCGACTTGTAGGAGATCACTGAGGGGAATATTTAAAAGAAGTGGCGTGTAACGACATGAGGTTGCGTAGTCAGCGGTAGACGTTATGATTGCAAAACTATCCAAGGAGTTCTAGATTCGATTTCGCAGCAGCTGTAGCCGCCTCGAGGAGATCGCATCAAGCCATTATGGCTGCCTCCTTTCCATCTAGCTTGCCCCTTCTACCTGCAGGTTCTCTCCTCTCGTTCCTCCTCTCCTTACCTTTGGTTACCTGGCTCCCTCTCTCTCTCTCTCTCTCTTTTCTCCTCCTCTTCAACTTTTTTCCCAGGTCTCGAGAACGAGGTATGCGGCGTCGTGGACTGTGTATGTACGTGCCTCCAGGAATTCAACGTGTTACCTGTGTTGGTAGCGGTGGAATCTGGAGGTGCGGCTGCTGCAGAGGCCGCGCGGTTTTCGCGACTTTTTCACTTGAACCACGAGGCGCAAAATTTGTACCTCAGCAGAATGATTTGAAAGAGAAGAACCACGTCATCCGGAGTCTCTTTTGTTTGTTGGTCCCGGTCTCACGAACTACCGGGTCACGGGATATGAAAGAGGAAAGAAAAAAGGAATCGAAAAAGAAGTAAAAACCGCAAGAAGTTTAAAATTTCACAAAACACGAGAAGTATAAAGTGTTGTAGCGGTGAAGGCGGTCTGAGCCGGACTGCTGAGAATTGGAATCCAACGACGATGCACAAGGTAAAGAGGGAGAGGTGGAATAAAAGACGGAGAGAGAGAGAGACCCCTCTCTCTTTTAGTTATTCAGCAGGTATTAAAGTCGGGGCCCTCTCTCTCTTGCTCTTAGGATACCTGAGGGGCTCTTTTGCTTGAAAATTCTTGCCTAGTTACGCACCTACGTAACCTGCGTGCACGTGCAGATGGTGTCGACGACGGTCTGCCCTTTATAGGTCAGAGATTGCGCAGGAACCGATCAACAAGTTTGAAAACGAGGGAAATCCAAAGCATCGTCGCTGGGTCTGTCACCTCTTGCAGATTTCGAGGTCTCGAGGTCAGGGTGTCTCGAAATTTGCCATTCAACAGGCACCTGTTGAGGCCAAGGTATCCTGCTGAGGGTCAATCAGCACTTTTCATCTCAGATTCACATCGAATTCAAATTTATAATGCAAAGGGATCTGAATTCTTATATTAGTGTCCAAAAAAAAAAAATTTTTATTAATAGAATTCTTATAGAAATCTATTAATAAAAATTATCATATTTTAGAGAAAAATCAGTGTCTAATAGTAAAAAAATATTTAAAAAAAAAAAAAAAAATGTAGAGAATTTTCAACAATTTCCAAATTAGTTTTCACAATTTTGTGAATCAAATTGGCGAATTTCTTCTATTTTCTTTCCTATAGGTGTTTCTTTTTTCGTTTCGTTTGGTTTTATTTCTCATTTCCTTCTTATTTTTTATAAGCGTCTTTTTTTTCCCGGAAACGAAGAAAACAAGTCTAACTGTATACAATATACGAGGGTGCTCTAAAATTTATTGAAGTTTTCAAGCCTAAGTGCCCCAAGAAATCATTTCTAAAGAATTCTATATGGGAACCTTGGGAAAAAGTTGTCAGATCATTATCATTATTTGTAGGCGGCTATTCAGAAATTAGGTTTCGATATCTTTCACTTTTCTTCAGAATCTTTTTTATACATTTTTATTGTATAGATATAAAGTTAATTTTTGGGAATTATATACAATTGATGAATGAAGTTAATTCAAAAAATGAAATTCGAAATCGATCTACTAATTAAAAACAAAGCTTGTAATTGTTTGGAAATTCTTTTCTTTACTTTTGATTTGTTATATTCCTTTTAATGTTTTCTTTACTGTAGTTAATTACTTTTTATTTCTGAAATCATTAAACTATATAATAATTAAGATTAAAAAATTATTGTGCATTTGAGATTAGATTATTTACAAAATCTAAAGTTATAAATATTATTTCCCTGAGAGTTCTAAATAGACTAAATTAACGTAAAAATATTTCTATATATTGGAAAGAAAATTGGTTCGTAATTTTTTTTCTCACTTTTCTTAGGTGTCAACATAGAAATTGTTTTTTCGAAAATGTGAATTAATTTAGAATTTAGATTAAGTGATTTTTTAACACTATCACGTATAAAAGTGTTAACGGAGTTTCTTCTTCCAATTGAAATTCCTGAAAGCTGAGAGTGCCAGAAATCTATTTTTGTTCGACACTATGCCTTCTAAACATTGATATCATCTTAACAATTAATCAGATATTTCCAAAGATACGTCAATTAACTATGATCATCGTGTTTTTTAAAATATTCCTATACAAGAAAAGTGAACCTCGAATATTTTTTTTTTTTTTCAGAGAGAAAATCGAGGAGAAAATTTTGTTGGTGATTAAAATTTTAGAATATTAAAATTTTTTAATTAATTAGTCCACTTTTTTATACAAAATTTATTATTATTTTATTTATTCGTTTTAAAATTATTAATTATGAATTTTATTTTTTATTTTAAATTGCAAAATTAGAAAAATTTCGTTAATTTTCTTGAAAAATTATAAGAGAGAATGTTTCTTTCTACATCCGCATATGTAATAACTATTAGCTATTTCTAAATGTATATGAATATATTTATTCTAAAAATACGTTTGAGGAGCGACTAGAAATTTTTCTTTCAAAAAAAATTTCTATAATAGTATATAGTAGCTAAAGGCAATATTGTCACTAAAGATATTTCTTTGACATGTGTATAGTTTTTAAATGTTAGTTTGTTTACGTTTAAAGTCAACCAAAAGAGCCGGTTCAAAAGAACTCGCTGTCGGTGAAATCGATCGCTATCGACACCTCTCACGTCAGTTATAGACTACCTGCGACAATATTCCGAATGAGATCCGTTAATCCTCAAATCACCACTTAAATTATAATACTGCAATTTTTATGTGAAAAATTTCAGTAAAAAAAAAATGTCTCTTTGTTTTGACAAATATTCGATATTTTCCAACGAATATAACTGCAAAACAAAACATTTATGGAAAAAGTAAAAAGCTATTCACCTATACATCAATAAAATGCAGAACCTGTGAAATTGCAACTTTGCTTCGTAAATGACTCACTTTGCTTATACCATGAAACTATAAAATTACTACTGTGGAAAAAATAATTTTTTAAGTAAATAATACGTGTTACTTTAGACGAAAACAGATAAGAATTTTCTCATTTAATTTATAAATAAGCAATTTATTTAAAAACCTCTTAAAAAATAAATCGTAACAAAGTGTTTTTTTCTCAATTCTTTATTAAAAAAATGTAAAATTATTTCTGTTTCGATTTCGCAAAATAAAGTAAAAAAAAATGTATAATCAAACATAAAAGTAAAAGAAATTTTTTTTAGTAATATTTTTGAATTTATTATAATTAGTAATTATAATAAATTTTTCAAATGTTTGCAAAAGAGTTTTGAAATAAATTAATGTTTTTTTTTCAGCAAATGCTTGAGAGTGAAAATGAGGCAAGAGACTATTTCGAGATCAACTCGTGTCCTTTTGAATCCTGCAAATGACATTTATTGGACGTGGAAGGTTATTCGATAAATTTCAAGAATTACCAGTTCTCAAGTTTATATAAAACAAGTATTAAAAATCCTATTTCCAAACACTTCTGACTAATAAAGAAGGTAAGTAAAACTTGTTAGAGTGATAAAAAATTAAATTTTCTGAATTTTTCTTTAACTTGAACTTGATAATTTTGGAACTATATTAATTTTTGTACGTAATACGCTTTGTAGATTAGTTTTTATTTACTATTATTTTATTTTCTCTATATAAGTATATTAAAGTTTTTTTTTTCGTTATTAAAATCTCAATTTCTGAAATTCGTGTACTGTTACTCGGAAATCTGCGTTAGCAAGTGATGCACATATAATGTTATTCAATTTATGCACACTGGAATGTATATTCTCCTCGTTCAAGACGTCACCTATATAATTACGTGCAATCAACTTAAGTGAGAAAAATATACGGGAGGTCAGAATAAAACTCGAGAACTAACGGATTATAAAAGAAAAGACTTTATCCGATCGTTGATCCATTCAAGGATTTTTTTTTCCTTCAGAAAATTATATTTTTCCTCATATCAAGTTCCGTTTACGGAGAGAATAATCAATTTATTTCGCGAAAAAAAAAATTAATTTCTTTATTTAACAAAATAATTTAATTTATTTACCGAAATAATTTATTTTGATAAAAAAAAATTTTTTTTTAATTAATTCAGATCTATTTGGAAAATAAGTTTAAAAATAAAAAGAAATGAATAAAAATTTCACATGAAGGAAAATTGCAAATAGAATTGATATGAAATTTTTTTTGCAGATGAATCGAAGATGGGGAAAAAATTAGCAGTCGATCCGAGGGGGAAAAAAAATAAAAGAAAACGTGTCAAGGAGAGGAAACCTGTTTCCTCGATGGTATAGAAGAGGAGTTTTCGCATCTCTTGCCCTGCCTTTGAATGCCTTCAAAATTACATTCCACACCCATACGAGAGCGTCAAATTCTATTGGCTGAAAGATCTTCAACGATTCATGAACGAAAATCGAGTGTGTCACTGGGTCATCACTAATTACAAGAATTCCGTATTCTCCTTCTTATCGGACAAAAAAATGTCATCGTCTTCACAAATCGATTTTGTATTCTTTCATATATTTACCGCAGGTAAGTTCCGAAAATTATATATGAAAACAATATTAAATCATACGTTCATTTTTTTTAAAAAAGTTGCAAAGTGAAGAAGGGGATAAATTAATATAAAACAATATTCTATATTTTTTCTTAATATTCGTTAAATATTAAAAAAGAAAATTAATTTTTAGAGAACCCGGATTTTCATATTAAAACATGAGGCTTGATTTTATTGTGCAATAAATTCCGTGGCTAACGGTTTAAAATTTTCTTTTACGACACTTCCTCGAGTTTTTTTTATATATATATTATTCAATATAAAGGTGCAAATATTCCTTGTTGCATAAAAGAGTTGAAAGAAGTCGGTATTGAATAACTTAAATTGTTAAATTCTCAGCTTCTGCAATTTTTTCACAAATATGAAATTAAAATTTTACTTGATTATGTCCCTTTTGAAAGACGATTTCCATTAAATTTTTTCTTTTGATTTAATTTGAAATTCCTTTGGGAATTTACAAATTATTTTTTATTTTAAAAAAGTAGTATTTTGTAAATATGGGGAAATTTTTCTAATTTTTTTAATTCGTTTATTTTTAAATGAAAACCATTTTTATTCATTTCTTTTTTTCTTCCGCAATGAAATGAATGGAAGAAAGATATTTTGAAATAAGAAATTCCTGAAATAATTTAATGCACATGTCTCATTGGTGATTGGACTTGGGAGACGTGAATGTGTGCATTAGACTTTCCTGAACGCGATTAGAATAACGGGAGAGACATGAACGCCAGGGAAGTGATGTCTACTCGGCCTCGGTTACAGCAGTATTCACTTTTACTAACGCGGTCAGCAAAATCGCCCACATCCTTCAACCTATGCAATATATACAATCTTCTATAGTAGCAGATAACAAGAATTAAATTTCCTTTTCCTGTTTCCTACTATTTATTAAAATCTCTTTACTGATTTCTTTTTAGTTGCTTTTCTTTCTTTATTAAACGACAACTTTCAACAATTTTTTTTTACTAATTTATTTTTAAATACAATTTAAACTTTTGAATTTTTAAATTAAAAAATATATATATTTGGAAATATAGGACAAAATTATATAGATCAGACAGGAATGTACCGTTTAAAGCAACTGTAATTAAAGAAAATAATTATAAATTTAAATGTAAATTCTCACGATTATTCTATAAGGTCACACAATGATGACTCACGGGTCTTATACAGTAAAAACCAAAATATGATTTATTAAAAACAATAGATTCAAAACATTAATGGTGGTTCACTGCTGACTTTATAGCTATTTAAGGAAATATATTGCATTCAGACTTTCCAGGATCGTGAGAAGGTTTCGCGTTTTTTTAAAATCTTTGACAAACCTGTTCGACAGACAAGGTGGAAAAAGTAAAGATAAAATTCTTTCTCGTACAAGCATTGGGAGCAACGGAACTTCCGACATGGAATATCCGTTTTTTTTTTGTCACGTATATTTTTGCTTAGAACACATATACTTAATAGGCACGAGGTCATGCATTACCTTATCCTTCTCGCTTATATTGAAAGCAGAATGGAATGCAAAAATTTCTATATTATATTCTTTTCCTGACAAAAAATAATGATTTCTTTATATTTTTATTTGTTTTAAATAATACTTTCTTTAATTTCATATTATTTTCATTTCTCTGATTTTCAATATTTTTTAGTTTCTTTACATATTCATATATTTTCTATGTGACACGGAACCAATCATTGATATTCAATCAAGAAAATAAATAATCAATAAATATAATGAAATAAAAAAAAGTAAATAAAAATTAACCGCCTTTAATTTAATAGCCAATATATTTTTTTCCTACTTTTGATCGCATTTTTATGCCCTCGGCTTGATCATATATATATCTGTAATTTAGTATAATGAGCGACCGAATATTAAAGTAAAGAGCATCTTCGGAAACTTTCTAAAAGAAAAGGATTTTTATCTTCTCAGACGGGGAACTTGTTATTTTTAAGCAGTGTGTAATTTGTTTTTTGAACACAGTGTTTTCGATTTCAAATCACTAAAATTCTGTTTTGAACTGTAATTACTTCTTGGACTTGAATTATATTTTTTACAATTTTTTTTTTTAGTTTTCTGTCTGAGATTTTGAAGAAAAAAATTGATAAAAGTTAAAAATTTTATTTTATAAATCCATTTACAAATTTATTTTCATTGTTTCATTTTTATTTGGCAAGAAAACAAATTTATTGAAAATTGAAAATGAATTTTGATGAATGAAGGAATTTGATTTGGAAAAAATTTTTTTTTTAAAGTTGGTGTGTACAGGTCACTGCCATCGAGAGTCACGAACCCTTTTATGGGAGACTCGATTCTTTCAATACACATGAAGACAATCAAAACGATCTAGAGTCGCTGCACGATCTTTTCCTATGGAGAGAAATTTTATCAATTTGAAGATCAAATTCTTTTCCAGTAGCATAAATTATTAATCAAGTTTCGGTGCATTTCATTATTGTTGTATTTTAAAATTTATTCTTACAATTTTTATTTTTTTAAAAGAATAAATTGTAAAAAAAAGGAAATTAATTTAATTTTTTAAATGAAATTACACGAATTTAACAATCAAATAAAAAATTATTATAATAAATAAAGGTTAGAAAAAATAAAAAAATCTTTCAATATAATTTTTAATTTTGTAAAATTTTTAAGAAACTTTCAAAATTTTCGAATGTTAGATATGTCTATATATTGACACTTTAAACTTCAGTTAATTAATTAAACATAAGTTAATACTTCTTCTTCCAAGAACTTTCGAATCATTTGATATTCTAAACGAGTTGTATTGAAACAATGCCAGCTTCCCATTTCCTGCTTTATAGTGACTACTAGTTTATTTTTTTTTTCAATTAAAAATTGTTTAAAAATTAATTATTCATTAAATAAATAATAATAGTTTACTGAGAAATGGAAATAAAATTAGTTCAATTGAAATTTAAAAATTTTAAGTTTGAAATCATTATTTTTATGAAGATAGCTATATGTATGTAGAAATAGATCCTTGAGAAATAATTAACACTAACAGGATATGCGAGAATTTTTAAAAAAAGCGAATGCCATTGTCCAGTTGTAAAGTAATTATATTTCCCCGTTCTAATTACTTGTTCCATTTTTGCATGCATGATTGGCAAGTGCAACGGTAAATTTTATATTTTTCTTTAAAGTTCAGTGTTAAAGGCGTCAAATGGACTCTTCTTTCTCTTTTGTTATTTCAAGATATAGTCATTTTGTTTTTACAGTTTTTTATGAGTTTCAACTTGTAAGCTTTGATGAACTTTATACAAATTTTAACAAGAGACTCGCAATCATTTCAGAAATACTTATTTTTATAATACATTTTATTATTTTAAATATAATTATGAATAAATTATAAAAAAAAAAATATATTAAATTTACAGTCGAGAATATTCGGTATGAAAAGAAATAATAAATATATGAAATATCTCTTAGAAAGTGTTAATAAATTGAAAGGTCACAGTAAAAATGTTGTTTTTTGTTTCTTTAAATATAAGATAAAAATTGTAATTAAGCACTGTAGAGAAGAAGAATCTTTAATTTCTGCCTTTTAAAATTTCTAAAAAGTAAAAGTGAGAAATGATTAGAAATTCAAATTCACTATGTGACACGTTAAGAATTTTACTTTTGAATATTTTAAAACTCTAGTGAACTATATAATTTTGTCGTGTTTAAAATCACATAAAGTTCTCTTTTAGTTTCATATTTCTATATTGTATTCTGACAATAAAATTTTTAAAACTGTTAGGTAACATTTTACGTTTGTCTCTCCCGTTAAAAGTATCGATATAATTCAAAGAGAGATTAAAGTTTTTATATTTTTTCTAAATAACAATATCTTTGAGAATTATTTTTCCAAATTATGTGTAAAATTGGTAATCACAATTTTTAATTCGCGAAATACATTTATTTTTATTTTCTAAAATAATAACAATAATAATAATAATAGTTTTTTTTAATAATTTAAAATACTTCTATCTTCATTTCAGATATTCAAAATTACGAATTTATATTTGGCATTAATTTTGTTATTGCTTATAAATAATTCTTAATGTTTATAAAAATGTTCAAAAGCATTTAAATTTCAATTTGATGTAAACATTTTTTTTAAAGAGAAAAAGGTCAAAATTTTTAAAAAATCCCATTTATATTAAATTTGTTATTTTTATTAATAATTAAATTATTTATATTTATATTTTTATTAATTAATTTAATTAATTAAATTAATTAATTTTATATTATATTAGAAAATTTATTTTTATTTTTAAGGCATACGTTTTTTTCTCTAAAAAACAATTTTTCTAATTATTCTCAAAAATTTTTTTGATCAAGAGAAGCAAAACTTATTATTTTAAAAAAATACGAATATTTGAAGATAATATAAAAAAATATCCCTCCTAATTTTTGAAATAAGAAATAAAAAAGTTTTTTGCAAAACATTAAATATCGAGTAAGGATTAAATATAGAGAACAAAAATTTAAGAAGCTGCAAATATTAATGTTATTTATTGTTATTATTGTCGTTAGTCTTTTTTTTCATATAATACAAGTAATACATCAGAAACTTATAACCCTGACAACACGGGTGTCATTTCACCTCTCTTGAAACTTCAAACCCTGCAGGGTAAAATTCTCCATACTCAATTGCTAAGTTACGAACCTTGATGCAATTACATACATCATAAACAGCTTTTTTCGGCGCTTCTGGCCTCAGTAAACAACAGAGAGTCATAAAAATGAAGTTCATAATTTTGTATCGAATAATTTGTTGTTGTTTTGTTTTTTTTTTATTATTTTTAAGTGTCTGAAAATTTGTTTTTTCATTTATTTTCTCTGCGCGTTGATTGCGTTTAAATGACACGTTACTGACACTTGTTTTTCATTGGAATTTCATTCTAATGATGATAAGTATTCGACAAGTGCATTTCGCAATAAATAATTTCATGTTGCTTGAAAAGAGTTGCTTATGTGCTTACTCAGTTTTTTCTTCTTATTCTTTATCTCAGTATCACTTATTAATGTATTACAATTTTTATTTGAGCGTTGCCTGTGAGCAAATTCGACTACCTGCGACTATAAATCAATGATTCTAAATCTAGAATAAAATTTATAGTGAAATAACACGTAGGTTTTATATAAAAAAAAAATATTTTCGTTTTACATTCATCGAAGAACATTTCATGATTTTCCTCACATTAAGTATTTTTTTGGAAGACTTGATTAATTTTAAAATCATTATCAACACTTAATTATTTAGAAAAATCTCGACAAGATTCTTATTTTTCTTTTGAATAATTCACATGTCCTCGCAATTCAAAATTTTTAAGAAGTTATTATTTTTTAATAAAATACTTTACAATTTTAGGAAAGTGAGAAACAAAGAAATATTAGTAAAAATAAAAATTAAAAAGTTAATTTAATAAAATATAGTGAGAATTTTACCAATCAAATTGTAAAATATTTTATTACAATAAATTTCTCTCAATGTCGGTTTTTTTCTTTTTGAGCAAATATATTTTCGATTTTTTTTTTATGTAATTACAATTTATCCTAAATATCAACAATTTCCGCGATATAAAAATAATAGTTATCAAGTAGTGTCTTCCTTTATAGTAATTCTACATACTAAATTATACATTTTCGTTATTTAAAAAAAAAATCGTCGTTTCGTCGATTAATCTTTATTAATCCCTCAGCGATTCAAATTAATTGTTTGGCGGAACCAGCTAAAGATTTTTTAAAGAATTAACACAAAATTGATTAATTCTGAAAGTGATTTCTTTTCAGAATTAAATTCTGTTATTTTATTCCAAGAATAATTCTGCTTTATTCGGAAAAAAATATAACATTCTATTGTTTTATTCGAAATACATAATATTTATAACATTCTGTTATATTTGTTATTTCAAGAATAAATTCTGTTACATCTAACATTCCAAGAATGTTTTTTTAATTGTCAATTGTAAGTCAGCACATTTTCGCGCATTACTTGTGTCAAAACCACTTTTTCATAAAGAATAATATATATATATATTTGTATAATTAAATACATTGTTCGTTATTAATTAAAACAAAATTTGTTAGTATGGATGAAGGGCTGCTAGACCCAATCTTGGTGGTTCTGCATAACTATGACGATATCTTACTGCCGAGGGTATTATCTCTAAAGCGGGTCTAGCGCTTTCTCGATCTAATCCTGGAAATCGTTCATGTTCAGACAATTCCTGATATGCCATTGGTCTCATTCTTAATTTGTCCCGAAAATCTCGAGAAATTGGCCTTTCTCTAAAGTCTCTAATCTGTAAATAAGAAAATTATATTAATTTCTTAATTTCGAATATTTTCCATATTTTATTATTTACAATATTGTAAAATAATTATTTCATTTAAAATGAATAATTTCTGAGAATTCTAGAGTTAAGAAACAGATATAAAAATATCGGATGCTGTTTTCTGTATCGAATAGTGTATAAAAAAATTATCTAATGATTTTATAATAATAATAATAATTTAGTATTATATAATTCGAAAGTGTATATTATAAGTACAGTCAGTATCGTAAAAAAGTTGGCGGAAATATGTCGTCTTACAATTTTATTCGTGATTATCGAAATTAATAGATCATTAACAAAAATATTATTCAATAATGAATAAAATAAATAAAACATTTAGTTTCTATTTTTATTATAAACTACTGGATCAATTTTATTTTACTATTCATAATTCTTAATTGAAAATACACTTCATTTTATTTAGAGAATAATTCTCCATAACTTTCTTAATTGTAAAATTTAATTAAGTGCCTTTTATTTATTAAATAATAAAAATTAGATTTTACAATTTACCGATTTCTACATAACATAGATACTAATTGTATAGTTTTTATACTATTAATAATGTTAAAAAATTTCTTGAGATAATCAATTGAAAATCGACATTGATGACTTTTTTTCGATACATGAATTAAAAATCAATAAAATTTTCAACATTTATTTTTATAATTTTTATAGCTAAATAATTACATTTAATTAAATTTTTTTCTGAACTCATTTTAGATAAATGATTTTTTTTTGTTTATAAAAAAAAATTAATTTAAAAGAAAATTCATGCTCACGGCAGGAGGACTCTCGTAAGAACTTCGTGGTCGAGGTCTTGTGACTTCCGGTTCCGGTAAACGTGCCAATGGATAATGAAGGGTTCTAGGTCTTGGTTTGGCTTTGCACGAGACATCATTCTCACGGGCTAACAATTCGGGATGACTTCGCCTGATCAAATGTTCGTGAATTGGTGCGGAAGTAGAAACAAATTGCCTGTTCATTCTGTCCCCGTGGGCTTGCCTCGACATGTCCAACCTGCTTGATAAGAAAATCACTTGTGATTAGATAAATTTATCTCGCAAAAAAATAGTGATATCACTTTTTTATACACGCAATTTAATTTTTAAATATTACGAAAAAATTGATTTTTATCATAAAAATCATTGAATTTTTAGGACAAAAAATGTAACTTCACATTTCCTCAGAAAAGAAATTAATGAGAGATATAAAATAATTAAGATCTAAACGTTCCAGAAGAAAAGTTTATTTCAGAAATCTATCCTCATCATCTGACAAGAGAAATCTCTATAAATATTATGTTTAATGACTTAATGTGATGGGATGTGCATATTTTTACTGAAAGACTGACTCGGAGAAATGAGAATAGTTTAATTGTTTCTGTGATTTCTTGAAGAGAATTATTTTTGTCATTAGATAAAATTCTATTTTCATTTTTTAGTGAAGATAATTTATTTCGATTTTTAGAGAAAATTTAATTGAAAAAATATTTTCCTATTTTGTTTATCTAAATATTTTAATTCTTTTTTTTTCTAAAAAAAAAAATAACTGACCTGTGCATATGAATTTCAGGTTCACGTTGTCTGGTGATCACCGATCTTTGAATGGCTTCTCTCTGTTCCATTGCCCTGAACAATTCCTTGGCATCCTGAAATCTCTCCCTTGGACTTGTTATTTCACCAGGATTGACACGAGGTTGATATTGTGGACTTGGAGATCTTTGTCTGTGTTCTGGTGGTTTACGATTATTCCTGTGGGAAGCCGGAGAAACGCCTCTTGGAATCGAAACTCTTTCTGGACTTCGAGTTATTCGCGGTAGAGTGAGATTTGAGGTTTCACGTTCTGGAATATAATCTTGATCATCCGCTGGACCACCCCAATCGTCATCTGTAAAGTATTATTCAATTTTAGTTACAAAAATTAAAATTCGCATTTATTTTTTAAAATTAAAAAAAAAATTTAATGAAATTCAATTTTAAAAGAAAATTGAAATGAAAATTTAAAGAAGAGAGACAATGAAAAAGAAAAAAAAAAGATAGGGAAAAATGGATGAAAAGGAGTTTAATAAGTGGAGATAAATTTTAAGTACATTTCTTGTTCCACTTTCAGTTCAACTACCTGTGAAGACAGCAAATCAGCACCAATCGACTCGACACTCTTTGGAGTAACGATTTCATCGACAAATGGATCTGCGAAGCACAAATTATTGCCTGCGAACGATGGGGTCAAGTCAGAGAAAAGACACAGTCGAACCGAGACGACCGTGAGAGTTTGCCAGCAGACTCGACTCACAGATGTAGGAAAATGGGTCCATAGTATAGGAAAGGTCACAAATAGAAGGTGAACGAAAGCAAGTAAAGTGAGTTGAGTATATTTTATATTCAATGTGCAAGAGAAAGAAAGGATAATAAGAATTTCTTTAGGGTGGGACAAGAAAAATGTCCTCGCTTCTTCTAAATTTAAAAGTTATAATAACAAAAAGAGAAAGAGGAGACAGTGGGTGGTAATGAGGAGAAAGGGGTGGAGGGAAGAAGATTTAAAGAGATTCTCTCTAAGGTTAAATGACGCCTCTGGCTATGGGCCAAGAATGCGGAACTTGAAGAGGTACGAATTTAATTTTTTTTTTGACATTTTTTTCTTAAGTGCGTCAATCTAATCCTGATTATTTCCATTTTCTGGGGAATTTTTGAAATTTTTTTCTATACATTGTATATATAGATAATCTTTTACAAGGCGATTGTTCAATTATAAGAGACGGGAGGTATCGCTTGGAATGTCGTGAGTTAATTGAGAATTCAAAGAGAATCCTCGGAGCGTGCCACTGAATGTGAAGATGAATTTTTTTCTCTTTCAATTTTTTTTTGCGCGCGAGGAGAAAAGCAATGATACATCCAATAGAATTGAGTTCCCACTGTGTGGAACGAACTGTATGGACGAGAGATTTTCCATTCGTGGCTGGTGAGGAATTCAATCTGCTTGCGAAATAAGATTAGCACATTGTCCATAGAGAGAATGTCAGGGACAGAAACCACACATTTTCTTTTGTCAGATGAATTTTTTTTTTTTAGTGTGCACCGCTATTGAAGACCATATTATTCCTTGGGAATCAATATTATGTAACATTACAATATTATTATTTGAATTACAGTTAATATTACCAGAGAGGCTTGGAAATTGTTTTTCATTATTCGTATATTATTTTCAATTTTTTTGTTACTTACAAAAATGATTTGATCAGATATATTTTTGGAAACAGGAAACCATTCGTGGTGATGTCAATAAAAATTATTTTTTTTTTTTTTATTTGGAAATGTAGATTGCCTTGACCTTACTTTAGAGGAATTAGAATATATCGAAGGTTATTGACGCTTGTAAATTACCGTCAGGTACTAAAAATTAAACGCATAATATTTAAATCAGACAATCATTGTGGGGATAATTGCTAGAAATTTAAATTCGAATTTTGTGGATATTCTTTTAATTCCTATTTCAATATTTTTCAGTAAAATAACAAACAGATTGAAAAAATCTATCAAATGGAAATGGAAAGCAATCTAAACTGAAGTGAAACTTGGAAGAAGAAGATTAGTTTTTGAAATAATCAACCCTGGCCTAGAATGATTCGCGTTGAAAAAAAATTGGCATCTCAATTACAAAGTTTTGCCTCGAAGGCGCTACAACTTTTCAATCAGAGAATCACATATTGTATGTGTAGAGCGAGTAATTGGCGGCATTTTCACGCACATCGTATATACTTTTGAATCCCAAGTGCTTTGACTATATAGAAATAATTCTTGGGCACGTTTCAAACTCTTGAACGCAACTAAAATGACCAAAGGCAGTGCGCATACATATTATCGGATCTTCACCGCAGGATTTCCTCATCGGCTGATGCGAAGCGTTACAAGGAATGCATTTTCGATTGGTAGGTTGTGTTTGTGTGTGTGTGTGTACCAACAAGAATATGCGATAGTGCGTTAAACTGTTAATTTCGCGTCTCTCACACGTCTTCTTTTTGAATGCGTGAGATGTAACTAGGTGCATATCAGTGGCCATCATAAAGAAAGTACGTTGAACGCTCGCAGACCTTGCGGTTTTGCCACTTGAAGATGCGAATGTACTCATCATGCATTATAAATTTATAACCACTCTCATATATATGAAAAACAAAAAAAAAGTCCCCGCCAAGAATCTTGATGTTCTATCTACTTCTCTCCCCCCCCCCTTTCACAAATTATTCAATCTCACTGTAATTTCCTATCGTATTTTCTTTTCAGTAGTTACCAAGTAATTGCTACTTTTGCGTAAAAATTTTCTTTACAAAAAATAACTTTTTTTTGAGAATATTAATTTTTTACAAAAAAAAAAAAAAATTAATAAGTTACTCAATTTTTAGGCGATCTAATAACCATGAATTTTTTACTAAATATAAATCACATTTTAAACCAAATGAAGAAATTCATAAATTATTAATTTCAACATTATTTTTTCTATACAATTGTGAAACGCAAATTAATATATGATATAGAGAATAAAATAGAAACTGTTAATCAAATTCGATGATTAATCAATTTAATCGATTATGAAAATAAATATATATATATTGAAATCAAAATGTTTCCTAATAGATTTGCTAACTTTGAAAAGGTATTATTTCAATTCAAATCGGATATTCAAGATCTAGTCGATGCAAATAGGACAATTTACATTCAATGAATATTTCAATAAAGTCACACCATCAAAATTTACATGAAATTAAGGTTCAAACAATTACGTTTGAAACTATAAACTTTAAATTATTTGCTACCGCAATTATAATTATTATTTTTTTTTTTTTATTACGAAAAGAAATTTTTTCCACTGGCCTACAATTCTGTAAATGTAAAATTAATTATATAAGTGCGATCATAAAAATAGAAATAAAAATTCATTAAGCACAATTTCTTAAGAGAGATAAATTTACAAGAATTGGAGAATGGATCATTAATTTAAGTTACCGAAAGATTTTTAAAACGTAAAAAGAAAAAAAAATCGTCCTCGAAACACTGACCTGCATCCTTTATATATATATATATAGGAATGAAAATATGCACGTGATGGAGAAAAGTTAAAAAGGCAAATTGCGATGTATATTAACAACATGAGAGAAAGAGAGAGAGATTTCAAAGTGGGCCAAGTTAGGTCCAAGGTGGGTAAGATGAGAGCCAAAGATATCTTGCGTATATAGGAGAAGAGTAAGTTTAAGAGACGGTAAATGAGCGAGACTAAATGCGTACATTCATGCATGCCAGTGCGAACATGTCCCGAGAATAAAGCCCTGAAGCCAGAAACCTGAAGGCAGGTCCGTTGGTACCTGTTGCTAACACGTCTTCCTAACGGTATATTCTTTATATATATATACATTATAATATAGTATATTCTCCATCGTAACAGGTGCCCCCTCAAAATTCCTACTTAACAATTTACCAATACCAAAAATCGTATTTGCAAAAAAAATTTCTATTTGAAATTCTTTCTCCACGAGAAATCTAGTTTTACATTAATAAATAATTTATGAAATTTGAAGAAAATATAACAATAATTAGTAAAATAAATAGTAAAATCATTGACAAGAAATATATATAAAAAAAAAAGATATAAATAATTATAGAAAACAAAAAGTAATGAAATATATCGCCGAGGAAAAACAAGTTCAAATCGAATTAAATTCACAATATTGATCTCAACCAAGACCTTGTAACTTATTTAATATTTTTTTTTTCTCCATTTTCAGACTTCCTGCTAATGATTACCAAAGGAATCGTACCTTATTATCTGCAATCATCGAACTGGCAAAATGTCTATCATCAAACGTCAGTAAAGGATCAGTGATCAACGTTTGATTTTCTACAATTCTCCAACTATGGGGCGAGGAAACGGGAGAGAGAGATAGAAGTTGGGTTTCGCGATTTATGTACTAACATATGTACACATAAAGTAAAACCTTTTGCTTGGCAACTTGCGGCTCTTTTCACGGTGCATCGTACTCGCTCAAGGTGACGTATATATTCGCTCTTTTTTCTCCCTCCCCCCTCCCCTTCTCACACAAACAAGAGAGTGATATCCTATCGTGGTTACATGGTTTATATTTATTGCCTTTGAAAATTTATGCGATATTAGATTCGTCTATATTATAGGCTTATAATAAACATCTGTATATAGAAGAAATTTCACTTTCACTTCACTCAGAAGCAATCTCCAATGAGAGACCTTTATATGTACTTGAAACAATTTTACAATGTAATTATATTGAGAGTATATCTTGATAGTCGAAAAAAAGGACGACTAATTCCCATGTTTTTTTTTTTTCTTTTTTTTTTATGTCGCCGCAGGCTGGTGAAATTCAAAATGAACAGCGCGAGAAATCTGATAAATAAAAGACACACGCAAATTTCAAAATTTTGCTCTGCGGTCCTAAAATATATTTAAAGATATTATTCAAATTTTAATTTCATTTTTTGCACATCAATTTTTATTTTCCAAAATTGTTTATAAAAAATATAAAATTTTAAGAAAATATAAATTGCAAAGAATTGAAATTTCAGTAAAACGAATTTCGTGTTTCGGAATGATTTCGTCTTTAATGGTTAATTATATGTGAATAAAAAAAAATAAAATGTAAACAGAATGAAACGTAAAATGGAATTAATGTCTTTTCGTGTGGTAAAGATTCAAAGATAAAAATCGAGCTTGTTCGCTGATTCTTTTTTTTTTCTCCGCATATACATATTATAAATTCTCCGGAAGTGGGTTAACGGAGCACGTCTTTGCTTGCAACGTTTCTATGAATGCGTCACGTGTGCACCTGTTTCGCAGGTAGAAAGTGTCCAAATTTGTTATTTCTGATCGCCAAGGCGCCTATTTCTCCGAATTTTTTTTTACGATTTTTCCCTCATTCATATAACAAACATTGGAATTTGCTTCACTAAATTCCTAAAAATTTTTGAATTCATTTTGCGATTTGTTTTTTAAAAATTAAATTTTTAAAAAAATTAATTAAAGAAAATTTGAAATGAAGAATATTTAAATTTTAAATTTAAACGATAATTAAAAAATCATTGGGAAAATGTTCACTGAACTATTTTTTTTTCTATTTCGATTTTATCAAAACCGGTTAAATTATTTTCTTTTTTTTTTTTAAATAATAACGCATGCTCATGTATTAAGATTTTTTTCATTCTTTGCGCCTCTTAATGAATATTCGTGAACCAGAAATGGCTTGTAAACATTTGCACCCTGGTGGGAAAATTACAGATCTTGATGAGATATAACTTTATTCTAGAGTGTGTGTATGTTGTTTAAATAAAACCCGTTACGAATGCTGTAGGTATGTTAAGGACACAAGTGGAAGAAGAAGAATGTCGACTGCAATAAACTGGTCGTCAAAATTTATATATCTTAACACGCATTCAAAGTTTACTTCATAGAGTCTCTCATCTTCTCGCGCAAAATGTCAAATGTCATAAGGAATTTCGAAATTACGGAACTCTTCGAAACTTCCTGATTCCTTTCTAAAAACGTCATTTTTTTTTTATTATAAATATATTATTGCCTGTTACAAAATCCCCTTGTTTATATATATAGAAAACGAAACCGACAAATAAATCAAGCAGATAAATAACGAGCAATAAATTCAAATAATAAATTAATCAATTTAGTAAATCAAAGAGTTTAAATGAATTGGCTAACAATTTTTCAGAAGGTAAAAAGGTCTAATTTTAAAAAAATTGAAAGAAAATCGGAAAATTGTAAAGCTTAAAGAATTAAAGTGGCGGAAACTTGAAATAAAAATGATGAACGGTACAGTTGTTTACTGTGTCAAGTCGAATGATCATTACATCTATTTACTGTGTATATAACGAATGATAGAATCAGGGTGATTAAAGACTTTCTCGAAAATCGAAGCGATTTCTAATTTTCTTCAGATTTATTTACTTTATATATATATATATGTATTCACTACTGTGAATTGTTTGTTTTATATTTGACCTAATTGTGTCAAATAAAATGATATTTAATTTTCCATTCAACAGATATATGATTATTCAATTATTATTTTAAAAAATACCTTTTAGAAATATTTTTTTAAACAGTAAGAATTCGGATATACTTAATTATAAAAGAAAAATAGAAATAATTTTCATTAAATAACAAAAGTGATTATAATAATTGTATATTAATTATGAAATTATAAAAGAATTTCTATATTTATTTTCAAGGGCATAGAACAACAAAGATTCGATAACAATCGAGGAATGTCAATGTTAAGGAAAAAAAAAAAGAAAAGAAAACTCACCGGAAGATGAATCCCTCGAAGGTCTTGATGGCCTTGGTCCTAAAGGATGATGAGATTGATAAGGAGGAGGTGTCGCTGCACTATCAGAACCAATTCCACTGCTCGCGGCACTTCTCGTCCCACCTCTTTCAATGACAGTGTTTCCTCCTACGATGTTTTGATTTAGACATCGCCTGTACTCAATTCCTGCGAGATTACCTCGCTGTCTGTGAAATGTGTCGTAATCGCGTGGTGGCAAAAGAATGGGACCAGAATTGTCAGCCGAATTTCCTCTGCCTGAAATGAACAAAATAGTAAAAAAAAAAAAAAAATCAAAGGATATCCTCTGTGTCGTACTTGCATATCTCCTAGAAATTTCAATGTGTCACAATAAATTGTCACACTTTTATAATTAGTAATTAAAAATTTAATTAATTAATTTTTACACAGTTTACCTAATTTTGCTCTTAATTCGGCTGCTAGGGATTCATAAATTGATGTTGATTGAACTGGAATATTTCGAAGTTCTCCACTTCCTTCCGAAGATTCAGATTCTCTTGTGCTTCTTCCATCGCTACCTAGATTACTGCGAATTCTACTTTCAGTTGATGCTATCCTTGCTAAATTATCTGAGTGTGAAGCCAAAGCCTTCAATTGCCCTCCCAACAATTCTGCAGTTTCCACCGAATCACATCTGAAAAATAAAAATCATTTTAACAAAAAAAAAAAAAATACATAAAATATTAAAAATCTTATCTTTATATATTTAAAAATAAAATGTTACATTGTTAGCAAAAGAATTTCAAAATTAATAAATTTAATCATTTAGAAAATAATAAATATTCAATAATTTAATCGTTATATGAAATATTTTATATCAGAAAAATTTTCCTTTTATGATGAAAAGACTCTATTATAATTTTCTTGCATTGCCTGTAATTGCAAAATATGATAATCTAAACTGAATGATGGTCACTCGAGTCACAACAATCTATGTCATTATAAATATTATTAATATTTACTGCCTATTAACTCTAATAATAACTTTGTCTTCATTCAAAGAGAAATCTGAATTTTCGATTTCTTCCTAAAAATACACTTTCTATTTTTTTTTTTTCATTAAAAAGAAACAAAACATTAAAATTTTATTATCCTACTATTCTAATTTATGTTAGTCATCAAAATATTTACACTTGAAATTTTATTTTCTCATTGATCACATGTTAAATTGGAAAATAATTTCCCAGAAGTCAATTTGATAAATATTGAGAGATATAGTCTGATTTTTACTTTAAAATATATAAATATAAATCCGCGGATTATTTAATATCAAGGTGGGATTAACTTTGAAATCCTTCCGCGTAGGTCACGTGTGAATCAAGGAAGTATATGTATACTGTTGTTTAGAATTATGAAAGTCATCAATTAATGAAGCCAACTAGTGAGATCGAGGCGATGAACTATATGACCCTCATACATTTAATTATACACACACACATACACATTAGATGCAAACTTATTAAAAATGCAAAACAATCCCACACAAATTGACAAGATTCCTGCGCGTCAACCTTATATTCAAAACCATTCTCTATGTGAAAATTAATTATTTAACAAAGTGAATTTATCGTTGAATGAAAATTTTCCAGATCCTTGAATATCATCATTCAAGTTCTAGTTTAATGAATCCCAAATTAAAATTTTGATAGTAATATTAAGAATTAATAATATATTTTTAATATTTCAGAAATGTGAAGATCCTTGAGGGAAATTTTTCCTTATACGAATTAAATGGAATGGATTTTAAAAGGAGGGAAAAATTGTCGTTCTAGTTAAAGAATTCTCTATGTAATTAATTGGAAAATGAATGTCGAATGGATTTCTCAATAAATATATATATATATAGAAAACTTTTGGATTTAAAAATAATTTGGAGTCATGATTGTTAATTGGAGCAATTTTAAGTTAAAAGATAATTATCAAAATGAATTCGAAATGTGGAAATTGATTTCGTAAATTTCAATTATAATCAAACCTGTAAGCATGAACGTGAACTGGATTATTTGACGCGGGATTGGGTAGAAGAAGAGTAGCAGCAACAACATCTTCACGTTGAACTGTTGCTAAAACCGCATGACCTGGTACCAAATGCTTTAAAGCCGATCTTGACGATGCTGCTGGATGATGAACCGTCTGAATTATTTTCAATCCTTTACTGCTCACCTGAAAGCATAAAAATAATCATCATTATAACGTTCTTTCGAAATTTAAAGGTAATTTATATTCTAATTTAATTTTTATAAATATTTTCGAAAATTTAAATTTTTATAAATTGAATAATTAGATAGAAGGTTACCTCATTGCAGGAAAAAGAAAATTAAAACATGTAATGGGAAAATCATGGGAATGTTAATAATTATTGCGGATGAATTTTGTTATCAGAATCACTCTCATTCATTTCATTTGTAATTAATATATATATATATATATATGGCTTACGATTCTCGTTAACAAGGTACAGATTCATAACTGATGCTCGGTACATCAGGAGGAAAAACCGCGGTAGCGGAATATATGATTTCGCACGCGCGTATGTGTGTGCAGGTAACCATATAAGAAACACATAACTAGAGCGTGAACTTTTTAATTGATTCATTAATAGTCAAGTCACCTCCCATAGTGGAGCAATTTGAATACCTTCCTTCATATCTGCAAACTAGATTCTTGTATGTACCATTTTTTTTGAGACCTTATGGATATACGTTACATGGTAACGGTGCACACCAGGTCTTATAAATCAGGTTGTTTAGAGTATTTCTCTCTCTCTTTCTTTATCTCTCTTATGATGGTGTGAATAGGGTTGAGAAGTATGAATATTGCTTTTGAATATAACGATTCACTGCGTGTAAATTATGTTTATGGGAAAATTGATAAAATAGGTGACCCTCACCTTCGTATCGAAGGAGAATTCGTTTCATTTTCCACGCAGTATATAAATAAATAAAAATAAAAAAAAAATTTTCTTTTCGTGAAAAATCTTTTTTGAATGTCACTTGAAATCGATTATACAAAGAAGTGTGAACTCCCGATACCCTTTTAGAAATGTCAATGTTGTTTTCTACCTACGAGAAGTTTAAATAGCGAATATATATATATAGTCGTGTAATTAATGTTTCTATTGTTGAATCGACGTTATCACACTTTACTTGTCTGGAAGTTTAGTCAATGCTCACGAGCCGTGCACGAGTTATGACAGATGATTCCGTAGACTTTGAAAACTTTCTCGAGAGATGCTCGCCTATATAGCAATTATAATTGCACAATATAGTTTCTCAATCTCCTCCCCTTTTGTCTTCTGAAAACAATATTATTATTTATTAGCCATTTCATTCGTGAGTAGTTATTTCCAATTAATTATCCCCTTGGACAAAATAAACTTTCTTGAAATTATTAGTACAGTAGTTTTATAACTATATATCATTGACTATAACTGTATTATCGATTTGCAAAAAAAAAAAAAAAAAGAAGTATTTCTTACTTTTTATTTTTAGACAAGGTAATTATTATTGAAGACATGTGGTTTTAATAACAGATTTCTTTAACTTCCTGATTTGCTTCAAGAAATAAACATCAAACGGATGGACCGCTGTCATTTTTTTTTTATTTATTTATTTTAACTGAATGTATAATGACAAATAATGTTGTTTCCTTTGCAATTATTAATCTTTTACTACAACGTGACATAATAGTCAGTTTAAGTCGCGTGGTGCCAATAATTATTTTTCTTATGACAGCAAACACGAGTGGTATAATTATTTTATAACAGGAACAATATAAATGGAATTTGTGTGATTATATCAAGTGAGAAAAAAAATCGTTATGAAGATTCACTTTGATAAATGGTATTTCTTTTTATCTTCTTACAAAATAATTCAAGGAACAAAAATATTATCCGTCATTTTTTCAATGGAAGTTAAAAATAATTTTTTATAAGAAAACAAAAAATATATTGGATAAATATCATCATAATATTTCCAAATATATCACAATACGGAAGTGTTTTTTAATTATGGTTCAAATCAAATTTCTTCCATTTATGGTCATAAAATGAAAACACTGTTTTATTCATGAACACGTTTATACTTTTTAGAAAAAAAACTGACTGAAAATATATTTTAAAATATTTTAATCAAATTCTTGATTAATTGACTTTTAATTTATTAATATATTCAAAAACACTTTTTTCGGATAAAAACAATTTAAAGGAAAAAATTACATGATGAAAAAAAAAAGTTTTGACATATATTCAAAATATGAAAATAATGAGAACATTTATTTAAAATTTCATATTATTAATAAGTCTCATAAATTCGTTGGTAATAATACTTGACTTTATAATAATATGTACGTGAATATAATAATATATATGGGAATTTCTCATAAGAGATGAAAATTCGTTATAGCATTGTACATAATGTTTTAAATATTATTCTCCAAAAGGATTTCTTCATGCCTTCGGGGGGTTTCTTAATTTTTAAATCAAACTATTAATTTTCTTTATAAGAGAAAAACAGTAATGAAAATTTAATTACACTACAATCACATGAAGACATCTATTGAAAAAAAGGAAAAAGTTTTGCTCCAATAAAAAATAATTACAAATTCAATCCAATATATGAATTTTACTTTATATTTCGACTTTATAAAATTCGAATTAAAAACGAGTGTATTTAGGGAATATTCATAGTGAAACGGAATCAATAGAAGTGAAATACGTGCAAAAACTAATTGCCTATTAAATTCTTTCAGTTTAAAAAGAATTTCCTTTCTTTTCCCGACAGCAAATGAAGGACAGACAATAACTCATGTGGTGTGTCAACCGGGGAAAGTCAGGAGCTCGCTGATGACCCGGCTGTTAGTACTTATGTACCAACGCATCCAATATATGTATATATATATACGCGCCAGTTAGAGTCACTCGACAGTTAACGAGGTTTATTGCATTGCGAATGGTATGTATTCGCAATGCCGATTTCTATCCGGGCCACAAGTTCTCCTTTTGTAGATTTTCAATTGGCTCGTGTCAAGAATAATTTTTGAAACTTGCTTTGAAGAAAAAAAAGTCTTTGAAATTCCATATCATTGGTCTCGACTTTTGTCCATCGAATATAACATTTCTCTTTTCTCTTTTTCGCTCTATACATATAAAGACAAAATGAGAATACTTGACACTTTATGTACACATTTAAGAAAATGATTTGCCATTAAGTATTTATAGTTCATCATCAAATTGAAAGTCACTGTATTGTACAATTGCACTGTGTGTGACTCGATTTATCGAGCTGTTTTTGCCACACAACGTCGTTAACCGTTATTTTATATATTTTTACATCACTTCCATGAGTTTAAAGCGAACCTTCGTTTCCTATGTAAACACGCGATATCTTAAAAGAATGCTGACGATCCGCTATGCTCCTTCCATGGAACGTACTTCATAAAACTTGAGTACTATACAGACAAAAAAAAAAAAAGAGAGAGAGATGAAAAGACGAGACAAAAAGTGTCTTTCAAGTTCACATCCTGTGCGCACATCAAAACCAAGTTTCGACAAATTGAATTAAACTAGAGAATTAAATTTATATCTATTTTTTACATCAAGTATTAGATAATAATTAATCAAGTGACGATTTTAAGACGCATTTAAAGTGAAAGTAATGATTCTTTAATTTGATGAACAAGTCGAAGTGAAAGCTGATATACTGGAGTCGAATTTTAAACTTCAAAAAAAAAATCAGACTTTCAAACATAGAACACCGTGAATACTAAAAGTATTGTCAAAAAAAAAAAATTATCTACTTTCAATTTGCAACAAATTCTGTGATAAAAAATCAAATTCCAAAGATTTTTTCTGTTTTAAATTTAGAAATAAGATGTTTTCAAATCCATAATAAACTAATCGAATTCAATTTAAAAATTAATTTCCTTCTTCATATTCAAAATATTTTTTTCTTTGACGGCAAAATACTGATATTAAAAGCGTTTTAAAAAGTAATTTTAAAATCAAATGAAATATCAGAAGTATAAACTTTGATAAAATTCAAAGTGAAATTTCCAGTTTCTACGCAAAGGATTGTCGATATAAAATAAAAAAAGAAAGATTCGAAATGTAAAGAAACAAAGAAATGTGGACAAAAATGAAAAACAAATGAAGAAGAGAACAGAGCTGAATAAAAAGCGAAAATTTGTTAAATTCTTAAGAGGACATTGATATGAAGTTCATGTAGTGTCTTTTTGGCCATAAATTTTATAAATACTTTTTTTTACACTATAAAAATAGCTTTCTTCGTTTTCTTTTTTCTCTGCGTGCGTTAAAAGAATGCGTATTATAATCATTAAAAATGTTGTCAAACTGCATAATTTTTTATTCAAAAAAAAATTATTATTTGCATTTTGGAACCGGATTTAAAAATAGTAACACACTCACCTGTAAAGTGACCTTGAAAGGTTCTTGAAGTCGTTCACGTTCCAAGAGATAATCTATGGCACTTGGCATGGCATCCACCCCTTTTGCTTCCCTCGCCCCCAAATACCATACGTAATACGAGCTTTTCTTGACATCTTTACTTCCTCTCAAACGTAGGGCCATCACTCACTGAAAAATGAAAATTATTATTATTTTGCAATCATTCTTTGAGAAAAAAAAATTTTTAAACAAGATAATAAATTATTCTACAAAATATAAAAAGAAAATTTAATTCTCTTCACTGCGTTAAATTCTATCTGTAAATTTTGTAAAAATTTTCAAAAAATTTGTTTTTTCCTTATCAGTTTATTACATTGCAAATTGAACATTACTTGAAAACATTAAAAAAAAAATTGTTATTAATTTTTGTATGCTTTTTTTAACATCAATTAGAAGCTATAAAAAGACAAAAATAATATTTTCCTTAATGTTCGTTTATCTTCACTTCAATAAATTAATTTGTCTAACTTTTTGCCTTGAGTCGACAGCCGACATATGTACAGCGAATAAATGATCTTCAAAATGTAAATTTATTGTCCACTAACGGAATAATAATTACTCGAACACCTGCTTTATGAGCAGCGCAATACCACGTCCTTAATCCACTACGATTACAAATTCTTAAGGAGAAAACCTCGAAAACTGCTTTTGCCACTCGAGAGGAAAACGTAAACAATTTTTTTTTTCAAGTTCCATATTTGAAAAAGAAAATTTACCATTTCTAAAAATTGAACCAATTACTATAACGATTGAAAATTTAATTATAATAAAATTCATCGGTATTTTAGTTGCAAAAATTATAAATTTTTTTCAAATTCAATTTCCGCTGAGATGATAAATTTTTTTTTATTAGAAATGAAAATTAAAAACTCCAACTTCATTAAAAACTCACATGAAAAGAAAGGCGAAAGCCTGCAATATATATATTGTAGAATGCGAGAAAAGTATATAGAAAGGAAAATAAAAATAATAAATATGGGCAAAAAAAATGATGATAAAAATAGAGCATGAAAGAAAATAATAAAACTTCTCGCGCGCACAACTTCCGAAACATTTATCTCAATCAATATTTTTTACGAAAGAATAACGGACGACTTTTTTTTTTTTTTTTATTATTATTTATTTCAGTGCAGGTATATCTTGAGCACTCTGGACAAGAGAAGAACTCGAAGCACCATAGGCTCGATTACTTTCACGCTTAAACCCGTTTCCACGTTGTCCATCTCCGTTCTCGCTCAACAGTTTGATCCGGAGCTCCATCAGAGGGAGATATATCTTATAGAACGAAAATCTTCTAGAAACAACCTAACAGGATTGTCCAAAATAGCATAGGATGATTGTTTTCTTCATAAACAATATTCTTCTCGAGAAAATTGGAAACTTTATTCCCATTTCATTTATCGGGGAGCATAAAAGAAATTATTTCCACTTTGGAAGAAAGAGAGAGAGGGAGAGAACTAAATTGATGATAGAGGAGAAATATTTTTTTCTAAAAGAGTTTTCAGAAGAAAAAATCTCTTAAAATTAATTAAAAGTTGTTCTTTGAAATTATAACATTTTTAAATGAAAAATCAAATTATTGAAAATCTCCAGATATTATAAAATCATTTTTGAAAGATACAAAAACGAAAATTAAAAATACATAAGAGAAAATTTTTTAAATTTCCTAGACAATTTTTGAAAAAAAAAACTTTCTTGAATTGTTCACTTCACAGAAATCAACTTTCTGGTTTGTAATACATAATTGATAACAATTAAAGGAAAAAAAAAGAATTTCTTTTCACTAAAAGAATAAAATATCAGTAACATTGTTAAAAAAAAATGCTGAATATATAAGTGAAAGTAAGATTAGATCAATTTTCGAGACATACAATTTTTAGATCATCCAATTTCACTTTTCATTAATTAACTTGATTGATTTGATCTTTTTTAAATGTCAGACAATCGTTCTCGCTTGAAACTTTACTAAAAGACATAATGTGCTCCCAATTATAAATCTTTCATCATACCATCATTAAACTGTGATTACTTGAACTCGATTATATAATTTAAATATATTAAAGAATGAATTTAAAAATTTTTTTGGTTGTACTATTCTATAGTCAATAGATTTTGATTCTATATTTTAAAAAAATATTTTACAAAAACAATTGATAGAAATATAATCTAATCCAAAGAATATTGATCTTGAAACTTTTAAATGAAACAAGTTACACAAGATTATAGACTTGATACTGATACACAACACGTGAGATTCTAACTTCCTGACCTACTTTACAATTAGACAAATTATGTCGACATAATATTTGGATAATTTCAAAAAAAAAAAGATATACAATCTCAATTTTTTCATCATCGCTCCTAAAAATTGTAATTACATTTTTTTCCCACCAAAAATCTTCATTTTATCTATTAAAAATAATCTCGATATCATGAGAATGATTTATAATATTACATAAAAATGATATAATTAATCATTCAAATTAGAATTTAATCTTCTTCCATCTTTTATCTCATAAAGTTAATCACAATTGAACAAAAAAAAAAAACATATTTGATTTAAAAAAAATGTTTAGTTACTTAATATTTTTTCCCCCCCCAAAAAAATTCCTTTTATTTGGTTAAAAAAAACTGTTTGAAATATTTAGTCTGCAATTTAACTATATAGAAAGTCGTAAAATAAAAGTGTGATAAAAATACGAAATATATGTAAAGAAATTCCAAACTTTATATATCCAATTCTCAGTTACTAAAATACCAATAAACTTTCTTTTTTTTTACCTGAAAAAGAGAAACACGACAAATTCTTGAAAAAAAATTTATAATGCAAAAACTAGTATTCAATATGGAAAAAACTATTTCGCACAGTTCACTTTGCGTAATAAATTATTTAACTATTTTAGTCTACTGTTATCGTAAGCTATTTAACGACTTAAATGATTTACAATTGAAGCTAAAATTTGCCATTTATTTACCTAATATATGTTGAAAATATGATTTATAAAATTCCAATTTCTCTGTAGCACGCGAATAATAATAATATTAACAATAAATTAAACATTAAATTGACTCGTATTATATACAGTTCAGACGAGCAGGGAAGTTTAATTTTATGAGCCATTTTCTTCCAGTTCTAAAAGTCGTATTGATGAAGTTGTTCTCTTTATGATTACAGTTCTATTCCCCGATTTTATGACCAGTAAAAAAAAAATTTTTTTTTCCTCTTTAATTTCCACAAAACTTGAAATTTTCAAAAATTCATAAAATTCTAGTCAATTTTTTTTTAAATTGAAAAATTATAACAGATACAAATTTTATTTTAAAAAAATTAAAAATAAGGTGGAATTAAATTAAAAATAAATTAACATGCAAAAATTTAAAATTAGATATAAAAAAACAATATAAAGTATAAAAAAATTAATTAATTTCAATATTATGCTGTATGAAACAAATATTCTTGAGCAAAATGTTTTTCAGAAAATATTGAAAGTTTGAAAATATTAAAATTTACTGAAGCTGCGCATTTACCTTGGGATTCATAAAACAATTTTTTGTTTGTGTTATAGGTTAAATTGTCGACATAAAGAACAACGAAGAAACACAAAGAGAAAGATGATGAAGATACCTGTTCTATGTGCAGTCTACTTCGTTTAATGTTTATTTTTTTTTTCTCTCAAGTCCCATAAAATTAAGAAAAAATGCTAACACTTATTCACTGACCAGTGTGTAGCAAAATTCGTTATAAAAATTCCTCATTTTCAATTCGAGAAAAGTTAAATTTAAATAAATTAACGTACACAGGAAATTTGGAAATTGACTAAAACAAAAGATAAACCCATCTTTTTCTATATATCAATTCGACTAGATAATTTTTTTGAAATTAATGCTCAGGAAATGTGGAAATGCTCAAACTTTAAAAAGAAGAAAAAACATCAATGCCTCAATAAAAAATCTATTTGTTTTGAACACAAAGCGAAATAAAGTCACAGCTAGACATACTTTTTGAAGGAAGAAAGACACACACACACAAAAGAATAGAATGAAGTAACATGACCGCATGATTTTCTAAAAGTCTAACACTGTGCGTATATACATTTTTCAAGTGTTGATGTTGTAGAATGATTATACCGTTATTACAATAGTTATTTATTTTTTTGTTTATTACTGAGAGAAATAATCTCGTTTTTTTCGAGCGATTTCATTCAGATGTCTCTCTCCCATATCTTGAGAAATAGACTTCTAGTTTTTTTTTTTTTTATTAGGAGAAATTTTGAACGTTTATTATTATTCAATTCAATATTACAAAATACTTTTATCGTTTCTATATTATATTTAGTCGTAATTGTGTTACAATCATATTACGTTAGTTATGAATTATTTCAACAAAAAAATTAAATCAAAATTAAACCAAATTTTTTTTTGTTGAAAAAGCTATCAATTTTAATTGAATTATTAAATAATAATGAAATTTAATTTTAAAAACTAGTTTTAGTAAAGTGTATATATTTCAGATATACAATACTGCATTTATCATTAAATCTACATTGATAATTACAATTTTAAAAATGGCATTGTCTTTAATCCCCAAGAAGATTAGTTTATTTCTATCGTTAGAATCTACCATTTGAAAAGGTCATTTTATTTACGACTCAAGATTCTAAATTATCTTTCTAATAAAAGTAATTAAAAGAAATATATATTTTTAAATTTTTAATGTTGTTATTTGAAAAAAATACTTTGATCTAAAATAGTAGTCAAAGATTTTTTTACTTGTCTCAATTAAATTATAATTGAGTCTTCTAATCTCTTATTAAGTATTACTTCATCAAAACTAGTATAGCTGATTGAACACGTAGATGACCTCTTTGTACATTGTTAGAAATTTTATAAAAATTCAATCATTTTTTTTTTCTACTGGAAAAGGGCGAATAAAATTTTTTTGAACATTAAAAATTAAAAATAGAATTAATTATAATAAATTTAATTTATTATTAATTGTAATAAATTAAATTTATTAATTATTATTAAATTCTAAATATTTAAATACTTGTTTTCAATTTGACAAAAAAAAAATTCAAACTACCATTACAAGAAAAAATTGACATTGAAAATTGAAAGAAATATTTCTTCTCAGTGTATTATAGAACGAAGCCGAAGCAAGATTGTTTCTTTAAAAAAGAACACCGTATATAGTAGACGAGACTCACCAGAATGCTCGGTTTGCTGCACTTCTTCCAGTTGCAGTTGCAACTGCATTCGAAATGTCGTTATCAATTTGTACTCAATTTAAAATTATATTCACTTGTCTTTGAAAAACTCATTTAAAAAATTATTCATCTCTCAGTAAATTTAACAAAAAAATAAACATATTTTCGAATTGTAAACTATAAATATATTTCACTCGAATAATTTCACGAGAGATCAACCTGCAAGTTCCTTCAAAGAGTTCAATCCACTCAGTATAATAAAATCTCACCAAGTTCAATTTAAAATGTCTCTTTATTTTCAATTAATTCGAGAAAAAAAGTTAAGCAATATTTTTCAGATTAATTTCAAAATAAAATATTTAAGATAAAACAAAACAAAATTTAGAAACACTTGGCAAAATTTACCGAGTCATCAAAATTACATATTTTAATCTAATTTTTCAAACTATAGAAGAATGTCAATATCAAATTTCAAATAACCTCGAGAATTTATGAGGTTTAAAATAGGATTCGAATTGAATTTTCAATTCGCACAAACACAAGTTTCAAATAATCTACCATCTGAAATTTCAAGTTCAATCGCGCACTAAACAATTGAAAAAAAAAGAAAAAAATGATAAAATCCGAAAGCACCATACACACATGAAAGTTTAAAGTCCTGGAATGAATTAAACAAGAAAGTCCATGGTATATAGAAAATGACGAAACAAAACTCGCGGGAACCTCGCCACACCTTGACTGATCGCGACTGCCTTTCGAAGTGCGCCCCATAAGAAGTCTTCTGTTACCTGAACGAGTATACATATACAGAGTGGTTCAGAGGGACCCCCTCCACCTACACCACGCTTCTCGGTACCTTCTTGAATCAATTTATTTGCAATTTTATGCTCAGAGTTATTTTTTAAAAATATTTTTTTAAATTGTTTTTTAATATCATTTAAAAAAAATCAAAGAATATTTTAGAATCAAATTAATAAATATTTAATTTATATAAAATTAAATAAATATTTTGTTAAATAAAAATTGAATAGGTACTATAAATTTCGGGATGATTTAATGCATATTGCATAATTTTGGTATTTCCATGAATAACAATTTTAATTTTTTAGATTTAAAAAATAATTGTAATTATAAATTAACGGTAATAAAAATTAAAAGAATTTACCTGTTAAGTTATAAAGCGATTCCAATTTCCATTGTTGATGTTCAAAAGTGATTGTTGAATCGTCAAAAATAAAGATGATACCTGCAATCAAATAAGAAAGTCAGAGGTCAATTTAGTGATTTGAAAACAAATTTTTCATATGTTTTATTGATCAAAGACATTTAAATGATTGATATTGGAATTCTTTTTTAAAACTAATCTTTTGTTAACGTTTAACCAATAAAAAAAACCATCTATAGTCAGGGAAAATATTTATTTAATAAATCAATTCCTTTATTCTTCAACAAGGATTTAGAGAAATTTATAATTTTCAATCATTTATCAAATATAAAATAGAAATAAAAATGATTTATTATTAAATTACATATTTAAAAAAATGTAAACTGATCAATAATTTTTTTTTGCTTTTTAATTGGTATTTTAACAATTCTTTGGAAATAAAAAATATGCCATTTCATTTTAAACATTTAGTGACCCTTTTTCCAAAGTAAACTAAAGTTACAGATAACATTTTATCACCGGAAAAAGGGGAAAATAATTTACACAACTCGATTCCTCAAGAAACGTATTTTTAAAAAAGAAAAAAAAAAGTTGCAAAAAATATGAAAAATTAAAAAAAAACATTCTAAATTATTCAATTAAAAAAACTTAATTTAATCTTTTAATTTTGTTATTTTATATTGATTCCATAATTCTTAGTTAATTTTTTTCAAATATCCACAGTTAATGAAAGATATATTTTTCAAAAATTTTTTCACTTAAAAAATAGATTCTTTCCATGATTAAATTTCAAATAAAAGATTCACAGAAGAGGATATAGAAAGTCAACGTGATGTAATTCTGACCATCAGTACCGCATATTTTCACAAATACACACATATACATTCACATGTTTGTATGTCCTCTATTTGTGTTAACTTTCCTATATAGAAAAAAAAAATTGCAATAACATATTCACCGTGGTAGTCACCATAATGAGAAGCCAGTTCTTTAAACTGCAATTTATTCCTTGATCGATGAGTTAAAACAGATAATCAAGAGTAAAATTCAATATCGTAAAATTAATATTCAGAAAAACGTTTTGTAGATTAATAGTTCATGATCAAAAAAGAGAAAAAAAAAAAAATATGTAGAATCACATTATTTTCAAATTGGCTGAGATCTATTTTGGTATTTGGAATTAATTAAATCATAAATTGAACCAAATGTTTGAAAATATAGTATATTGATAATTTGAAAATTATTTATCAATTTCTTGGGTATGGAAAAAATTTCGATATATTATTTTCAAAATTCAAAGAGATGCATTTTCTTTAAATTTCTTACAGAGAATGTCGAGAACAAAGTAAATATAATTATACTAAACTAACAAAAGAAGCTCACGTGTAACTGTGAAGTGTTCAAACAGTTAACAGCATTACGAATTTCTCTCTTTTAATAATAAGGTGCATGAAAATTTCCTAAATTTTATTTGTTTCAAATTTCCATTTAGCAGGAAATTAGAAAATAAATTTTCTTTTGTCTTCAAATTTATATTTAACTAAATTGTTATTTAATCAAATTTTTAAATAGACAAATTTTTATTTTATTGAAAATTCTATTTGTTCAAAATTTTATGTTTTAACATTCCATTTGTAGATTTGATTGCAATTGCATTAAATAAAAAAATTAATATGTCCCCTCCTTGTTTTCTTTAAAAAAAAAATATATATAATCAATTTTTAAATCATTATAATAATTTTTGCGCACTAGGACTGGAGAAAGTGAGAATCAGAAATCTTATAAGAGTTAAATGTATATGTATATATAATAATGTAAATCAACCTCGCGATCCATGAAATGTCAGGGCTGTGACCGATTTGTAATGGTTATTTTATTGTTTTATAATTTTTTCAAAAAATTATTTTACAGCCTTGTTAAATAAATTTTGAAAGGGTATAATTAATGTTAAACGCCAGCATTTAATAAACAATATAAAAATTATTATTTTAAATCCTGGGAAACGATCATTTTTTTATAACCAGTTTTAAATCATTCAACTGATAATTATATATAAGTAATTAAACAATTTCTCAAAAAAAAGAGAAGAAAAGAAAAAAAAAATATTTAAAAGTCATCAGGATAACATCAGTGAATTTAAATCTTGTACTTAAATTCAAACCTGACAGTGCTGTCATCTTGAAACGAAGCAGAAAACCTTTAAATCATTGAAACTCAATCGGTGAAAAGTTAGAAATTTTATTTAAAAATTAAGATCAAAGATTTGTTAATTTGAGAATTAAATTTAATTAATTATTTTTTAATTTTAGCTTTTTATTCGAAAGCACAAAGGAAAATAAGTCAAACAATTTTCAATTTTAAATGTCAAGTTTATTTCATTTTAAAATTCGTTCAGAAAATTCATTTTTACAATGTTCTGATACAAAATGCAAAAATACTTAAATTATTTTTACTATTAAGCGAGAAAAAAAAATTATTGATCACATGTTTATCACTTTTTTTTTTTAATATTGAAATTATTTATAAACTAAATGACATATGGAGTCTCACTGGAAAATAATATAATACTTCGTTGAACGATAAATGACTAAGTAATTGTATTACGCGTGTGAAAGTAAAAAAAAAGAATGAAAAATACAAAGAAATGCTATCTTAGGCAGCTTTTACAATTTTTTCGGCAACTCGTGGTTGTGCTGGACTTTTAGTTTGTGATGCTGCTTCCTTTTGAGAATCAATAGATTTATTTGTTGATTCCTTGATAGCTGGTACACCAGTATGTTGAATTTCAATAATTCGCTCTTTCTTATCTTCCAAAGGAAGATCCTTTCGCGGTGCATTGATAATCAAAACTCCATCAGAAGATAGACTGGATGACAATTTTTCAATGTCACATTGCTCCGGAACAAGATATTTTCTGGTGAATGACCTACTCACCTAGAATTGCAAAAAGATGATATTATAAAATATTCAGTAAAAATTGATTATAATTTTACATAATTAAAAAAAAAAAAATCAAAAGTACCCATCCGTGCTCATCTTGCTTTTCTTTATGCTCTCCTTCGACGATCACATTATTTCCCACAACTTTTACAGAAATTTCCTCTGGTTTGAATTGTTGAACATCCAAGCTCACCTAAAATTAAATAATGTAATTAAAAAATTGAGATTATGATATAATAAAAAAATTTTAGCTTCTAATTTTATTATAAATAAACTTGTTTTAATGATAAAAAGCTATTTATCAAAAACATGATAAAAGTAAGATTAGGAAAATTAGAACTTTTTTAAATTAAAACAAAAAAGGATTAAATTGTTACTTACATTAAACTTCTCTTTGTCAGTATGCACAGTCGAAGTACCACCAGACCTTTGTGTCAAAGAAAGACTCCTATCGTAAGGATGGCGTCGGTGGGCCAGACGACGATGCAAAATGTGAGGTCTCGATACAAGGTCATGATAGGGAGAAATCGATAATTCCAACTCTTCAGGATGAAGGCCATGGCCAAAATTTTGATCAAAAACGTGATGGGGATGATCAAGGTCCTCCCACCACTTTGAGAACATTAATGGAACGAGAGACATTTTCAATTATAACCACTGTTTTCTTCTTTACACAAATGTTTGATATTAAAAATCACTTTAATCACTGTTTATGAATCACTTTTTGATATAAAATGTAACTGTTTCAGAATATTGAAGCGCCTGTTAACATAAACGGTTAACAGAAAAATTTCAATTCTGACCAAAACGAAGTAGGGAACTCGTATTTATAGCCTCGGTCGATGAAATGAAGAAGGGATAGATATTTCCAGAAAGTTTTAGAATATTCAACGGTCATGAAATTTACCGCAGATGCTTCTGGAAATTTTAAACTTTACTTGTCTTGTAGAGTCAAAAAAAAAAAAAAAAAAAAAACACCGGCCGGCAACAGCCGGCTTGGTTATATTGACATGCAAATTAGAAAATAAACAATTCTAATTTAATCTGTTCAAAAAGTTTAAACTCATACATACGTAAAAATTGATCCATGTTCTTTGTTGTGATATAATGAAAAAATTGACAAATTCTCCGTAATTTCTTCTGAATTTATAAATTCCTTATCCTCGTGCTCCGAAATGCTAAAAAAACATTAAAAAAAATTAGGTCAAAATTATGTCTATATTTTCTAAAGATTTTCTTAAAAAAATTTATACGAAATATTTATCAAAATAACAAATTATTCTATTTAAATATTAACAAGTACAAATATTTGTACATATTTCTAATTAATTATTTACAAATTCACAAACTGAATAAACAATATATTTTCTGTAAAAATTTAAAAAAAAAATCGTTAAAATATTTTTTTAATTGTTATAATTTTTTTATTGATTTCATTCAATTTTTTTTATATGACACGTCATCAAAACATATATTAAACAAATTTTGACTTTCTTTTGTTTTTAAATTTTCAATTTATAGAAAATAAATTAAAACAATAAAATTATATATCTACTTTTGTAGATATAATATTAATTAAACATTAAATAATAATTAAAATATAATTCGCAATATAATACGAGATTTTACGCGAAATTTCTAGAAGTTTCTCAACGGTTCTCGACTCAGTGTGAATGTGTAGATAAATAGCCGGCCGGTTAGCAACGCGTTCAGTATTACACGAGCATTCATCGAGATTACATCTCTAAGAGATTAAGTCAATAAAAAGCAAATTATTATAAAGTTTGTGAACATTTCGTAGAGCGAAATTGCAATTGTTTTGTGTTTCCTGATATTTTAATAACAACAACAACAACAACAAAAAATCAAGAAAAATGTCTCTAGTACCTTTGATGTTTTCGGATTGGTGGGAGGATCTCGACCGTCCTCATCATCTCCTTGATCAACATTTTGGTCTTGGTCTTCATCCTGATCAACTTTTGGCTCCACGTAGCATGCTCCATCAGCTTGTTCCACGAAAATGCCCAGTGAATTATCGTAGACCATGGGCAGACCTTTTGCGTGAGGAAGACGGAGGTGTTTCAACCGTGCACAATGATAAGGACAAGTTCCAGGTGCAACTTGATGTTCAGCAATTTAAACCTGAGGAAATTGACGTTAAAGTCGTTGATAAGTACGTCATCGTCAACGCTAAGCACGAAGAAAAACAAGATGAGCATGGTTGGGTAAGAATCCATTTTTTATTACTTTTAAAAGTTCCTTTTTAATTATATCAAAATTAGTTATTATTGAATATTTTGTATATGTAATATTACCTTTTTGCAATTCTAGGTGAGTAGATCGTTCACCAGGAAGTATCTTATTCCTGAACAATGCAACATTGATTCGGTTAAGTCATCCCTCTCATCTGACGGAGTTCTATCAATCGAGGTGCCAAGAAAGGAACAGCCAAAACTACAAAATGAGAAGGTTATTAAAATTCAACATACTGGAAAACCTGCCATAAAGGCATCTGCTGATAAAAATACAAAGATCCAATCAAAGACCGAAGAGAAGAAGTAAAAGGTTTATCAAAAAAAAAAAAATGATACATTCTTCAAATTTAATTAATAATTCTAAAATACATACACTTTCACTTAAATATCTAAATAACTTTACTGCCAATTCAGACTGAGTGTTTAGAAATACATATTTTTCCTTTATGTAGTTTAATAGTAAAACTATTTTTGACAGATTGTTATTTAAATTTAATTTTTTGATTTAAAAAAAATACTTCTAAGATACTTATGAAATCCATACACATAGCTTCTATGACATCTTTGTATTCCTAATTCTTCTGTGATCTTTAAGTTAATAAAATGACAGTAAATGTAATCGCTTGTTTCAATTAATCATCCTATCACCTTTTAGTACAAAAATTTTCCAATTTATGAAAATAAAATTTAAAATTGAAAAAATGTTGAATATAAAAAGTTACATTACATTAATTTTCGGTAATTAACAAGAAAATTATTTTCTTTTTTTGATAAATTGTAATTTTCAATTAATTTCAAAATATCTTTTTGTTGAACGAAAATTTTTTGTAATTTTGGGTAATGAAAATTTAGAAAACATTTCAAGGTCGTATACTTTAGTAATCAAACAATTAGGATATCATATATTAAAGCGATAACACTATCAGCAATGGTAATTTACATTTTTGATAAGTATATAAAAAAATATTTTTTTAAAGAAAAAAAAATTTAATTAGTTGCGAAAATTAGATATGTTTACATTTATCCTATATGACCTAAAATTATAACTAGAAAAAGTTATTCATTTTTGGAAATAAGTATTGAAAGTTATCAAAAACCGCAAATTAGTGGTGATAATTTTTTAAATTTTTATGATAAAAGTATTTTCATTTTAAAATTCTAATCAGTTTTCAAAATAATTAAAATTTTATAATTTTAATGTTTTCTGTTTATTGTCGCAATTATAACCATTCGTGCCAAGAAATATTTTTTAAAACGGAAAATTTTTCAACATAGTTCATGAAAAGGATTAAAAAATAATCAGTCATTATTAATTTAATATACAAGATTTATTATAATACTTTTTTCTCTACAAATATAATTACCTACTACTAAATCTATACATACAAAAATCAGAAACTTCAATAGTGATTTTAAAGATTTAAATGTATCGTACTATTAATAAAAGAAAAATGAAACTGAAAATAACACAAATCGCACAATTTCGTTTAAAAAAAAAAAAAAAAAATGATAAAATATAAGTCTTAGGAAGTATCACAAACATTTCAACGGACTGTTTTAATTAATTACTGGCAGAAATACTCTGTTTTTCCTGCGGCTCTTTATTTTCAATGGAAGGTTTTTCTGTTTTTTCAATTGTTATGGGTATTTCTTTTAAATTTTCAATTGCTTCCGGTTTCCTTGGAGTTGAAATTGTCAATACACCATCGGAAGAAAGTGAACTCGTGGTTTTTTCCGCATCACACTCCTCTGGTACGACGTATTTTCGAATAAAGTGCCGTAAAATCATCCCATGATCATCTCTCTTTAATTCGTGTTTTCCTAAAAAAATTTAAATTACAAAATAAATATAAAATATCAATTAAACTTAAAGATAAATAAATTAATAATTAAATTGATTATAATCAATTAATCAAAATTCAATAATACTAATCAAGTTAAACAAATCAAATAAAAATCAAAGAAGATTTTCAAAATTCTTTAAATACAAGAGTTGCCACGAATTTTTTTTAATATTTTGAATTTTCAAAACACAAAACTAAAATTATTTTAAGAAAGTATTACGTCATCCGATAACATTTGAATTACTTCGAGTAAAATGATAAAAATTGCAATGAAAAATATTTACCTTCAACCACAATGCAATTGTCAACAACTTTTACGTTTATTTCTTCTGGTTTAAATTGCTGAACATCGAGAGCAATGTTAAATTTATCTTTGTCCGCCTTTACGACAGAATATCCATGATCATCATCTCTCCAGAAGTCATCATCCCGAAAGAAATCCTCTAAGGGTCGTACATAGGAGGCAGGAAGTCTTCTGTTAAAATTTGATCTTAAAAACAATTTTTCTGGATTCATAGACAATCCAAAATGTTGATCCAGAAGACGATGTGGTCGTTCAAGAGCCTCCCACCATTGTGACATCAATTTTGGAATAACTGTCATTCTCGATCTCATGTTGAATGGAGAATTATTTTTTTTCTCTTCTTTTGCACAAAACAAAAAACACTGATATTCACGATTAACGTTAACGAAACGTTATGTTCGCACTTCAAAATGTTAGTGAAGCTGCGTCACAAGTTGCGTCAGCTTTTATAGTCGATTGCCGGCCGGCGAATTATTCTAGCTCCGTCTAGAAAGATCCACATGGCTATTCTTTACTCTAGAATTCTCGAGAAAATTCCAAGACCAAAACTATCGTTAAATTTTTCATAAATATAATTTAACTCTTTAAAACACAATTTTTTCAATTTGTAAAAATAATTACTCAGAAAAAAAAATTTCTTGGCACAATTTTTGTTATAAAAACACAGAAAACATTAACATTAAGTAAAATAATTTCTATTTTTGTGGAACTAATTATATTTATAAAAATAATAGTTAATTAATAATTATTAACAATTATTATTTATAAACAATATTAATTTATTCTAAAAGTAAACAATTTTCTTCAATTTCAATGTTATCCTTGAATTCAAAATTCTGGAATTTTTCATGACTTTTTTTTATTTTGAATAATACATGAGCCGAAAGAAATTCGAAATTTGCTTTTCAAAAAACTTTCATGAGCAACGTCAGTTAAACGTCTTTAAAGATACAAACAAGATATAACAAACAGATATAGAGTTCATCAGAATATTCTCGAATTCTGTTGAATTTTTTTTTTTGAATAATTAAATAAATTGTATCGAAATCAATAAATTATTTAAAATTCCTAATCAATCAACAACAAATCAGCAAAAGACTCATAAGTGTTTCTCTAGCAATTTTCTATCATTTTACCACGTGTATTTTCGTGAATGCTCCAGATCATTCATCCCCCACTTTTTTGCTCAGGAACGTCACATAAATGATCGCAGTTTCGAGCTGCACTTTCCAGTTGAAAACATCATTGAGAGATATACAGAAATCATTTGTGAGCCTGCTCGTCAATATAAAGAAAAAGTTGAATATAAAATTCGAAAGTGTATGTGTGTGAAATTTATTCAGATTCTAATCTGCAGTGATTTAAAGCAAAATTTTGAAGATCATCTTTTACTGCATATTAATTTTTTTAAAAAAGGAATTTTCATTCTTTAAAGAATAAAAAGGACAAATTTTTTGGTGATAATAATTTTTTAAAATGAGAACTCTACTTCCATTACTATTGTCAGCCTGGTGGGCTGATTTAGATCGGCCCCATCTCTTTCTGGACCAAGATATGGGACAAATAACTCGACGATTTGACGATTTAATGTTTCCCGAATGGTCCAATAGATTTTATTTGCCATCGATTTTGGACCGATCAACATCTTTAGACTTTTTTGATCGAAATTGGGCAGACATTTTGAGACCAAAAGATAGTGGTATGTACCTGAAAAAAACATTTTTTTTAAACATTATGAGATTTGAAATTTTTCTCAAGAGATTCGTTAACTAATTTTTTTTCATTCTCTGTTTCAGGATCATCAATTATAACGGCCGATAAGAACAATTTCCAATTAATTCTCGATGTTCAAAATTTCAAACCAAATGAAATTAAAGTGAAGATTGTCGATAGATTTGTGATTGTTGAAGCCAAACATGAGGAGAAGGAGGATGACAAAAAAGTGAATAAACTGCATTTTGTCAAGAAATATTTTGTGCCCGATCAAGTTGACATTGAGAATATTAAATCCACATTGTCCACTGATGGAATTCTTATGATAACTGCGCCAATTAAAAAAGTTTCTGAAGATGAAAAGAAGGAAACATTGATTCCCATTGAGGAAACTGGAAAACCTGCAATTTTAGAGAAACCTAAAAATCCAGAAGAGTTAACAACAACAAAAACAACCTCGGAGGAAAAAAATGAGGAAGAAGTGACAGTGGAAACGGTCGATGAATCTATTTCTGAAAAATAATTTATTGACAATTTGTAACTATATAGTTGATTGTGATAATTCTTATTCTTGTCATTTTTATATTAAGATTAATTCTCATAGTTGTATAATTTTAATAGCCTAAAGTTATTCTGTCATTTAAGTTTCAATACTCGTGTTTATAAAAATACTTTTTTTAAATAAATATTTAAATGACAATTTTGAATTTATATATTTATTTATATTATTGTATAATTTTGCAATTTTGTTAATTTAATATTTGTCTAATTTTATTCAGATATATAACGATTCTTCGACGCATTTTGAAATAAATTCCCCTACGCAATTGTCTGAAAGGTTGGATAGTTGGTTCTACTACTACAAAAGCACACGGCCTTTGTAATGGTAAAAAAGTCAACAACGCACAAAACATAATTGAAGTGCTCTAAAAAAAAGAAGTATTGATAAATTTCTAGAATGTTCGAGAACTTTTTAAATAAATAACGTTATAACTTTCTCGTCGTTTCCAGAAAATTCTATTTTTTCATCAGACAAAATATTAAGTAATTAATTTATAATTATTCCTTTATATTTAATATTATCATTAAGAATTTAATATATTAATGATTAATTAATTAATATTTGTTAATTAATATTTATTAATTAATATTTTAACTCATGATTTAACTTCATTTTTTATAATTAATGTGAGAAATACGAGTCTTGACCCCAAACAATAATTGATAGTTGAAGTAGACAGTTACCAGACACTATTTTACTGTAATCAGCAGATTCTATTATGAAACGTTGAGAAATCTATTTTTAATTTGAATGAATATACACATAGTAGTTTGCAGTTTCATTCATCGCGAATAGACGATTCAAGGTTACGTCTCGTATTTTCCTGAAGTTTCAACAAGTTACACGAGAACCGGTCAATATATATCCCCCACCGCGAGTTGCCTTAGTAACCGCGTTATATAAAAAGGGAGCGTCACTCAGCAACAGCAGTTTCTCGAAATCATAATAATACCACGTGCTATAAAGAATTTTTAAATCCACTATTGAGATAAAATTGTCAATTCAATTACGAAAATTTCAATTTATAAAATATTGATAACAAAAACAATTGAAAAAATTAGAAATTAAAAAGAAAAACTCACTTGCAAAAAAAAAAATGTCCTTGGTGCCAATGCTCTTTTCCCATTGGTGGGAGAAATTGGATAGTCCTCATCAATTGTTTGATCAAAATTTTGGCATTGATTTGAATATGGAAGATCTTTTGGACACATTGCCGAGCTCTGATCAAATTGTCATCTATAGACCTGGTAGACGTTCTTTTCAAAAACGATATCGTCCTTACTTGAGAAGAGGTCAAGGTACATCGGTTGTTGATTCGGATAAGAGCAAATTTAAAATAACTTTGGATGTCCAACAATTTCAGCCAAATGAGATAAACGTTAAGGTGATTGATAAAAATGTAATTGTCGAGGCCAAGCATCAGGAAAAAGAAGATGAGCATGGCTGGATATCCAGGGAATTTCGAAGAAAATATACAATTCCAAATCAGTGTGATCTTGATAAAGTGGAGACATTCCTCTCATCTGATGGTGTTTTGACAATCACAGTTCCCAGAAAGCAGGATCAAATCGAGTCCAACGAAAGGAGGATCCAAATTCAATTCACCGGTCAACCTGCTGTTCGGCAATCACAGCAACAATCGATTTCCAATGGATCTGCGGGAACAATAGAAAATCAGAAACAAAATCAAAAAATTCCAAATACGCCCCAAAGAGGACGAAAATCAAATGCAAAATCTACATAAGTTTTCAAAAGTGAAATTTTATTTTCAAATTTAATGTTTTTTCTTATAGACATTTCATTGATATTTTTCATTTCATAAAGAAAACATTTTTTTCATTCATTATAGACATAGTGAAAATTGTGAAAATTGTCTCCAATATTCTTATATTTTAAGTAATTATAAAAATATTTGTAAACAAAAAGTAGAGAAGGCTTAATAAATATAACGTTCAGTATTGTAAATGAATTTTAATCATTTTCAAAATCCCTTGCATGTCTCAAAAAAAAAAATTAAAGAAATCTTATTTTTGAAATTATTTTCTCCTATGACTGTCTTTACTTTTTTAGTTAATTTTTCATTTATAAAAGATTATTGATTTTAATTTATATAATTTGAATCACACAATTTACATAAAATAATTTCAATTTAAAATTCAGTTAAATAAATGAAGGGTAGAATGACAAAAGGGGTCAAGCGCCAATTTATCGAAAATGAGGTTTTTGCATAAAAAAATCAAGAAAATTCATTTACACATTTCTGTAGAAGGATTTCTTTTTTTATTGCGTATTTAAATCAGTTTTTAATAAAAATTAAATTAATAAAATAGCCTCAAATTTACTTTATTGCAACCTGATTGAAAAACAAAAGAAAGTGGTGAGTCAATAATATTATCAAAATAAAAAAAAATATTATTTTTTTAGGTTTTATTTTAATATTTTATTTTAATTTTATTTTAATAATATTTTAATTAATAAAATTAATAATAATAATAATGTATTTTCAATTTAAAACAATTTTAAAATAATTTTGTTATTAATTTTTAAATATTTTTATGGTTATACTAAGTGAACAATTGAATTTAAAGATGAAAGTATTGCTCAATTCCAAAGCAAGCAATTAATTCGTAATTTTCTTGAAAACAAACAATTTTTTAAAGGAATTTTTTTTTCTATTCATTTCGTCGATTCCATAGAAAGAAACTAATTTTCCAGTGTTTCTTTAAACTGTATATTTTTTTTATAATTAATGCTTAAAGAAAATGTGCGCAGTTGATATAACCTCAAGGAACCACAGTTTTTTTTAATTTTATCGTTAATATGTAGGTTTATTTCAACAAATTGTTGTTTATTTATTAAAACATACTAATATATCGAAACGGTTTTCTTAGTTTTTTTTTAAATGACCTGCAAAATTTTTAAAAATGTTTTTTTTACTTCCTGTAAAAACAGTGAATTGGCGCTTGACCCCTTTTGTCATTCTACCCTTCAAATATAATAATTAAAAAAAAAATGAAATAAAAATATGAAAAGTAAAATAAATTACAAATAAATCAACGAGATGATTTTTTTTATACAGTTATCTAAACCTTTTCAAATGAAACCAGAAAGAATTTTATTTGCAGAGATATGATTCAACGTAATCACCTATATTTCGTTGCAAAAACGAAAGCAAATTACGTGGCGAAAATTAAAAATAGAATTTCATTATTTAACAATGTTGTGATTAACAGTTTATCAGTATTATTTGCAAAAATATATTTTCAATTTTGTTCTTATATCTTATTGACAGTTATAATAAGAAATAGAGTATTATCATTTCAATATTTTCATAATACGTTATTAACTTTTATTATTTTTTTCCGAAAATTATTTATCAAACAAATGTTTTGGTCCATTCTTAATTTAGACTGTAAAAAACAATTGAAATCAGAGTAAAGATAAAAAATTGTTTTTCATTTAAAAATTTATTAATAGAAATTGTTTTTTGTTATTCAATAAATTTTTGATGAAATAAAGTCAGTAATTGTTTTACTGACTTTAATTGTTAAAATATTGAAAAATAAAAATTATTTTCAATATTTAACTAAATTATGAAATACATGTTTATATAAATTATATAAAATTGATTAAATCTTAAAATATTATTTATGCAACTGTATACATTTATATGGATTATATAATATTAATTTTTTTCAATATTTTAAAATATATTCCATTCTAAATGTGCTTTAGCTTTTTAACGATCTAGAAACGTTGAAGACGCAATTTTTGTAATACGCATAAAATATTATTGATTGACCTTGCAAAAAATACAAGGTTACTTTCTTTGTTGACTAAAAAAATTTCGACGCACGAAAAAGTTTTCTTATATTTAAAAACAAATAATGTTATTTTTTTATATTATTTGTTAATAAATATATAAAAAAAATTTGTCTTTTCTGAGTTTTCAAAATTTCGTCAAAAACAAAAAAAAATTGATATAAAAAAGCCTTACTTGTATGTCGATTATAAATTTGTCATGAAAAACCAAAAATGCAACAATAAATTAGATGTGTCTATATAAAAATTGAATAAAAAACAAAAAACTTACCAAAAGAACAGAAAATTAAAATGAAACAAAAGAAATTAATTTAAGTCCACCTGAATTTTTACGTGGAAAATAATTAAAAAACTGAAACCTATATATAACCTCACTTTGTATTAATGTCATATCTATAATGCCAAAATACTTCTTTTTTTTCCTATTATTTTTGTAATTGTTTCGAAAATCAGGCAAATTCTTTTTAAAGTCAAAATATATTTTATGTAAAATTAAACTAAGGCCAAAGAGAAATCTCAGGAAAATTCGGCAATATTCTCGAAGGTTCAGTTGTTTATTAGATTTACCGGCCGGTGCGCTGCGCGTATATAAATACAGGGGTAAAACGCCGGCTCCCATCATTCAAATAGAAGTCATCGAAAGTGTAACTTTGCAAATTCGTATACTATACGAAACACATTTTCAATTTGTTCTATCAGTGAATAATTAAAATCTTAAAAATGTCAATTGCACCATTGTTATTTTCCGACTGGTGGGAACATTTGGACCGACCTCATTCTCTCCTGGATCAAGATTTTGGACATGGATTTAATCCAGATGATCTAATGGTACCATCATTGTATAATCCAATGATGGGACGTTGGGGACTTGATAGACGTCCCAGGATGAATTATCTACGACCATGGACACAAGTTGCCAATCAAGGAACTTCTGTTGTGAAAGCCGACAAGGATCAATTCCACGTAAGTTTGATTAAATTTAATTTATCAAATTTTTATATCCAAAAATATATTCTGCAAATTACGTATTAACGTTCACGTCGAAATAAATTAGTAAATAAAATAAAACGCAATTCAATCGTTCAGTAGATTAAAAAAAAAAAAATTAAATATAATTAACGACAGGTTTGAAATTTTTTCAAGACCAACAAATTAACTTTTATATTTAAATATTGTCAATATATGAATGAGATTACTTACAAATTTCGTTTTTTTTTCGCAGGTTAATTTGGATGTTCAACAATTTAAACCTGATGAGATCAACGTCAAGGTCGTGGATAAATTTATCGTCGTTGAAGGAAAACACGAAGAAAGGCAGGATCAGCATGGAATTATTAGCCGCTCGTTCACCAGGAAATATCTCATTCCAGATCAATGTAACGTTGATGAAGTAAAATCTTGTCTTTCTTCGGATGGTGTTCTTTCCATTACTGTACCTAGAAAACAAATGGAAATGGAAACAAACGAGAAGAACATCCCAATCGAGCATACAGGAAAACCAGCAATTACTACCAACGAATGTGTTAAACCAAAAGAGGTAAAACAACCGGAAGAGAAGAAAACTGAGAAGAAAATGATAAAATAAGTGTTTTTTGTATTTTTTTCACAACAAAGATTTATATTTTTTTTTACTTTATAACTTTTAATTTTTTCATAATTTTCAATTATCTTACGTAATATTGTTACGTGACATTGTTTTTTAAGATTATATTAAGCGAGTTAATTATAAAGATATCTCAAAGATTATTTTTAAAGTAAGTGACTTAATTATTAAAAAAAAAAAAATATCAGATTATTTTAAAAATAAGCCATTCAATTGTAAACATCTCAAGGATTATAAAATAAACTTGAATTAAAGGAATATTTTTATCTTATTATTTATTCACCCAGTTTTATATTATAAGTTTTCGAAAAAAGAATAAAATTTTTCAAAAAATGAAAGTTTTGATTTTTGAAATTTGTATTTTACTTCCGCGAGAGGGCGCAATGGCGGTAAAATTCAAAGAGGGAGTAGAAAAAATGATATTTTATTTCAAATATAATTAAATATTAATTAATTTTGTAAAATGATAAGTCAAGAGTAAAGTGTTACTTTAAGTAAATAAAATATTAAAGTAAATTAATTTAATTGATGATTAAATGTATAATTAATTCTTATTGGTTGGAAAATTATACGTCACGTTCATCCGCCATATTTATTGCTGTTCTCGGAAAGAAAACAAAAATCTGATGTGTAAAGGTTAATACAAGTTTAAATGTAAAAAAAAACAATTGTGATTTTTTTTATTTAAATAATTTTCTTTTAAGATCGGAATGAACGTCGTTAGAATCAATTCAAAAAATGTGATCTTTATAATTCTGGCAATTTTGTCAACGACAATCAAACAAGCACACATGGGCTATGGTGACTATCAATTGTTTACATTATTCAAATAACAATAAAAATTTGAACTTTAATATTTAAAAATTCTCTAATTTTTATTTATTATTGTTTTAGAAAGCATTGCAAGTTATGCTTTAAAAGATGCCAATACAAATTCAACACCTGCTTATTCCAATCGAAAGGTTAGAAAATTACAACAAAAAATAACTTTTACGACAAAGTAATTGTAATATTGTTTAATTATTTTTAACAATAATATCTATTTTTCAGGAAGAATCAGTGAATTTATGTCCCACGGGTGCACAATGTTCAGAATTAGGTGGCGATTGTTTAAAATGTAACTTTAATGTAAATTGTGTTTATGGTGATATTTATAAAGTCAATTGTACTGTCATGGATCAAATTGATTGTATTGTATGTTAATTTATTTTCTATTGACAAAATTTAATCTAAAACAAATTTTCTTTTTATCGGAGTATTAAATGTAATTGTTTTGTTAAAGGGTGAGACGACAATTGAAAAAACATTTATGTGTCGATACTGTTATCAAACTGAGCATTGGGAATATAAATGTCAACAAAAAAATTCATGCAGTTCAATTGCATCACCACAACAATATTATCGGTTAGTATATTATTATTATGTACACATAAGTTTAATAATAATTTATTATCTATGTAAAATGTAATAATATATGATATATTAATATTGCAGAACAAATTGTACAGTTAATAGCGATGTGATATGTTTGGGTAGAAGGACTTTTTTAAAAAATTTACCGTGCAATTGGACAGGAGGTTATCGTTGGTCTACTGCTTTTATATTGAGTGTAACCCTTGGAGGATTTGGAGCTGATAGGTAATTTTTAAATTTTACAGAATAATGATCTCAAAATAAATTAAAGATTCTTATTAAGTGTATTTTACTAATTTCTTTTCACCATATGAAAAATAGGTTTTACTTGGGTCATTGGCAAGAAGGCATTGGAAAATTATTTAGTTTTGGTGGATTAGGAGTGTGGACTTTAATTGACGTGATGCTAATATCAATGAGATATTTAGGACCAGCAGATGGCTCTTTGTATATTTAAGAAAAAGACTTATATAATTTATGCCTCTATACTAAATACTATTAAAAAACTTTTGTTTTATGTCCATAATTGTAAATGAATTTTTTTGTTATTTTTATATCCAGTTGATATATTATATATAATATTTAGAAAATAATGACTTTTTATATTTATCAATTTTCATTATTTTAATTTATATATTATATATTATTACATTTATATAGAATATTTATCATACTTTAATTTAGTCCTCAAATTGAATAAAATTCTTGAATTTTATGAAAATTTAATTAAATATGTAGGGAAAAGTAAAATTAAAAAAAAATGGTAAAAATTAATAGAAAGTAATTTACCTGAGTTAAAAAATGGATATGCCAGCTTATAGAAATCCATTTAACTTGTAATTGTTCCATACATTAGAATTATTAAACGATAATACTTTTTATAATGCTCTCTGTTAATCAACAATAATTCATTGTTCCTTTCTTCTTTTTTACTTAACCTGTAAAGTATAAAACAAATAAATAAATATATTTTTCTTCAGGTTTTACGAAAAACAATTGCCAGTTGCCGATTGTTTGTCACTGACAAAAGTAAAAGATAATATTAAAATACTTTTGTAAAAGCAAATTTATTATTTGCTTCTTCGACCTTGAAAATTCAACTACTTATGGGGTTATGGCATATTTGATTATTTCCATATTTGTTAAATAATTATCATTTTCAATACAATTTTTACAAAATATTACACTCCTTTAGTTAAATAAATACTGAATTAAGAAGGTTTTTAATAAATTGCGAATAACTTACCACTTTTAATGAAGAAAATCAAGAAGTAACAAAAATAACGGTTACACTATTAATGTAGAAAATTTTACAATGAACAATTTTAAAATAGTAACAAAAAGCTTCTATTGGTTAAAGTTAATGTAACTAGGAAAAGCAAGTGTGGGTCTTCTGATTGGTTGTCAAAAAATTCTGGACAAACGAACAACCAATTGCATTACCGTATTTCTAGTAATTATTATACAACTATATTTAAAATAATTAACAAATTTTATTATTTTAATTTTAATTTTTACATTCGTTAATGATTAATTTTACGTTTATTTGTTTCAAGAATTAAATTTAGAAATTAGTTTTGTTTTTTATCAATCAGAACTATACAAACAGTTTTTTTTATTATGTATGTGTCAATATTGTATTTATAGGTTATAAAGCCGGACACGTGTGTTAATTGTATAATAATAAATGCTTTAATTCTTCAATTTTACATTTATTATTTTATTTAATATTTAAATAATGTGATTCAAATATGAATTGTGGTGTTGTCAATGATTCTGAAAATTTAAGGAAGTTAGAAAAAAATAAACAATTATTGAATTTACCATTAAACATTCTTAAAGAAGCAACTGATGAATTTTCCAAGGAGAGAAAATGTAATTATATTTTATATAAAATATATTTATTTTGTATTTAAATACAGTTTCATTTAATTAGTAAAATTTTTATTAAGATAGTATTATTATTTTAGTTTCAGACAAAACTTTGATGAAATTGTATTCAATTTTTGGAACTGCTTTTGAAAAAGCTTCTGAAATTTATGAATCTGGTCATGTAACACATGTATCAACATCTGATTTACCAATAAAAAGTGGAACACGTTGTCTTTTACAAGTTAAAGGTTCTTCTGTACAAGTATACACATTATTTTTGAATGTAAATTTTTGTACTTGCAAAGCGTTCAGGTAAGAAGTTTGAATGTTAAAAAAAAATTTGTAAAGAAAAAAACATTGTAAATCAATTTTATTTCAGATATCAAGTTTTAGAAGGACAAACAGCATTTACGTGCAAACATGTTTTAGCAGCTTGGTTGGCTGTATTAGATAAAGAAAAATTAATTTATCAAAAATTAACATTTTCTCAATTTCGAGGATTATTGGTGTATCAAGTTTCATACAAGCAAAATGTGTACTCCCAATGAGGAATATAAATTACTTGCAAAGTTAGGAAATCTCAAGACTGTGGTTCACCTTTTAAAAGCTATTAGTTTTAAAGATGTTTGTTTCTAATGATAAATATTATTATTATGTATATTTAATGATTAATTTCGATGAATTTTTCTTTTTAAATAATTATTCTTTTTTTTTTTTTAAATAGGTTGCCACATGTTCTGCTTGCGAAAATGGTCTTAAAATTACAGTTGAGGATGCAAAATGTATGCAAGCTACAGTTTATCTTCCAATTTGTGTTTTTCAAGAATTCATTTTAAATGAGGACATTATTTTTCAAATAAGTCTAAATGCATTAGTTGATTGTCTTTGTATGTATTGGAGCAGTATAAATGCTCAAGGGAGCGTTGTCGCTTTACAAATGTCTTATAAGGTAATTAAATGACCAAAAAAGAAATGATTTAATAATCGAAATAGTTTAATTTAAGAAAAATTTTTTATTTACTAAAATAACTGAATTTTTTAAAGGGTAATGGCAATCCCGTAGTATTGCTTATTGAAGAAGAGGGAATTATAACGGAATGTTCTTTGAAAACAACCGAACCGGATGAATTATTAAATTTTAATCTTGAACCGGAAAATATTGTAAATAAAATTTATCTTCAAACGGTATTGTTAAAGGATGTTCTCGCTGAACTTGATCCAACTAGCGATTCAATTAAGGTAATAATAATTATTGTAAAATATTTTTAAAAACTAATCATTTATGTTTTTCTATTATTTTTCAGTTAACTTTATCTCCCGATGCGCCTTATTTTAAAATAACTACAAATGGATTGGCTGGTGATTGTACTATTGAAGTTCCTCATGACAGTGAATTAATTGACAGTTTTGAATGTAAAGAGACAACTACTTCCAATTACAAATTACAACATATCAAACCTGTTGTTAAAGCTTTGGCCTGCAGTCATTTGGTTTCATTAAAAACTGATGATCATGGACTATTGTGTTTTCAATTTATGGTGAAAACTGAAGAAGGACAAACTTGTTATATAGAATATTTTGTAAGTATTCAAAAATTTTATTTTTTAATTTAATTATTTTCCCAATAGCCATATTAATTAATTATTAATTTAGAAAATTAATAAAAATAAACTATAAATCAATTTCAGATGTCATCAATTGTGGATAACGATTAAATTTTATAAATTCTCATGACAATTAAATATAATGAACATATAACTATATTTTTTATACTAGTTTAATGTAATAATAAGAGATTAATTTATTTCACAAAATTGTATTTTATTTAGACTAGATAGAACTGTACATGAATTTCACTTTATTTATAGTATACTTGATGAGTTTATATACTCAGGTAGAGCATTAGAGAATAATTAACAATTTAAGCTTTTTTGAAAATCGGTATTAAACGAAATATCTCATTTTTTCAGATAAATATTTATATTTCCATAAAACTTGAAATATTTTTTGTTATACGCATTGTATAAATTAATGTTTTCACGAAACTTTTAATTATTCTCAATAATATGATTAAAAATACTTTTATTAAAGCCTTTTATCATTTTTTATATTTATGTAAAATATATAGTTATTACACCAAAATGGCTCTGCCTGCTTAAAAATCGTGAGATTTTTTTTTTTGTAAAATACATAATCACATGTATGTAATTTTTTTCGTTCATTCGCAATTTCTTCAAAATGGTCCTTTTTTTACTTTATATTTTATTTTCTATACTCTCTTTTTAAAAATATGGACAATAACCAGAAAAACAATGTTTTTCTCAAAATAATTGAAGAAAGAAATGATTCAAATAAATTAAATAATTACTATGAGCGTTATTCATAAATTATGTAACTTTTGAAATTATTAGATCCCTGTAACAATGTTTAATTTTTTAAAAAATGTTATTTTCCAATTTTTTTGAAAAATTCGTTATTTTATGTCAAGATATTTTTTTTTACATTAACACGTAAATTTCGACAAAATTTGTCTTAAAACATGCGCCATTTAATGTATTTCGAGTATAAAAGTATTTTTTTCACTTCATCATTCGTGTATTCTGTACAAATATATCTAAAAATTCAGAATATCAAAACTAATTATTGTTACAATTACCATATGTATACATCGTTCTTATAATACGTAACATTAACATCAAAACTTAAAAAAAGCAAAACAATTGGAATTCTGATAATATAAAAATAACCGATGACATTCGTTTCTTTAAAATCTTATATAAAATTATTGTGTACTGTACAACAATTACAATTATAAGAGCCATTAAAGGCACGCGTACCTTCTTTTTTTGATAAGATGTACACTGTTTCAAAATAATATTTACAAAATTGGGAATGCAGGCAGTAAAACATTGTGCTTTTAAAATCTCAAGCAACATTAAAAAAAAATTGAATTTATTAAACATTTTTTTCCTTGAATAAATATTAAAATAAAAATATTAATATTTGAATTATTATTTTTGCTTTTTTTTTGTTATCTTAAATTATTCTCAAATAATTTTAAATACTAATTAATATTAATCTTCTTTTCTTTAATAAAATTCAACTTAAAATTATAAATAAATTTTTTATTAAAATTTAGAAAAATCTTTCTTATATACTTGAAAATTTTTTATTTTACTGATGCAACAGTGGAATAATCCAAATAATATAAAATACATAATAAAAATTTTGAATATTCAACTAATTTATGATAAAATAATAATAAAAAAAACTTAATAATAAATTCAATACATAAATATAAATAATATGTACTTTCGCGTAAAATAAAAAATTGAAAATGTTTCCATTCCAAAAAAAAGTAATTATTTTTCTGCCTTCATTTCATTGATATATAAATTCAATTGAATCTCGTATAAAAATTCTATTTTTACAATCATAAACAAAAATCCATTATAATATATAATATTTATCTTAAAATATATACAATCAGTAGAAAATGGAATTTCTTAAAATTTTAAAATGGCTTTATGTACGACTACAAGAGTCTACATTACATATCGATGATTCAGTCACAAAAAATACTATATGACTAATGCTTGTCTTTTTCAAAAAAAAAGTCAAATAATAATGGCAAAAATGTATCAAAAAATAAAACTAAAAAAATGACACATAATTAAAAAAAAAAAACCACCAATAAAAATTAAGATTTAATAAAAAAACTCCAATAATCTCAATATTAGGCTTAACAATTTGCTTTAAATAAAAATTATTTAAAAAAAAATAACAATAATTTAACTTTTTCTCATGTAAATGTTTGTTTGAAACTCTACAACAAACAAAATCAATCTACGAATTAAACCACTGTTACAATTTCTCATTTAGAGGCAATGGGACTTTTTCTACACTATTTAATGATAATTTGTGATAAAGATTCATCATTATTAATAACAATAATAAAAAAAAGATTTCAAACAGAAATTTGTATATTCGAATAAAAAAAAAAATTTCGTATATATATACAAACAAAAAAAAAAATGGAGTATTTTTATTCTTTGAATATTATTTAAAAAGAAAAGTTAAAATTTTTTTATCAATCGAAAAACTTGTAAATAATATTTATAAACTTTTTTTCCCGTGAAAAAATAAAGTGCATCTTTTAAAAATAGGGAATTAAAAAGAAAAATATCTTCATTTATACAATTCACATTTTCCATGATGATTATAATGCAATTTAAAAATTGCATATCTCTCTCTTTTCTTCTAAACGCTATTGTGGTCTTTATCACACATCAGTCATTAAATATAATTTTTTTTTTTTTATATTGGAAGTGAATGACACTGGGCGTTTATAATATTTTTTCTGTTTAAATCTACACACAATTAGGTGATCTTTTGAAACATTTAAAAATTCAGTCTGCAGGACTAACCGGATGATATCCTGGTGCCAGATTATTATTAACCCAGCGTCAAAAAAAGCTGTAGGCATTTTGTACGGCTCTACCACTATTAATTACATTTGGATGTTCTCTAATTTGTTGTTGTAATTGTTCCAAAGATTCTGCTCGTATTCTTATAGATCCACCATAAGTTTGAACCTGTGAATAAAATTGTTCATAAAAAAAAAGTTATGAAAAATATATTTCTTTTAATTTTTAGACACATTTTATAATGGTAGTGTGAAATTTTATTTCATTGAAATATTTTTTAGTCTAACAACTATTGAAGCACGATTCAAATTTTAAGATACCTGGAAATTTATTTATCTTTTTTAAGGAGAATAGTTTTATAAATATTAATAAAACACAAATTTGAAAGGGCGCGTCGTTTGTTTGTTTGTTTGTTTTAGAGTGTTATCTACTCACTGTCTGTAGATCAAATTTTGAGTCAGCCACTCGTGCTCATTCAAGAGGTGTTAGACTTCCGCTGCTGACTCTTACTTCTCTTGGTTCCGGAATAGTTGCCGGCCTTCTTTCTTGCGATTGTTGAATAATTCCCGATCCACTGTGATGTGTTGTTCTACCGCTTGGATTTGCGACAACATATTCAGTCAGCATTACATCCGCTGTGCCACCCGATTCCAATGGTATGGCATTTTGTCGAAAATGTTCAAGCATTTCGTAAATTGCATTAAAACTTAAATGTTGAACCCTACATTGTCCTTGATCGTTCAATGTCATTCGCAAATGCTGGAATTACAAAAAAAAAAAGTGTTGAATTTATTTTAAAAATTATTTTTCAATGATAATATTTATACCTTTGCTCTTCCTTGAAAATTAAAAGTAAGAACAAATTCGCCCTTTCGTGTTTCACTTTGTCGAACGAGAAAAACACCGTGACCATTGGCGGCACTATGCAAAACTAATTGTGCAGCATCTGAACGTGGAAGAGTCCCATGAAACCAGGGATATTCGCGTAAACTACTTGACAAATCGAGTTCCCCCTCATTACCTGGAACTAAACAATAAAATTATTAATATCAGAAAATTTTCTCTTCATTCAATGATTTTTTTTTCTTCACTTACTTTGTTCAATTTCTTGTTGAGAGGAACAAAGTTCTAAATTACTATTACTTCGTGTTCTGAGTCTTGGTGGTAATTCCGGTGGATTTCCCTGTTCATCAACATGATCATGCATTGAACGTGAGCTTTTACTTGCTGAATTAGCTCTCAATCTATCACCTTCAATATTCATTGACATTGAACCATGAACTGAATCTGTGGTATCATTTGAACCAGAAATTTGTTGACTCATTCCTTGTAGACCAGAACGCATACAATATTTAATTGTCGCCAACCACGATCTCATATCATTTGAATCGTGTGCCTCTATGACAAATTCCATTTTTTCTGTTTTCAAAACAAATGTATTTTCATGATCGGGCATCTCCAATGCTGTTGTTTCACGTGCTTCAACAATATCAGAACAAAATACTCCACTACGTGGTTTTACTGCTTTTGGCGGTGAATAAAATTCTAACATATAGCCTCCAATTGCTTTTATTAACGCTAAACGTGATTTTTCCCATTTTTGTGTACCATCAATATTTTCGCCCATTAATGAATTAACGACACCTTCCTTTCTACATTCGACAACAATTTTCGAAAGTTTAGCCTTCGAATGTTTATCCCTTCGATTCTCATTATGTGATAATTCAACTTCATCGCTTTGTTGCTTGTGAAAAAGACCTTTACCCTTTTTGAGACCTTTAAATGAAAGTCGACGAAAAAATGGTTTATGAACGGGTTTTGGTGAAACGGCATTTTCATCCTGCTCTGAATAATCGCTAAATTCCTCATGTGACGATGCTCTAATTGGAATTTTATTATTTTGATTTGTTGTATTATTCGTGTCTTTTTCATTAGTTGTTACTGTTCGTACTTCACTTCCTGATGGCGAACTAAGGAGAAAAAAATTACAATGTCAATTATTCTTTTTGTTGAAAATATTTTTGATTTAAAGAAAAAGATAACATTAATATTAAACGTATTGACATAGAATACTTAATTATATTTTTCTTAGTAAAAACATAATGATTTGTAAAAACAAATTAAAAGCTAATAAGGAAAAAAGAAAATTATTCCAAGATTTCTTTTTCCAAACATGATTAGTTAAAACTAGTACATATATTTGCTTTATACTAATTTTTTATATTTCTAAAAATATTTTGAATGTTCTGTTCTTATTTTCAAATTGTATACAGAATCATTCTAATATTTAATAATAAAATCAGTTTTTTTTTATAAATCAGGATAATTGTGACCATTATATCTATATTTATCTACAATAATCGATAATATAATTAAAGAATTCTGCGTTTACGAAATAATAAATAAAAATTTATTTGAAATTTTCGAGAAATCATATTTTAGGAAATATTTGATTTTGTTCTTAGCTCCATTACTAAAAATAAAGTAACCCTTCAGTCTAAATGCCATGCGTTTTGCTCCAATTTAATTTTCGGAGTAAAGATCAAGTTTCTTTTTTTTTGAGAGCATAATAAATGTAGAAAAACAAACCTTGCACTACGTCGTAGGTATTCACTTTCAAAATGATCGCAAAAGGTCTCAACAAATTTCCTAAGAAAATCCCTGTGGGAGAGGGTGGCCTTGGCGCTTTCGGGGAGGTTGAGACTTACATAGGTACAGAAAGCTTTGGCAAAGTCGGAGGCTGAGGCGCGGGCGTGTCTGTCACAAAATTCGATCCAATCGCCCGCACCCTCAGGCGACGCGACACCCGCCGCTGTAACCGCGTTGTAAACACTCATGTTTCCCCTTGAGAGAGACAGGTTCTCGACCCCGACCTCTGTAATTTTGCACTCCTTTTTATTTATTTATTTTTTTTTTATATTAAAATAAACTTACACCTGCACCACATCTTAGACACAATCATTGTGATTTATTGCATATGTATATTTGACTTTTTATTTGAATATACACGTAATTGACGATACAACGCTCATTAATCGGCGTTGAATCGAAATGCACCTGTTTACTGCGGGATCAATCAGAGAGATAACCTTCCATTCTTTTCTGGTTTTATTTTATGATGATGATATATACTCCAAAAAAAAAAAAAGAAGCACTACTTTGTTATTGCCGACAATGACGATTGCACACCACTTTTGTCTGGTGTATTCAATAATAAATCAACCCCAACAATCACTGTATACTTTAAATTTACTTTTTCTTCATACTTTTTTTTTACTTTTGTTAAAGTACTTTCCGGTACAAGAATTATTACAGGGTCACTACATTTTTATTTCCGCAACATTACTTTTTCAATAAAGCATAGTGCTCATGTAGCGTAAGCAGGGTTGTGAAGTTAGAAGTATGATTTTTTTACTGTAAAATACAGTATTATACGTTTTTTTACCTTGTACTAAAGTCATCGACTCACCGCACTATGAAACGTGTAAACTAACCTCAAACTTGTCACAAAAATCCAAATTTTGACAAGTATTGTCTCATCAACAATGATTTTTATTGTTATTGAGAAATATTTCACTTTTCTACTTATTGGTAAGTAAAATGAAATAGAGAAATTATTTATTTATATAAGAAAATTAAAAAAAAAATTTAAATTTTCAGATAAAAAGTAAGGAGAATGTTATGTTTATCAATCAACCCTTTACCTTACAAATATTTGTTATTTATTAAAATATGACTTTCTTTACTATAAGAAATTGTTTTTAAAATGAAAATATTTTAAGTTACATCTATACACAATATCAGGTAAATAATGACATTACATTTATTTCTACTTTTAAAGATCTAAAGATAAATTTTGTTTTAGACACTTCAAGATGTTGGGAGTTAAGAAATTTATTATTTATGGAGCTATTTTATCGGCTTGTTTCCTTTTACTTATTTTATACATTTTGGGTACTGTTTACTATGTTACTACACAAGAAGAAAACACCTGCGAAATGACATATATGTTTGAATATCCTCAATATGTGGTATGTATAAAGAATTAATTTGCTTTTATAAATTACTGAAATTTTTTTTTTCTTTACAGAGGATAACACTTTATGATGAATTAGAAAAAGTTTTTCCCAGATTTGGTTTATATGCATACGGTGAAGGTTTTGTGACGGAAAAAATTCGACGAATGAAATTCACTGGGATTCCTGTTCTTTTTATCCCAGGAAATGCAGGTTCTTCCGAACAAGGTAAGGAAAATGTTTTGTTATTGTATCTTTTTCTAATATTTTTTATTTTTTAGTGCGTTCTCTGGCTTCTGTTAGTTTGAGAAAAAGTTTAGAGGACAGAACACCATTTCATTTTGATTATTTTGCCGTACATCTTGGTAAAGATTATTCTGCTTTATATGGCGGTGTTTTGATGGAGGAAACAGAATACGTATCTCATTGTATTGAGAGAGTTTTAAGTTTATATAAAGGCAAAGTGAATAATGTTATTCTAATTGGTCATTCAATGGTAAAGAAAAAATTTACTATTATTTTGATAATTTATAATTTATTTTTAATCATATTTATTTTCAGGGGGGAATTGTTGCAAAAGGTGCTCTACTTATGTCGCCAAAGATTAATGCTAGTTTTGCAAGTATTTTAATAACATTAGCAACACCACATACGCCAACAATTGTTTTCGATAGAACTTTTGCAAATTATTATCAACATTTAGAAGCTTCAATGGATCAATTAAAATTAGCGAACGTTACAACAATTTCCATTGGTGGTGGACCCAGAGATCATTTAGTCACTGCTACACAAACAATTGATTCAACAGCAGATATGAATCTTCTTTCAAATGGTATTCCCGATGTTTGGAGAAGTACCGATCATTTGTGTATTCTCTGGTGTAAACAATTAGTCTTATCAATAGTTCGAGCACTTTTTGATTGTGTTGACATTAAGACTCGACCTCCAATGATAACTGCTGATCCTGAGAAAAAAATGCAAGCACTCTCCTATCATTTTCAAAAGGTGAAATTAAATACTCAATGTTTTTTTTAAATATTAAAAACGTCTAAATTTATCGAAAATTTCAGCGATATTCAGGAAAACGTCTCAGACCATTTCAGGAAAAATTTAATTTCGAAAGTGGAGCTTTATGGATAGAGGATATTCGCAAACAATACGTGTGGTCTGGTAAAAATTTTACCGATGACGAAACATCAAAATCGGTTATTTATCTTATGATCAGATTTAGCGATTTTACCGATCAATTGACAATTCAAACTCTCAATTTGGAAACTAAAGATTGGCTCTACGTTTGTTTGGCCTCAACTATCGAGGGACAGTCAAGAATTTGGTAACATTTCAAATTATATAAAAAAAAGAATAAGAAAAAAGAATTAATTTTTACAAATTTTTCAGTGAATGGGGATGGAACTTGTCAAACCGATCAACAATACTACCGGATATATTGTATCGTCGAAGAAAAAGTGTCGATTTAAATGTCGAAGAACTCAAAGTTTATAAATATTCTCATGTAGTTGTACGAATTCCTCCGGGTAAGGAGAGAAAATACGTGAATGTCCAAATTGATATGTATTCACGATCATCGCGAATATTAAATTTCAATGAGAAATTTTCATTACTAAAACGTCTTTTCATTCCAAAGAAGCCTTTGACAATAAATACAACGCCAGGAGATGTACGATTTCACGTGAAACTATTAGAAATAACAAATGCCATAAATGTGGAACTCAAAGTTTTACAATGTGCCGATTTGACAAAATCACAATGCGGAATAGTCGAATTAATAGAGCCTTGGAATCCTGGAGCAACGCAATTTTTCTTCTTAACTGGAAGGTGAATTATTTAAATTTTAATAACTTCTTTAATTTAATTTTTATTTTATTTTTTAGTAACAGTGAATCAAAAACACTGCAAATACAAACGAAAACCACGGAGGATAATAATATAGCAGAATTAAGACTGACTTTGGATTCATCATGCTCGTACAGTATTATTGTTCAACAAGCATCGTTAGTGGAAAAAATCTCATGTATAGTTCGAGATCGATGGATGACTCTCTATCCAATATCAATTAGTCTTTTATTATTGGCAATTGCTGTGCAATTTGACAATAATCGTGATTCTTTATTGACAGCTGGAATAACTTTAATACTTTGTGTTGGTTTAGGAATTATTTTCGAATGTTGCGTGGCTTTTATTATTTTACATTTATTAGCCATTTGTGTTTGTTGTTCTGTCGTTTTTCTTGGCTCCGTAGCTCACAATATTGCCGTACGGTTAGTAAAATTAAAAATAGAATTCTTTTTTTTACAGTATATTCTTTAAATTAATATTAAATGTATTTTCAGATTTTTGGCACGTGCAATAGCATTTTCAATAACATGGTCCGATTGGTTGCTTGGAGGTTTAAATCAATTGCCAATTGTAACGACAATAATTGTCCTATCAATAGTTCCAGCGACATGTGGTGCTCTCGCAATGATGATTTCAATTTTTTTACAATTTTTAAAATTAACACGAATGTATGAGGATTATTTGGAAGAATTATTTTTAGCATCGATGCGACATTTTAATTTAATTAGAAAACGTGATCAAAATAAACATGACAATGAAAATACACGACGAAAAATCTTTAATCAACTTCTTCTTTTTATGGTATGGAATTTTATAGCAATATTTGCTGTTCCATCTGTTCTTGTGTGGGCGAAAAATTTCAGGTAATTATTAATTAAAAGAAAAATGTTGGAAATTTTAGTTTTGAACTACCACTGAAAAAAATAATAATAAAATTTTTTGCAGTTATAGTTCGAGATTAACAACGGAAGATCCAGTTTTATTTTACAGTTGGATTATATTAGTGGCTTGTGGAACTTTGGGATTAGTAGAAGTTCCTTGTAAGAACAATGGTGTATTAACCAGATTTATATCGTTTTTATTGCGTTGTATAGCTTGGATAATAATTTGTCTCACTGCTGCTCCGAATTCATTTTTCTATCAATGGTGGTTACCACCATCTGTGACTGTTTTTATGATATTAATATCATTTTGTTCAATGATATTTTAATAAGACTGCTTTTAAAGTACAAAATTGATTCTCAAAATTAGAAAATGCTCAAATTGAGTTCAAATTTTACACATGTAGCTTATAATGTATTTATAATAAACAAATGTTTATTAATAAATATTTAGATAATAGAAGCGATTAAAATTTAACATTTATATTAAATGTTATGTATTGTTATTTAATTAATAAAACAAAAACACTAATAATACATTATATTCGAGAAATTAAGTTATTTAATAAATTAAAAAAAGGTATTCCAATTTTAAGAACACGGTGTAATTAAGTAAAATCAAGAGTAAATAATTATTTCAAGGAATACAATTGGTTCAAATAATAAACAAGATACTTCAAAAAACCTAATTTATTACAAAATATTTGTAGACAAAAAATTAACGGCACGTTTGTATCTAAACTACTGTCTTTGCGCTATACATTTAGATTAAATATATCAAACTCAAAGTAAGTTTCTCTGATTTTAAAATATATATTATTACTTTCCCATTTTGTGAAAAATCAAATATACACAGGCACTGCGCGTTCTCTTAACTTTAAAAGCTATGGACAAGACGAGACTATTAAGTTTTTTTTTCTTAAAAAAAAAAAACCTCAAAAGATTTGAAAATTGGCTGCAGTATAATTGGTGCGTTTTAACAAGATTAAAATTATATTTTAAGCTTATAATTTATACACGTGTATGTATTAGAATTTAACAATAGAAATTAATATTCCGGTGTGTAAAAAAATTACCGAAACTAATTCTATTATTTTTTTTTGTATAATATACGACAGTGTTATTGTGTCATGATGACTGAACTTACAAATTGAGGGCAAAATTAATAGTCGAGTGCCCATTCATTTTCTTGTAGAAATGAATCAACAACGTCTTTCATTGCCAAATTGGGAATTAATTGATCTTGTGTTAGACGAACACGTGTTACAGGATCAAAATGTCCCACCCTTTGAAGATGTTCTTCAATATCTTTACGTTCATAGGTTATTCCACTAGGTGTAATCACTGGCTCTTGGAGAATTTCAAAACTAATTTTGCCACACAAATAATCTGGTACATCTCGTTTCTGTTAATATTATAAAAAATATAATTATTGTAATAACAAAAATTATTTATAACAAATTATATTTTTATAGAACTTACTCGTCGTCTTTCATCAACTTTTGAAAAGAGATCGTTTAATCGTGTAATACAAGTATCACGTTTTTCCTCGATTTCTTCACGACATTGGGCTAATTCGGCATCAGATTTACTTTCCGTTTCTTCTTTGTCTTTTAAAACTGTGAGATTCCGTTGCGCGTCTTCGATAATTAATTGATTCAGGTATGTTTGAAGTTCAATATCCTGTGCAATTCGTTGTTCTTCTTTGAGCTGAAATCGACGTTTACGTGCTTGTCGCAGGACACATGTCATATCATCCCCAAAGTTTAGCTTCTGCTCTTTTGCCAGGTCCACCGCTATTTTTTTTTTTGCACTCATTAAAGTTTAATTATTAAGTCATATTTATTATTTTAATGTTATATTAAAAATATATATACTTAACTAAAATGTACAACATAGTAAATGAAAACAAATTGTTTTAATAATTAAAAAATTACAAAATTACAAAAATAGAAGTTAATATAAACATGAGAAAGAAAAACAGATCGCACCTCTTTGTAAATGTTTGATTGCCTCGTCATAGAGTTCCAATTCCAAGAGAGCTAGTCCTAGAAAAAAATGACCTTTCACCAAACAGGGATCGATGTCCAGGGCACGTCTGCAATCCTGACAGGATGACTCCCATCGCTTCAGTTTTAGATGACATAAAGCTCGATTCGTGAAGTACAGCGCCTGGCTCGGATTTTTAATCTGCAGGAACGAGATGCGAACATTTCTAACCTGCGGCAATTTGAAAAGTCTGAATAAGACTCACAATTGCCTTGGAGTAACAGTTGGCAGCATCCTCGAATTTATGTAGACTAAACAGCCGATTTCCTTGTTCCTTGAGCTCCTTGTCTGAGAGATTTGCAGTCGAATACATTTTACTCATTATGATGTGACAGCCTTTTGTGGCTTGTAAAAAATAATACACAACATAAAATTAGACAACAAATCACTTGCTTAATTCAACAATTATTTTCACTGAAATATATTAACTAAACGTCATAAGTTTAAAAATGTTTTTAAAAAAATTATCAATACGTCAACAAGGGAAATTAGAATTCATAACCTCAAAATTGTGTTATTAAAGTTGTGTTCGTGAATGTTCGTTAATATTCGTTACATCTCACGAAGTTGTTGATTTTGGGCGCGTTTTCAAATGTTAACAGGGTTGGGAATTTAAAAATGATCTTTTTTCTTCAATTCATCTACACAACCCTGACTACAAAGTTGTGCGGCCGCCAAGTTGTCAAAGTAAACAAAGAATTGTTTTTTTTTCTTAACAATATTTTTATTTACAAAACAAAAGCAAAAAGTTATTGTTGTTGTTAAAAAATTTATTATTAACTAAACTTATTATTGTTTTTTGTCAATCTTTATTGCACAAATTTTTAATTTGTGGCTTTGTAACATATGCGTTTTTGACAAGAACAATGTTATTTTTCTTAATTGTGCTTACATTTGTGCAATTGTTATTAGCCTATATCTTCTGTCGAATATGGCTAAGAAATCGAAAAGAAGAGAATAGTATCTGTATCCTGGTTTTAGGAGACATTGGAAGAAGTCCACGAATGCAATATCATGCAATTTCTTTCGCAAAAGAAAAGTTTGCAGTCCATCTTATAGGTTATCCGGGCTCAACACCTTTACAAAGATTTTCTGAATTTCCTAACGTTAAAATCGATTATCTTACACCTCCACCGGATCTACAAAATAGTAATTAAAATTAATAATATTTTAATAGTAATAAATTGTCGCTTCTATTTATTTATTTGTTGTGAATCATTCATAATCTAATGTTTTCTATTTATTTTCAGAAGTAACACGTCTTTTTTCGTATGTAATAAAAGTTATTTGGCAATCTGTGAATCTTTTGGCTATTTTGCTTGGAAAATGTCACTCGTCTCATTTGATGTTACAAAATCCTCCAGCAATACCTACAATTCCGATATGCTGGCTTTTTTGTATTTTGTCGAATGCAAAATTTGTCATTGATTGGCATAATTATGCTTATTCAATAATGGCTTTGAATCTAAGTCACACTCACATTTTGGTCAAGTTTGCTAAATTTATTGAATCATATTTCGGCAAGAAAGCAGACTATAATTTTTGTGTCACCAAATCAATGAAGAATGATTTGAAAATTAAATGGGGCATAGAGTAAGAATTTTTTTAGTTTATTTTAATATTAGAAAAACAAATTTCAATTTTTTGATGTTTAATAATTTAGAGTTTAGTATTTTCAAACAATAATTTCTTTTAATTTGCAGAGCAAATGTTTTGTATGATCGTCCAGCAGAACGATTCCGGCCAATAACAATTGAAGAAAAGCATGCATTATTTTTAATATTGGGCGAAGATTATAAAATATTTCAAGGAGAGAATGATACCTGTACATTATTTACGGAAACATTATCCAATGGAGAAATTCAAATGCGTTCAGATAGACCAGCTTTATTGGTTTCAAGTACAAGTTGGACTGAAGACGAAGATTTTTCAATTCTTTTGAGCGCTCTTGATGGTAACGTTTAACAGTTCAATTAAACCATTTAAAATATTACATATTTTAATTAATTTTTTAATAAATGAGATTTAGTAACATTAGTTTTTATTTCTAGATTATGAAGCAGCTTGTGTGGAAAACGATTTGCATCTTCCAAAATTGATATGTGTGATCACAGGAAAGGGGCCATTGAAAGATTTTTATATCGCTTTAATCGAGAGAAGAAATTGGAAAAACGTAACAGTTATTACGCCTTGGCTTGAAAATGAAGATTATCCTAAAATTTTAGGTATATTTTTTAAAAAATTTCTTTTATCATTAAAATAAAACGTGAAATTTGATTAGATTATTATTTTTAGGCAGTGCAGATTTAGGAGTGTGTCTTCACACATCGTCCAGTGGTTTGGATTTACCGATGAAAGTGGTCGACATGTTTGGATGTGGACTTCCTGTTCTTGCCTTCAACTTTCAATCGTAAATAAATATTATATTAATTATACAAAGTGTCAGAAAAATTCTATTACTAATTTTTTTTTTCGTCAATATCTCTTAATAATTTAAAAAATATTTTTCTCTTTCAGATTACATGAATTGGTGCAACATGATGAAAACAGTTTGATATTCTCTAATGAAAAAGAATTGTCCTATGAATTGAAAATGTGGTTCAAAAATTTTCCCAATGACATGGAACAAAAGGCAAAATCCAGCAAATTCAAACAAGAATTGGAAAAATTCCGATTAATTGGATGGCATGGAAATTGGTCAGTCACTGCATTACCTTGCTTCAAACAATGAAAATCTGAAAAGACTGCAATTTATTCCTCAGGTTTTTAAATACTATTTTTTTTTTCTTATCTATAATTATACGTTAAGTTGAGATATAAGTAATTTTTCTTAATCAAGAAAAAGGAATGTTACTTTTACATTCCAATATAATATTTCTTATTCATAACGCATTTAGCGTTTTTGTTAATTTTCAAACAAAATTATGAAAAATGTTATTTTTGATAACGTCTCAAAGACAATTTTATCAAGATTATCGTGGACTAAAAAATTAAACCAAACATTAAGACTAGTCCTAAATTTAATTATATATAAAGATATATTTTTGATTTTCTACATTTTAGACTAGTTGGATATTAATAATTATGAAAGCTCTCAATATAATGCACTTTCATTAATTTTGATAAATGTTCTACAATTTAATATATACATATATATACAGCACAATGAAATTTAATATTTATTTATTTATCCTAACTTCCTGATATTAGGTAGTTACATAAATAATGAAAATTCCAATTTTATTAAAGAATATTTATTTACAAATATATTTGTAAAACAATTAATGCTGACAATTATTAAATGTACAAAAAAAATTTAATTCTTGTTGTAGAAAAAAAAACTCAAAAAAAAAGTAAATATATATAAACATCACATATTGATGAAATGTTAATTGTATGTCAGGTACCAAGAAAGAAGGAATTTAAACTAGAAGTCGTTCAATTTCTTGTTGAATCGCTTGAATTTGAGGCTTCAGTTGGGAACCTTCGTTAACAGTTACTGAACAGGCAACAACTGGTCGGGATACTCCACAAGCACGGCCAAGAGCTTGTTTACTACGAACGAAAACATAAGGAACGTTCTTGTCTTCACAAAGAAGTGGTAAGTGTAATAAAATTTCCAAAGGCTGTGCATCAGCTGCCATTACAATAAATTCCGAAAGTCCACGATTCAATGTTTTTGTAGCTTCATTTGCTCCTTTACGAAGTTGTTTATAATTCATAGCCTGTTGTACTAAATTCAATATTTTCGCTGTCAATGTGGCATCAGCCAAAGGATATGCCTTTGGATTTATTTCTTCAGTCTGAAAAAAAATCATATAATTTAGTAATTTTTCTTTTATTTGGAGAACAAAGACATTGAAACGATTTCTTTTCGAAGGTGAATATAAATTACTTTTCACTAACAATAACCCTCAATATTTTACTTATTTAAATTATAAAAAATGCGCTTTTAATTAAGTTTAATACTTTTTATTAATATTGCTTGACTAATTATATAAATAAGCAAGGTAAAAAAATTAATAAATTGAAAGTACCGGATGCACGTGGAAAATATAACCTCTAAAGCACTCGCTTTTTTACAATCATAATTATTTCAATTAAAATTTGACAGTAACTCACCATTTTTGTTTTACGTAATAAATTCGCTTTAAGTCTTAAAGATTTAAAACCTCTCGGCGATTAAATTCGAAAATCGCTTCACTGAGGGATAGAAAAAAGAATTTTTAAACGTTAAAACAACGTTTAGCAAACAACTTGAAATGAAAAAAGAAGCAGGGTGAGAAAATTATTTTTATTTTGATGCGCACGCATCGATTGTTCAGCCTTGACTAGGCAACCAATCAATTTGGCCTTTAAAATGGAAAGCGGGATATTTGAATAATTTACTGAAGTCAGTAAACAAGATAAATGATTTTTTTTAAATAAAACCAAAGGATAAAAAATGAAAATATATTTATTTTTTTTAAGAATCAATTTTGATCTGATCAAAAATACTCTATATATTTTACAATATTTATTAATAATCCCATTTATCACCCAATTTATTTATTTAATCTTACGTTTAATTTACCTATATAAGAAAAACTTAAGTAGAAAATTATTCTGGATCGTTTTTGTCATTTTCATTTTTTTTTGAATCTTTATTTATACGATGTTTTTCCTTATGTGTTTTTAATGAACTACGTTGACAAAAACTTCTTTGGCATACGTCACAATTGTAAGGCTTATCTCCAGAGTGTATACGCTCATGTCGTATAACATGACTCTGATAATGAAATCTTTTGTCACAAAATGAACATTGGTAGGGTTTTTCGTTTGTATGGGTCCTAAAGTGTGATTTTAAATCGAATTTTTTAAAAAAAGATTTCCCACATAGAGGACAAATATGTTTCCTTTCCTTCAAATGATCTCGTTTGATGTGTTCCTGTATAGAAAAGAGTAAAAAAAAAATATTTTTACTTAGAGAATTTAATTTAATAATAACCAAATATTTTAAAAATGGCTATTACTCACATTTACTTGTGAAAGATTATTATAAACTTTTGGACATATATTACAAACATATGATTGACGTCCTTCTGGTCTATGAATACTATCATTGTGTTTATTTAATGTTGATTTCCATGCGAATGATATGTCACATTCTTTACAATGAAAACGTTGATGATTTGCATAATGAATTCCCATGTGCTGTGTAAAATTATATTTAGATGATAATGTTTTTTCACAAACATAACAATGAAATTCTTTATTATTCTTTTCTTTTGTTGATGACGAATCATTTTTATTTAGTGGTTTTATAATCTCTTTTGGATCAGCAGTCTGTGAAATAGAATAATTAGTCTCAAATTCTTCTACTACTTTGACAATTGAAGATGAATCATCTCTTAGTGGAATATCTGAATCAATTTCTTTTTCTTTATTAGTAATTTCAGAAAAATTTTGATTTTCAATTAAATCTAAAAATTGATCGCCATTCTCAGCGTGACATATTGTTTCTCCTTCTTTTTGTTTTTCCGATTGTACTAATTCTAAAAATTCTTTTGCGCATGTTTCATAATTTCTTCTATCAAAATCTTCAAATACACCTTCAGTGTAAACTTCAAAATTTGTTTGAGCTTCTGTTCGAAAAAATTCAAAACTCTGTAAATTGTCAACAGACTCATTACCAGTCTCTTCTACATTTTCTAATTGTGTGAGGTCTTGAAATTGTGTCTTATCGGTAATATTATCCATTACCAATTCATAAAATTGTTCACCTGTTTCAATTTGTACAAGACGAAGTGTTGGTTCATTGTCTGTGAGAATTTCTTTAGGATCAACAGACTCTAATTCCAGATCAGTAGTTGAATCTTGTGATTCTGTATTTAAAAAATATTGATTTGTATTATTTTCCTCAAATTCTAATAAATTTTCTTTAAAATTATTGTCTTGTCTATATTTTATATTTTCTTTGGATGATTGCTTTCTTGAAATAAAATTTCTCATATCAACTTGATCTTCTGATGAAATTTCAGTCTCTAATAATCTTGGGACATCGGGTAATATATCATTAACACCAGTGTAAGTATTGAGATGATTGACCTCCTTTTCTAAATCGTCATTTTCATTATTACAAATACTAAGTAAATCAGAAATATTTGCCAATTCCATTACATTATCTCTAAAAAAATGTGAAGATGCTTCCTCAAATTCATCCAAATTAATATTAGTCATCTGAAAATATAATAAATTATAAAATTTTTCGTTAAAAATGTTTTTTTTTTCGATTAAAAAAGATAATCTCACCTGTTTTGCTTTAAAATAAAGAACAGTTTCTGCACTTTGTTCATTTGCACTAACTTCTGGTAATAAATCTTTGGAAAATATTGAATGACATTCAACATCCACATTATCGATATGTTGAGAAACATGTTTAGATATATTTTCAGATGTTGATGTATTATCATCAGCTGTCCATGTAAATGCTTCTTGTCTACAACTATGTTCTTTAATGTCTTCTGGATTTTGAAATTTCTGTAAATATTAGACAATTAGTACAAATATTTATAATTGAATAAATTTTTGTAAAGAAAATATTACCTTGTGACAACTTTTACATTCAAAAATATTAGCACTATTGAGATGTTCTTTTTCGTGTTTTCTTAATAAAACAGCAAATTGAAAACTTTCTCCACAAATTTTACAATAGTGACGACGTTTTATTACTTTTCGTTCACTAGTTCCAACATCTTTAGTAATCTAAAAGAATTATCTTAAATAGATTTGTAATTAAAAATAGAATATTACTTTTCAAACAAATATTTACCTCTTTTACTTCCAAAACATGATCCTTTATATTATAATCATTGGTATTAATTATTTCTTGAGAATTAACATTTTTTCCTTTTTGTACACGTTCATGAATTCTTTTGTGTCTCGCTAAGGAACTTATTTGAGTAAATCGCTTTCCACAAACAGTGCAAGGATAAGGTTTAATTCCTAAAAAAATAAATATAAATAAATTTATCATGATAAACAAATTGAAAAAAAATAATTATATTTTTAAATATTTTACCAGCATGTGTTCTGCTATGTCTTATTAAATTTGACACATGATTAAATTTTCTTCCACAAATTTCACACATGCTAACATTCGTACCAAGATGTATATTTAAATGAGTTCGTAAATCTGTCTTTCGAAAAAATCCTTTTTCGCATATTTGACATATATGAGATTTTTCACCAAGATGGACACTTCGTTGATGATATTCTAATTGAGAAGCTCGATCGAACAATAATCCACATTCATGACATTTAAAAGGTCTAATAAAAAAAAATGCTGTTATTATTATCTATGTGCTGTCATAATCGATATATTTAATATAAGTAAATTTACCTGACAATATTGTGACATAAATTTTCGTGCATTTGCAACTTTCCCTGAGAATCAAATTTGATATCAGACTCAGGACATTGTTCACAGGACAATAAAACTTCTCCCGTATGAATCCTCAGGTGACCATAATATTGCTTTTCACTTGTAAAACGTTCAACACAAATAGGACAAGCAAACAATTTTAAATTACCTTGTTGCGTTTTGTTTGCGCTTGTTTTACGAGTATCAACAACTTCCATTTTTACTTCTATTTCAATTTCTTGCTCAAATTGTTTTATTTGCACTTAATAATCTAGACGGATAATATAAATTGTCCGTCTAGTGCCAGTATTTACTGGCACAATAGACGGATGAAATATTTTTTGTTAAAACTGTCCGTCTTTCCGTATATATTTATATAAATTGTTATGTTACATGAACAGGGATGGGTTTTGTAGTTAAATTTTGATAACTTCATTTAAATGTAGGTATTTTACGTAAATAGGATCATAGTTACGGGTCTTACGCATCTGTTTTATAATTTTAACTACCCAACCCTGTTTAAGAACGAATCTGAAGTTAGTTGCTTATTATGACGATGACAAGTTAGGGCAGAGAATTTGATTTAAATTGTTTTAATAACCTAGTTCTTATAAATAATATCTATTTGTTAAATTTATTAGTTGAACAGTTATTAAAAAGTGTTCTAAGTATTAACAAAAGTGTTTCTTATTAAAGGTGTATAAAAAATGAGTCAAGGAATTCGAAGTAATTGGTTTTTCATGATGACTACAAAAAAACTTACAACCTTCCTTTGGCTACAGTTGCAGTGTATAATTTTATAAAAGGTATGTGATTTTTTTTTAAAGAGTAACAAAAATCAGGTAAATTATATAAAATTAATCTAATATACAATACATTTTTGACAACTTAACATAACCTCAAAATTATATGACAGGAATTTGAAATCCAATTTAACAAGTATTAAAAACACATTTATTTAATGCAAACTTTTATTTTTTTTTATCTACTTTGTATAAACAAATTCTTATAACAAATTTGAACACACTACATTACACAATATTAGAATACTCTTCATATTAACAATTTTTTTTTTCAACATTCTTTCTAGTAAAAATATTTTCTAGACTTAAAATTCTTGCTCTAAAATTATAGTTATTATCTTCGCCCCTTAAATTTATATTTAAAATCGAAACTAATATTTTGTCTCGATTTTTCTTTTTAATTTTATTTTTTACGTATACTTTTCTGTTTCACACTATCATTCGATACTTTTTCAAAGGAACTTTTACATTATCATAATAAATTTCTTTAAAATCACAAATTGCCAAGCCAGCTTTTTATATTTTAAATCTTACGAGCAGTTAATCTTGCGTATATCATTCATGCTTTAATGGAAAATGATTTTCTCAACAATAATTCTAGTAAACACAACCTTAACAGAACGGACTATACATTTATACAAAAAAAAAAAAGAAAGAAAATCTGCTAATCACGCAGGATTTGAAGGTAATCCCATCGACCATACATCCAATAGTTTTTGATCTTGTGGTCCCGCGCCCAAGCTCAACATTAATCCAGGAAGATCTCCTCTGCAGCCTCTTCCTCTCATTGTATGAAGCACTTTTGCAATACTACAATCATTAAAACGATCTTTTAATATAGAAGCAATTGATCTTTAATTATAATATAATATATATTTTATACTTTGCCCATTCTTCTTGCAAAGCTGCAAAATGAGATCTCAAAACTGAATTCGTGAGATTTTCATTTTCAATGGACTTTTCCATTTTAATCAAAAGTGTCGGAAGTTTTGGAGGTAAAACTCCTGTCCATTTAATAACATGTGACTTTGAATTATCCGTCCTATGTTCAGGTGGAATTATATCAAGTCTACATACATCAGAACAAGGCAATGGAACTGCAACTGTAGTATCCACACCTATAGGAAAAAAAATTAATAATAGTAAATCAATTAATAATTATTTACATTTTATTTGTGAAAAAAGATTTCAATTTTCGAATAATAAATTTGATTTATTATTACTTTCTTTTGCTTCAAATGATGAGAATTTGAAGTAGTTTAGCGAACGTACCAATGAAATTGCAAATATTAGAGTCTAAATATTGAACAGCTTGTGTTTTTACTCTTCGACATGCCTTGGGCACAAGAGAACAGAGACTATATAAAGATTTCAATGTTGGCAATTTTGGACCACGAACTAATATTTGCACGCCAGTAAGTACGGCGAATAAAATTTGCCGAAATTGATCCTTTCCCAGAACTTCTCTCAAATTACGCAAAAATGTCGTTGGACATGTGTTTGAAACTTCGTCAATTTGAGGAACGTCTAAATCTAAATTTAAAGTCACTGGCAATTTGGCATTGAACAACATATATCCAATAGGGCCTCCTAAAAATAATTAATTCCATAAGTTCAATTTTTTTTTGAATCAATTAATTAAAATATATACCTATATGATCTTTGATGTTAAAATTCATTTTATCATCGAGCAAACTAAATGGTAAGACTTCAACAAAATGTCTTGCTCCAGCACTGAGAATCCACACTAACCACATGTGTATTCTGCAAATATTTTTCAATTTTTAAATATTGCTTGTAATTTATTATTAATTTGAAATATTTTCAGAGAAAATTCTGTCGTACCTGACATAAACGTGTTTTTCATTTGTAATTTTACTGAGAGTTCTAGGATATTTGTTAGTAATTTGTGATGAGGGTCCATTATTAGCATTAGAAAGACGAACAGCTCTTTGTGGACATTCGGCTTCTTCAATATTGTAGTTTCTTTCGGCATAGTCTTGCAATTCACGTATCACTTCCTTTAAATTATCAACAAGAAAAGGCCACATATTCAATAGGAACTGTTTATCACGCATAAAAACAATGAAACTACACCATCTTCTAAAACCTCTTGCCTGAAAAATAGTTTTTTAATGAAAAATATTTATTATTTCATTAGTATAAAAATAATTTTCTAATTAATTACTTGAGCATCCTTTAGAGTAAACGTATGACTTAAAACGTGACCCCGATTATCGTCACCAAAATAGCAAACTCCTTCTTTTCCAGGATGTACTTCACAGCTTAGACTCCTGAGAAAAAAAGTATTATATCATTTTTTATTTTATAAATGAAATATTAAATAATAAATTTAATTTTATACCTAATACAAGCATGTCGCAGTAAATTATCAATGTCAATCATTAATGATTGTTGAGCCGATAGAAATGATGTTCTTGTCTCATGTTCATTGCTTAAATATTTTAAATCACCTAAACTATGACATCCTCCACAATCCTGTTGTATTTCAGCTTGAGAACTTGAATTTTGTGTAAATATTTCTTTTGGTCCGTAAAATTTAAGTTTATCAAGATTTTGATCATCATTATTTTTAAATGTTTGTGTTGTGAATATAATTTTTGGTCCATGCATTTCACAGAAACTGCAAAGAGCTATTGCCGCATTCATTTCTCTTAATCACAGGCAAACTATTTTTTTAAACTCAAGGCTGAGCCTGAATATTTTTTCGACGTTTCTTTGGTCTTAACATTACCTGAAAAAACATAATAATGTTGTTTTTCTTCTCATGGGAAAGTAATATAAAATTAAATTTTATTTACTATAAAAAAAATTCACTTGTTATTATAATTTATTTTTAAAAATTAATTCAATTTTGTAATTATTTTTTATTATATTTGAAATTTATTTATAAAGTTATTTAAAGTAATTTTCTTTAGATTTTTAAAAAATCGTGTTAACAACGAAGCAAAGTTTGAAAGTTGACAATAAATAAATTAATAAATTGTGAGTTCCAGAAGGAAATGTTTTTTTATAAGATGTTTGTGAATATTGAGATAAATATTTGTCAAAAAATATCAAGAACTTGCCTTTGTACTAATTAAAATCGGGTGAAATAATGACCACTAGGGGACTAGGGTTTATCAGTTTTCTCACGTGACAAACAAAAATAAAGACTAATGACACATGACGTTTTTACGATAAATAACAAAGCCTACATTTTCAACAACATTAAAAAACCGAGAACTCTTCCGCGCTGGTACAAGCGGTAGCCATCTTGAATAAGTCAGCTGACTTTCTATGATTGGTTACTGATATTAATGCGCGAAAGTTTGAAAATTTTAAATAATTTTTATAAAAAATATGTGGAATTATTATGTATTAAATATAGTAATATAATTTAATTGCTTATCATGAAATATATATTTTATTTATATAAATAAACTTACATTTTGTGAGATTAAAGAAAAACAAAAACTGATTGGTTAATTAAGAATAAAATGAAAGAAATCATTGGTTAAATTGGCGCTTGCGCATATATTTTGTGTTTTGTATGTGTATGTTGGCATCATTGTGTTAGTAACCGATAAGTGACAAATTGCAAATGGCGGACGAAAGCCTCAGTTTCTGAACGTTATTGAATTCTAAAAAAAAATATATCATTGGAATAGTGTAAAGTATCGGTGATTTTATTAAAATGACACATTTTTTATTGTGAGTGAATATAGGAGTGATGTGTAGTTGTTGAACCTAGTGTGTGAAGGTTAGTAATACTTCATCAATATATTTAGTGGTTAGGTTATCCTGCCCTCCATTTGGATTCGGCTATTATAGCATCTATCTTTTTTTATTTCTCGTAATTATAAGCTTTTTTCCATGAATTTTTGCGATATTAGATGATATTCTCATCTTGTATAGTAATTGTGAAAATATTTGTTAAAGCAAGGATAGTTTGTGTGAATTTTGCACATTGTGAAATTGCAAAAAAAGTTGTTAAGAATGGCTAAAATTCTATAGCGTGCGTTCGTGTCAAGTGCCAAAGAGTAATTAATGTTTATAAATAAATAGAATGAAATATTCCATACATATTTGCAATGTTAATTTTCTTTTTAATTTAGGGTTAATTTTATTTGTTTTTTTCACAGTTGTCAAAAATGTTACTTTTTGATTGATTCAATTCCGGTTTTTTTTTTTTTTTTTTTTTTTTTTAAATGATTTTTTGTTAGTATTTATTTTTGTTTAAACTAAATTTCTCCTTTTTAATTTAATAAATTTACTTTTCCAATTAGATATATAATTTATGTAAACATTTATTGTTTTTATTTTTCAGTGAATGTTGTGATTTAAAGTGAAAATCGTTTGAAATCAGTAAAAATGTCTTATCCTGGACAGCCTCCGATGGGAATACCAGGAATGCCCCCCATGCCTTATATGGTGGGTGCTCCTCCCCCTATAATTGGAGGAGTTATGCCAATGCCTCATGTAAGTGTTTAAAGGAAATTGTCAATTTTACAATATATATTGTATAATTAAATAATTTTTGAAAATATTAGATGATTCCGACGCCTGTGTCTGCAATGCAAACTTCTGCACCAGCTGTGCGATATCCACGAAATAACACTCAACCACGTCCAGAACCACCTCGACGTCGTGAACGTGAAACAGGTCCACCAGTGACTGTGTTTGTGGGAAATATTATGGATCGCGCTCCGGATGTGATGATTCGACATATTTTAGGTGCATGTGGTCATGTCCTCTCTTGGAAGAGGGTTCAGGCATTTGGTTTTTGCGAATATGCAGGTCCCGATGCCGGTCTCAGGGCCGTACGACTTCTTCATGATATGGAAATTGGAAATAAAAAACTTGTCGTTAAAGTTGACGCTAAAACTAAAGTAGTTCTGGATCAATTTAAAGGTAAATTATTCCAAAAATTCTTTAGAAAAAGAAATGTTTTTTTTTACTTTTTTAATTATAAAACTACAATTCAAAGAAAAGACATTTTAGTTATTGTTAATATTATTTTTTGTTTAGCTGAAAAACGAAAGAAACTTCGCGGTGGTCAGTCACCGTTACAAGATGAAACGCCTACTGAAAATGCAGACGGCGAAGATGGAGATGATTATATGGACGAAGTAATGAGAGTTGTTGATTCTGATGCTCTTACTCGAATTAATCAAATTATTCAGGAACACACTGGCGACATTGAAGTAGCTCAATCTGCTCCAGGTAATAAGACAGTAAAAAAAATAATTAATTTTAATTAAAAATGATGTTTTCTGAAACAAAAACGAAATTTCTTGCAGATGATCATCCAGTTAAAGTGTCAACTAAACAGTTGAATCTTGATGATGCGGAAATAGAGGAAAGTAAACGAGACTTAATCACTCGGGAAATTGGAAAATTCAGAGAAGTCATGAAGGTAGGTTTTCAAAAATTGTTCATTTTTTTAACTCTGCGCTTTTCCCATTTACTTTACTTCTTTCTTTCTTTCACAATTCACCTATAGTTGATCAAGCACTTTTTTTGATTCAGGGGTTTTAATTATTTTTCAAATAGAAAAAATATAAATTTACTTTTACATAATTTGAAAAAAAAATTCATTAATCTAAAAAGTAAAATCTAAATTTTTATTAATTTGATAGTAAGTAGTTGCATAAATTTTTATATTGAGATAAATTCTCTCTTGATTAATATTTAAAAAAAAAATTAACTAAAAAATTGTAAATATCAACAAAATTTTTATTTTGATTAGTCTTATATCTTGATTTTTCTTTTTCTATTCTCTCCTATATTTAAACATTTTGCTTTTCTTTTGTATGCCTCTAATCATATAATTGGAAAATTAATTTGTGTATAAATTAAATTTAAAAAAAAAATGATGTATATGAGATTTGTATGAGGAACAAATTAGTGATAGTTATTTAGAATTAAGTTTATGAGAATGGAAAGTGTGTGTATGTGTGTGTGTTAAGTTAGCTCTAAATATCTGGAGCCGTGATTCGTTTGCTGTAATTATAATGACAGGCAGCGTGCGTCGCACACAGCAAATGCACACACGTCTAGGAATGCTGTGTGCGGGGACCACCTTTTGTCTCTCAGTCAATGGCTCTGAAGGAGTCAATCATCACACACAACCCTCGTTATTTCGAAAGACCGATGCTGCAAATCTAGCTGGTAAGTCAGTGCATATCAACATGACAAGAATGTGCAAAACTAACTAAATAAACTCTTCTCATTCTCTTTAACTACAAGAAAAATATTTTTAAAATTTTTGTTTACAAAATTTAACGATAAATTTCATTAACTTTTACAATTGTTATATAAATAATTCATAAATTGGAAAATTTCTCAAATTCTCTTTTTAGCTTCATTACTTTCAACTTTTTTCGTTTCTTATTTTTATTCCACAAAAAATATTGAATTTCCCAATTTTTTTTTATCAAATAGTTGTAAAAATTAATGAAATTATTTTTTATTCCATTTAATTGTATAATTACTCGCATAAATTTAAGCGAGCATTTAATAGAAAATTCTATTATTTTAATCACGAGAATGAGAATTTCACAAAACAAAACTTATACTTTCGATAACAATTTAAGTAAAATTAGTATTACTTGTCAAAATAATAATATTTTTATTAAGAATCATCCTCTTCTAGGAAGTAATAATTTAGTTAATGTAATTATAGTGTTTAATAATATAATAATTTAAAGTGAATGTAAGATAAGTTTGCACATTTCTTGTATTTAAAGCATACTCGAGGGCCAGAGAAAACAGTCAAACGCTTGAAGCTGGGATACTTAGAGCAATTATTTAAAAAAAAAAAATGAAAGAAAGTAGAAAAGCAAAAAAAAAAAAAAATTTAAAGAATGTAATAGATCGTGATTTTTATTGTTGAAAAAAAAAATGAAATTAATCTTTCATCACGATAGAGACTCTTCAGTTGTTGTCTTTATTTTATGTAAACAGCTTCTGTCAGCGTCTCGATCAGACATGTTCGTAGTACCTAGGTGCGCGCTTCTCCAGATCCACCTCTGTGACTGACCAAGTCATCTTCACACTGTGAGTAAACTCCATAAAAAAAAAACCATGAACCAACACAAAAAAAAAACTTCACTCGGTTATTCTAGTTCTGTTAGCCAATATTGACAACTCAAATTCCTTCGGTCATTATATTGATATATATTTCTCATATAATTTAATTGTTTGAATTATCCTTTTCACATCCATTTCAATAACAGCACTTTGTTTTTGTTAATTCTATTTATTTTGTTTTGTTTTGTTATATGTCATTTTTACAACTAAGGATTATTGTCCAAAGTGTAATTTTTCTAAAAAAAAAAGTAAAAAGTATTGGACCAATTAATAATAATATAATAATTTTTTATTATTATTTTATTTGTAACTAATTTTTGTTTATAAAAATATTTTACCAATTACAAAATTTTAATTTTGCGAAATTTAATTTTCAATTTGAATATAAAGAAAAATTGTATCAATAATCCATAGTTGGCTTTTGAAGTAAAAGTAAAGGGTGAAAAAAAAGTTAATTTAGCTTTAAGGCGCTATATTTGGGTAAGAGATGGTTGTTTATTAAAAAAAAAATAGGGTGGGCGAACTATTGTGCATTTAATATTCAACAGTTTTTGGTGCATCAGCTGCCGCGTATATCCATAACCAGAAGGAACAATGTTGACAGACAATGCGACAGTATCTCAGCAAATACGAATGATGTGTATTGGTGGATATCCTTCTTCGTGACGACTCCACTTCTGATCGGTATATTTAAATACTTTCTCATAATTATTGGATATTCTCTCTATCTCTCTTTCTCAATGGCCCTATAATTTCCATTTACGTAATTAGTATTTAATATATATTTAAAAAAAAACACTATCGAAATAAAATACAGGCACATTTGCAATGTTGTAAGTACATTGGGTGGCCTACTACGATTCGTCTCTATATGGTTTTAAAAAAAAAATAATGGTACTTAGTTGATAAGATAGATTTAAGGGAGCTCTTACGTTTGTCTCCAAAGTTTGTACGTGCACTTAGGTACTTGATATGTTAACAAGATATCGTAAGATGCTGCTGCTCAAGCACGTTCCAACGGAGTGAGTATAAATCATCGATAAGAAAACATATTACATGTATGAAAATTCAATTTATCCTTCTAGTTAACAATTTTAAACGCCATAAGGGCGAATTTTCTGTTTTTTTAAGTTGATTTATTTGAGATGCTCAGGAAACAAAACTGAAAAAATATTTTAACAAATCTATTGGGAAAACTTTTTTTTTTCAATTAAAATTTAGTATTTTCATGTTTAAAACTTTTTTTTAAAATTAATTTTCTAAAACAATTGCTTTTTTTCTACAATTTTAAACTTGAGTAGTTTTAATTTGTTATACTAGAGAAAAAGTAATCAGAATGTTATTTTTCGCAAGAGTTTCGTTCACCCCCGAAGAAAAAAATTAAACTCATCACGTTTATTTTCTTGTGTTTTATAGAAGCAGGAGGAGGAAAAGGCTCAAGTAAAGAAAAAGAAGGAAGCAGTGGAGAAAGAAGAAAGAGAAAAACGTGAGAGAGAGCGAAAAGATAGACGCGATGAAGATGGAAATCGAGAGGATAATGACGCTGAACCCGGAAGTCCATCTCGTAAGACCCGCGGTGATAGTACCAGTAAAAGAGAAAAAAGACGTTCCAGGTCAAGGTAGAAATTAATTAAAAGTATTAAAATATAAATAATTTTAATGATTATTATTTAATAAAATGTAATTTTTTAGATCCAAGGATCGTGATCGAGATCGTGCACGAAGTGACAGAGAACGTGATCGTGACAGGGATCGTGATCGTGACAGAGATCGTGACAGGGAACGTGAGAGGGAGCGTGAGAGGGAACGCGAACGAGAACGTGAACGTGAGAGGGAACGAGATCGTGAAAGAGAACGTGAACGGGAACAACGTGAGCGCGAACGTGAACGTGATAGAGAACGTGAACGGGAAGAGGCGAGAAAATCAGAGAGGGAAATTCTTCGTGAACGTGAGGAGGAAGAGGAGGCAAAGGAGAGAAAGAAAAATGAAAGGCGATCGAGGGAGAAAGATGCTGCCTATCAGGAACGTCTTAGAACATGGGAAAATAGAGAACGACGTAAATTGAAGGAATACGAGAAGGAGGCTGAGAAAAAGAGAGCAAAACGTGATCTCAGAGAGAGAGAAGCAAAGAGACTCAAGGAATTTCTTGAGGATTATGATGATGATAGAGATGATGCTAAATATTACAAGGGTAAAGAATTATCACGTCGTTTGGAAGAGAGAGCAGCCGAAGCTGAAACTGATTCACGTGATCGTTGCGCTGAACGACAAGAGTTGCAACGTCTTCGCGATAAATTATACGCTGATGCTTCTCATCCTGATCCTGCTGCTGAATTTGAAAGGGTGGGATTTTTTTTAAAAATAATTATTAATTTATTGTTAAATAATTTGTTTATAATATTGTTTTTATTTTTTATTTTAGTTGAAAGCGGAAAGAGAAGAGCAATATAAACCGAAGCCAGTAATAACGATACTCGACGACGAGGACGAGAAGCTGTTGAAGAAAAATGAAAATGAAATTTTACCACCTATTGAAACAGAACCAATTGAAAGTGATAGTGATGATGAGGTTCATTTTGACGATGTATCACAACCGGAACCATCGAGAACACCGCCAAGACCACACCATCATCATCGTAGGCATCATAGACATCATCAAAATCATCATCGTGATGGTGAAAATGATGAGGAATTAATTGAAATTGATAGGGAAAGTTCAAAAGAAAAAAGGCCATCGCCAGTTATTATTAGGGCTACAACACCTGTACAAGCAATGCTACCTCATCATGATGAAGATTCGAGAATGTCTCTTGTTAGTGAGCCAGAAAAAACCAGTAGTAGTGAGTAGAAATTTATCTAAAGTTTTTTTTATTTATAAAAAAGAATTTGTAATTAATTTTGTTCTCTTTTTTTTTCAAGGTAATTTTGTACCATTTGCAATGGGAGCTAGTGGAATGCGTGCCAATGATCATGCTGTAGGAAATAAAACACCTGCGAGTCCAACTTTACCTCCAAATGCACATTCACATCCCAATCAAGTCAAGAAAAAAGGACGTATTGACGTTAAAGACGTTTTCAATAATGACGATGATGACGATACTACCAGTAATTCGAAAAAACGAAAACTTGTTCCTCTTGGTATGTTTTAATACAATAAATTATTTATTAATTTAAAAATATTATAACTTTTGAAATAATTTGGTAAATTTATGAGTTTGAATAAAAAAAGTATACTTTTTTTCTGAATATTAGATTATGGTGAAGATAAAAAGAAGAAAGAGGAAACAAATGCAAAACCTGGTAAGGAGGAAAATTCAAAATCACAAGAAGAAAAGAGAAAGCATATTAAATCTCTTATCGATAAAATACCGACAGACAAAACTGCACTCTTTGGTTATCAACTCGATTGGGCTGTAATCGATAATGTAAGTCATTTTTTCTTCTAAAAATTTAATTTTTTTTTCATATTAAATTGTTATTCTTTTATTTTTTAAATAAACAAATTTATTCTAAATAATATTAATGTTAAATTTATAATTGTTTTCTTTTTAATATTTGTTTTTAGACATTAATGGAAAAGAGGATACGTCCTTGGATCAATAAGAAGATAATTGAATATATTGGAGAACCGGAACCAACGTTAGTCGATTTTATTTGCAGTAAAGTAATGGCAGGAAGTTCTCCACAGGGTATTCTCGACGATGTACAAATGGTAAGAGATCAATTAAACAAATGGCATTTAATTAAATGCTTTCTATTTTTTTTATTGGTCATAATTACAAAAAAATTTTTAATTACATTGTAAATTAAGTTAATTACAAAAAGTATTTTTTTTTATGTTATAGGTATTAGACGAGGAGGCAGAGGTATTCGTGGTAAAAATGTGGAGGTTATTAATATACGAAGTTGAAGCAAAAAAAATGGGTTTAGTGAAATAAAATAAATTTCCATTGTGTTATTAAACGATCGAATTGATTAATAGTTTTTACAACAAAAACATGAAGAAGAAGAAAAAAAAATTCCTACGATATTTGGTGTAATGAGTAGTTTTTAAAACTCATATACATTTATTATGTATCATTATTTTGAAATATAATGATAATTCAATTCAATCGCAATTGATCGTGCGGTGAATGGACAACTTCGTGAGGTTTCGAAATATTCAAAAAGAAAAAGGAATAACTATTTGTAATTACAATTTGCAAATTTACTTTACATATTTTTTTTTCTTGAAGGAGTATGTATGCCAGTATAAAGAAAAGAGTTTACAAAACATAAATGAATTAAGTTTTTGGAAACCAATGTTCCTATTTTTCTTCACGATCTTTTTCTACGGTATTTACTTTCACATTATCTTTATAAATTTGTTTCAATTAATTTATAATTTTCAGTATTAAAAGGTGCAATTTTTGTACTGGAACGATATAGTTGTCGCAAAATTTCTGTAATGTTTAATATTTCAGATGATTTGAAATAAGATAATTTGCAAAAAAAAAATATTTTCTTTTACTGTGGCGTTTCTCTTCTATTTTTTATGTTATTTAAAAGTATTGGTGAATTTTTTGTTATTTTGTAAAAGTTTAAAAGAATTTTTTTTTTTTTTACGTTTCAGAACTTTTACGCCTTTATAAGTGTCGATTTGAATTGCCAGGATTAAAAAGAACGTCCATTGAACTACAAAGACTCGTTTTGAAAGGTTGGTGATACGTTTTGTACTTGAATATTGAGACAATAACGCACTGCTATTAACGCGCGCTTGTTTTAAACCCGAAAGCTTTTATGTACTTAGCGACAAATAATGGTGAAGTGGCACTACGGGCAACCACTTCACGAAGAGACGTGTTACGTACCTTGAAAAAGAAAATTGAAAATTTTCCGACATATGTGACTATTTGCTTCTTTAAAATTCTATCTGAATTTAAAATTTAATTATTTCTAATATCAATTTTTATTTTCTTTATAATTTAAATAATTTTTAATTTTTTTCAGTTGATATTAAAATAATTTGACATGAAATAAATTTTTGCAAGTTTTTAAAAATGTGGGAGTGTTAAAGACTAAAGTTGAATTTAAAGAAGTTTATCGATTCAGACGCGGGTAAATAAATGGAATTGTGAATTGTGCAATCGTTGCACGTTTTTCGCCCTGACGTCTTGAAATGACGAGAAGAGTGGTCTTGTACCGCGGCGGTACCTAACAAAATGTATGTAACGTCTCGAGTAAAAGAAAGAAAAAAAAATACAAAAAGAATTCTGTGATCTGCTCCTGTAATTTATTCTAACGTGAAGGTCGTAATTTATTGGAAAAGGTAACGAGAATTGCTATTGAATAAAGTACCCTCTTCGTAGAGATATATATTTATACCAATGTTCATGTGGGGAAAAAAAAATTTATACTGTTTTAATACGAGTTCCATCTAAAATTATTAAGTAAGTGTATTAAACTTTAATAATTTTTTGTATTAGTTTTAAATAAGTAATGCATAATTATTGGCGCGAGAATTATTAATTTTTTTGAATTTAAAAATTCGCACCACTCTATGATTGGCGGATCGAAATTGACATTCTGCGCAGGCGCTGAAGCGCAGCTTGTAGTCGCTCTACAGTTGAGTGCAGTAGAGTCCCTGTTGTTTCCAAGCTTTAGATTAATTGAATTAATAGAATTTTTCGTCATTAGGGGATATTGTTATACATTTTTCGATGTTTTAGAATGTGAGATAAGATTAAATTTTGTTCTCTGATTATATAGAAATGGGGAATAAAAAGAAAAGTTGAAAAAAATGAGGTTATGGAAACAACAGGGGTAGCATTGCATGCAATAAAGTGTGAAGTGTCCTTTAGCCCGCATTGTCGTGATTAGTAGTCAAAGTTTGCGTTTTATTTATTGTGATTAATTGCGTTTTTCTATAAAAATTACATTAATTTATTTACATATTCAATACAGAGGCAAATATACATTAGACGCGATTAAAATTTTCCATACATGTATTAATGAAGATTCGTCAAAGTCAGAGAAATTGAGTCTCAAACTTTTGTTTATTTCGGGCACCGGATGCCATCTTGCATCCTTTTTTATCTCTATTGTCTGTTTATAATATTAATTTTAATCAATAATTCGATCCATTTAGAATATTAGATTATTCATTTTTCATTGCGAAAGTTGAATTTAATTTGTACTGCATATAACTCTAAAGGTCACCTTGAAAGAGGGGGCGTGTGAGTTGGTACTCCTGCTTGATCTGAAGACAATGTCAAGTCTTGTTTACTTTAACGGTTTTTGAAAATTTGCAGGTTTATTGCTCCATTGTAGTCGATGAAATTGCCATTGTTATTAGGGTTAATTGTCGAGACTACCTGTAATTTTGGACGTGTATTAATATTCAGTCATTGTTAGTCATTTCGGGAGTGTTCGAATTTATATCGCGATCGTTTTATAAAATAGATAATTTAGATATTTTTTCGGGAGTGCGAATATTTTTAAAACCGCGATCGTTTTATTGAATTGTTATAGTTGTAGATGTTTAGATATTTTTTCGGGAGTGAGAATATTTTTAAAACCGCGATCGTTTTATAGAATTGTTATAGTTATAGATGTTTAGATATTTTTTCGGGAGTGCGAATATTTTTAAAATCGCGATCGTTTTATAGAATTGTTATAGTTGTAGATGTTTAGATATTTTTTCGGGAGTGCGAATATTTTTAAAACCGCGATCGTTTTATAGAATTATTGTTATATTTATAGATGTTTAGATATTTTTTCGGGAGTGCGAATATTTTTAAAATCGCGATCGTTTAATCTTTGTAGTATCGTTTGTGATATTTCGCGTTGTGAAAAGATTAAGAAAATTTATTTACAAGCTCAAAATGAGGTATGCTATAAATAGATATATTATATTCTCTACTGAAATTAATAATAATTGTAACCTCAAAATAAGAAATACTTAATTGGATTTGATATTAATTTTATAATAATTATAACCTCAAAATCAGGGTTTTGTTACTTTTTTCTCTAACATTTTTTTTATTTTCAGATTTCAGCTCCTAAAAAGAAGAAAAAGATGAAATTTCCACTTCTGCCTCCTACCATCGTTCCGTCGAGGGAATCCACATATTCGGTGAGTCTTTTATTAATATAAAATTAATTTTATTTACAAATGAATTTATTTTATGAAATTGATTTCATGTTTAATTTAACAAATATGACGATAACGCGAGTTTCTAAAATTATATGAAAATTGAATCAATTTGGATTTATGATAATTAATGACTAATTTGTTGATATATATATCAGAATAGAATATTAATGCGTGTTTGGAATTTTGATAAGATGATGTTGAGGTATAAGGTTCGTGAAGAAAAGCTTATTATTTAAACAAAAGATACTAGTGACAATACAAAATAATATATATATATACATATAGTAGAAGTCTCGTATAAGCGCGAAGATGAAGAAGCAATTATTCTAATGGAGGCTTTGGGGAGGATTGTGGGCGAGACAAGTGAGGTAATCCTTGAATAATACGTGTACCCCTTTTACCCCGGTCGCGTGTTGTCCCTGCCTGCTAATATTATGCTAAACTCTGTAATACCTCGTCTCAGTGTATAGCTATCGTTTGAATATATCTTGAATAACGGGAATAGATCTTTCGTTTGATGCTAATTATACGGATCAAAGTTGGTTAATTTAAAAATTGAAAAAGTCAGTTTCTGCATCATTTTGGGGGATTCAAATTTAAAAGTCAATAAAATTCGTTTTAATCAATTTTTTTTCAAAAAATAAAAATAAAATTTATTTCCAACTAGAATAGGGTATATCTATTTACAAAAATTTGTTTTCTAGGTATGTAAGGAGTTTCTATATGCTCATCTGACTTTTGTGATTCTGTGAAAACGTTTTGAAATTGGAAAAACTCGATAAACCGATTAGAGGAATCCGTCTTTCTTTTTTTTTTTGGCGCATGAATGAAAGCTTTTAAACTCAGACTACCTAGAGGAACATGAATTCAGACATATATGTGCCGATGGTGGCCAGCCACATTCAGTAGGCTTTACTTTGCCTAATAATGCTAAGTGCTTCGTCAGCCGTTTGGTGCAGTGTTGCACGAGTTTTACTCTGATACGATGATGATGATGCAGTCTAGTCTGGTGGCGGTATCGTCTCGTCTCTTCAAAAAACCCTTGGTCGTTTTTATCTTTCTCATACCTAGAAATTCCCACACTTTTCTTGATTACGATTTTCTATATAGAATATACAAAAATTGTAATATTCCTCTAAAACTCCATTTTTCTCAAATAAGAAGATTTAAAAAATCTTATTTTCTATACTAATTTTATGAAACATCAATTTTACCATAATATATTTTCTATTTCTACTTTGACAAAATGGAAGTATATCATGTTTCATTGCACTGAATTCATTAACTATTAGTATGAATAAATTCAGAAATACAGGTAGCTTTCAATCAAGATGAGATTTATAAATGTTTAATTCGCGAAAATTTCCTCTCGATTGTGATTAATTTTATACTTCTTATGAATTTTCAATATAAATGCCAAATAATTAATGAAAGATAATTGAAAATTATTCTTATTTATAGCAGGAAGTATCTTTATAAATTCATTTTGATCTGATTTTGATTTTCGAGTTCCATTAGATAACAATATACACTGAAAAAAAAATTTATTTGATTCAAATACTCGATTACTTGACTATCAAATAAATATTAACTTGAACCAAATAATTTTTTTTTAAATCAATTAAATTGGTATTTGTTTTAAAGACAGAAATTATTGATTCTAATACAGTTTATTTAATGCAAATAAAAATTATTTGGTTCAAGTAAATATTTATTTGATAATACGCAAGTAATCGAGTATTTGAATGAAATAAATTTTTTTTTTTCAGTGTAACGAACCTGACTTAATACCCCCTAAACGAGACCATTAAGGAAATTATGTATATGAAAAAGATTTAATAATCTTGTAATATTATAAAGTTTTTTAACTCGTATATAAAGATTATTTTTTATATTCTTTGAATTAACAAAAGCTACTATTATTCTAATAGGGATGAGAGTAGAATCTCGAGAGCATAATAATGGTTACACTTGACGGACCACCACCAGCACCGGCAAACCTTGTGCTGAAACTTTATCGTCCGGTCAAATATCAAATGTGATTAGTAAGTGACGTGCTTTGCCTATAGATTAACTCGGAGACTAGACCTAGGTAACTTCATCCACTGACGTGTAGTCGCAAGAGACTGAATCCCTCTTCTCTTGGTTTAGTATGATTAATAATTAAGCCTGTTCTATATGGATTAGCCAGTCCTCGGGTTTTCCTTCGTACTTATACCAAAGAGGAGGAGCGCTTCACTAATTCTCAGGTGAACAATGCTTCAGACTGTTCTTGTTACAATTTCCGTCTTAAAATTTCCTTACACTGCGAATGTACATATATATATACAAATGGTAATGGTAATTCTATTTCCCCTCGAATATAGATGAAAATTAATAATAGAATTTCTTATTGTAGAAAAATTTTTTTTTTATTTGATTCTAATAATCAATTTATTATCAAATAAATATTTCTTTGAAATAATTTTTATTTGAAACAAATTTTATTTGTTTAAATTAATGGTTTAAATACAATGTATTTGAAAAAAAAATGATTTGATACTAATATTATTTAATACAAATAAATATTTATTTGATAATAAGTAACTGATTATTTGAATGAAATAAATTTTTTTAAGCAAAGGATATTGGTCCGTTAATTGAAGATATATTTTTTTTAAATAAAATAGTTTTGAGTGTCGAATATAAAAAGTTAGAAATCAAATTTGCAATATTCGATTACGAGTACATATTCGCGAGATGACCCTTTTGCGTGACTTAGGTAACTAGATATCTTGAAACTTAGTTGCGGACTTAAGAGTTTGAAGAGTTGAAAAGTATTGGTAAACAGTGGACCATACTTGCCCACACTTTTCTAAAGGCCAATAAAAGCCATCATTGACAATTTTCTTCTTTTTTTTCTTTCTTCTTTTCTTCATTTTATATTATTAATAATTTCATAAAGTTTTCATTATTTGATCTGTTTTATTTTTCTTTTATTTTCCTAATAAATACATAATTAAATAGTGTATAATAAAGTAATTATAGAATCTTTTATTGATTTTCGATGCTCTGAAAGAATGATAAAAAATTAATTAGTTTCTTAAATTATTTTTTCATTGTTTTAAATTTGTTTTGATAATTTTATCATTATTATTTAAAAAATTAAATATTTCTCAAGTAAAAATAAAATAAATGATGTAAGAAAGAAAGAATAAGTAATTTTTTAGAAATTGTCTCTTTGGCTTCTTTTGGATTCCGTTCACTTCCTTGAGATTAATATTGACGCCTTTGCACACTCGATACTTGCAGGAAAGAATAAATTTAATTTTCTTGTCCTCGAGACTATATAAAAAAAAAGTCTTTTATTTTATTTCTCTCTGCTTCGCATCGGTTAGTTTGTTACGGGCCGTCGCGCATCTTCGAACTGAGAATATAATTAAAAACTTTGTGGCCAGTATATACGAAATGAAACTAAATCTACAACTAATTTCAATGAAACTCTCTAGCAAGTCCCCAGTAGAAACTAATTTGTAGAGAAATTATCAAATTTTCAAAATTTTCTTCCAATTAAAATAAAAAATTATTTTTATACCAAACAAATTTTTTTCATTTATTAAATAGAAAAAAATTTTATATTTACAAAAAAGAATTCAATCGCGAATGGATCGAAAGTCGATAATTGAAAAAAAAAGAATTTAGATAGAAAATAAGGGTAAATGCACAAGTGTATACGTTTATTTGTGAAACGGAGTGATAAATGATAAGAGGTGTTAGACATTGATTCAATATATATCGACAAAGTAGACACAAATAATTTTCAACGGTAACGTGAATTCACAATAGCCGTTTGCCTTTTAGAAAAAAAAAAAATATATATAGTGATGAAAAGCCGCTCATTAATCAACTTCATGTACATAGCGATACTTAAAAACGACTCTCAAAAATTTTTACACACTTAACGTCTCATGAAGCGTAGGTTCTATGCTCTCTTCTCTCTGACAGAAAAAGTCTGGGGTTTCTGAATTCTCGAGGATAATTAAGAGTCTGTAGATGTTCTACATTTGGATTAACTGATGCATTATTATGCATACTGTCTGTATATAAAAGAAAAAACTCATTGCCGTACTTGGTTTATTTTTAAAACTGAAATACATTCAATAAAATGAAAATTTTAGAGATAAATTAATGTAATTTTTAAAATAAGTCTGATGAACTTATTTTTAATTATCATTAATTATTTATTTAATTTATTATTAATTTATATAATATAAATAAATTTTTATTTTATTATATTTAATTTTTTTAAATTATTAAGTTCACTCAAATTTTGAACCGTCTCAATTTATGTGAAATTCAGATCTTTTTGTGTCTTAAAATGATGCAACTTAAAATAGGGCTAATTTTTTCTTCGGCATAGAAAGTAATAGATTGGAGTTAAACTAGAAAAGTCGGGTTAATTTTTGAAAAAAAAAATTGTGAGTGAGATCGAGAGCGAAGAATGTATATATAGGAAGGCTAAGGGGGCGTACAGTTCAATTTATACATGAAAAGGGCGGCCAAGCATTCTCTCTCACACAGAAGCTCAACAGTAATGTTACTAATATGCAAATCTTATCATCCGATTTATTCGTTACCCAAGCGACCCTTTTTACTTTAATCTTCCTCTTTTGCTTTCACTTTTCCTCTCTTTCTTTTCATTTTTATTTTTCGCTTTTGTTTTCTCTTTTAAAGTTTGCTTTTTTTAACCATAAAATATACACTTCGCGCGGCAAAGTAGATACTGTGATAACTCAGCGTTCAATTTATATATATATCTTTGGGGTGTAAAATATTAGGCTTTCAAATTCATCAATATAAGTACGTTGAAAAATTATTTTTATTTATTTCAAATAAATTTTATTTGTATTAAATAAAAATTTTTATTTATAACGAATAAAATTTTTATTTACGCCAAATAAAAAAGTTATTAGGCTCTGAGACAAATATACGTTTATTTAACTTTTTAAACCAAATTAAATTTTGTTTGTACTGTAGTCAAAATTATTTTTTATTAAAGTCAAAAAAATAATCGCCTAGTTATAATAATCTTAAAATTATTTTACAATAAAAAAGGGAATATTAAAAATTTCTCAAAATTCAATTATATATTTTTTTTCTCAAGTCTTAAGAAATTCGCCCATATAGAGGTTATATGCTACGGGAAGCTGCGGGAATGATTTAGTACCATTTTGAGGTTGGTCGGTACTTAAATTATAATAATGTGTAGAAATGTGTAAAAGGGCTCTCGTTTGGGCGTTTTCGTCAAGAATTACATTGTAGGTTATAAATGCAGAGCGAAGGTTTTTTTTTGAGTAGGAAAGATAGAAGGTATAGGGGGGTGGTTTAAGAAGAGCTTGGCAAAGTTAAAGTGAACCATGACCGTTTGTCATGCAAATGCATACTTTCCGTCGTTCGCGGTAGAAGTAGAAAGGTAATTTAAAAAAAAAAGAAGTAGAAGAAGAAGGTAGAAAAAAAAAGTAAGAAGACAATTCACCGTCTCCCTTTTTTCTAATTTATCCGAAACGTGAGGAGATCCTCGCGAAAGGATCACCTTGCGCGAAAAGAACACGACGGGAGAAACAGAGAGCAATATCCATTAGGGAAGACGCGGTATAAATGTTCGTCTCGTTCTTGTCAAGAAAAACGTAGGTCAAGAAAAGACAACAATAAAAAAATACTTGGTAACTTGAAAATTCTAAAGACGTTTCATTTTATCTCGTCTTATATATATATGAAGAAGGTCGATTAAATGTCTTCTCTCTTTTATATTGTCCTTTCATACTCAAAACACGGTGCTTTCCCTATTTCAATGAATACTTTTTTTCTCTTGTAAATTTTAGTTTTTTTTTTTTAAATGAAATTGTATTAATTAATTTATTAATATGTTCCTAATTTCCAATTAAAAAATATAAAAAAATAGTCGCATGTCTTTTTAAAGTGAGTTTTATTATTTTCGTTTTGCTTTTATTTGTTAGAAATATAGAAAAT